GGAGGCCATAACTTACACTGCCCATATACGATGCAGATATGAGCTGCAGCAGCAGCAGCAGCAGCATCAGCCCTTTGTTTTCCGTTTGGTATCTCAATTTTCAGCCAGCCCGTAATGAATGGCTGCCAGATCTCGTTCTCTCGTGCTGTTGGCCTGCCCCCGCATCCGGGCATCTCATGAATTATGCAAACACTGGCAGAAACCGGCAGGGAACTGCCTGTTGCGGTGGCCTGGCAAAACAAACAAATTGTTTGTTATTATCGCTGGGTGGCAAAGCAGATCGCAGATCGCGTCAGAATCCGGATCGGATCGGCGGTTCCTTCGGGATCACAGATTAAGAGACGCCGCAAACGCGCCGGCAAATTGTCAAACGCACCGCCAGCTGCCAGAGATTTACATAGGTCGCTCCACATGGCCGCAATCCCCTGGCTCCTGCCTCCTAGTCCTCCTCCTCCTCCTTGGGAACATATTTATTTTGCATGCCTTATTTTAGGCCTCTGTCTGCTCCAACTCCTCCCTCGCACAATGTGTGAAATTGCCGACAGAGTCTCGGTCTCGAGTGAGTGAGAGATCTATGATCTAGCCATGATAAATGGTTTGCTGCTCCAGAAAGCTATTTGAAGTTTGCCAGCAGGAAAAATGTGTGAGGAAAAGGTCTTGCTATTGAGTGCAGGCGGAACAGATGCCCTGGAATCTTTTTGGTTTAGAAATAATATAGAAAATTGTAGGCTCGCAGAGCATGCTTTAATGTTTCGAGGGTATTCAATACTATGATGAAGCTGTTGTCTTGCTTTTTGGTTCTTTGGAAGCAAATATATGTAGACTACTATTATGGGATAATTAACCCACTAATGGTGGAGTGGCGGTGTTCCACAGTGAAGGAGGAGTGGCTCCCAAAGGTCAAAGAACTTGCCTTGGAGTAACCAAGAAGTGTACATTAGATCGAAGCCAGAAGCCAAGGCAATATGGATTCGGGTGCCTGCCTTTCTCCTTTTTCATACTTGTGATCCATCCACTGTCACTGACCTGGGCAACCCCAAAAACTGGAGAATGGAGATACCAAGGAGAGAGGCAGCTGTGGAGTTGTAAAATCCAAGTTTCATTAAGAGATGCACATCTTAATTGCGCCCGCAGCGGATCTACCATCGAAGACGATCCTGTTTTTCCCTCTTTCCCCATAAATTGGGCATGTGGCAGCTCTCTATTGTTTTTGTGAGGAGTGTCCCCTGGGTAATTGATGAATTTATGACCCCCCCGACATGCTAGAGTGCCAGAAGAGTTGCCCAATCACTTTTACTGATTGCCGCCCGCCCTTATCGCGTGCTCAGCTGCTTAGCTTGTTCTCCTAATTGGACGAAGGGGTACCAGGGGCTAATGGTTGGGTTAACGTGATCGGGAATTCCGGGAATCGGCGCTGCTGCTGCGCTTTTTTCGGAGCCGCCTCGACGTGCTCCATTTCTGCCCGAAATGTGCCTTTGTTTCCGCTGCTGCTGCCCGGCACTTGATTTCTGATTTCTCTCCGATTTCGTCTTCGATCCGTTCCGTTCGCAGCTTCTGCATTGTTTTCATGGAAACTGGCACGTTCTGACCATTTATGGCTCACGCATGGCCAGCAGCGATAGCCCATTGTGACCAGTCGAGGTCCGGAATCCAATGGAGATGTGTTAAGGCAAGAAATGCTAATGGGAACTACCCCAAGATGCGATCTGAATTGACTTTATATGATATTTTAATCAGAAAAGTGTGGCACTAACAAGATACTCTTACAATGAAAGGGAAAAACTGATCTGTACTTGTAGGACTCATAAGGATATCACTCCACTCCATTAATGGAATTAGTTCGCACATCTGCCCGGCCATTCTCGCCCAGATAAAGTGACAAATCAATTGTTTTCCCATTTTCTCCCCCTGCCCAGAGCAAATACTCTCATCCCAGTGGACACTAGGGGTGACTTTCTATACGAAAAAGTGTGCAATAAAAATATATGTATGTTCCCTCAGACAAATGACTCAATTAGCAGTCCACAAATATTGCCAAAGACGACTGCTCTGATATGTGGAGATGGGGCTGGGTCAGGTGCCATAATTCCCAACCAACAAATATCCATTTTTCCATGGGCCCTTGGCAACTGCCGAAGGGGAAAACAAAATCATTTAGATAAAGAAGCCAAGTGACGCCTACAATTTTGCTGTTTTCCCAATTTACGCAAGCGAATTTATGATAGCGAGGCATAAATATGTATACATATATATAAGCGAGTGTATATATATATTATATTCCGACGTGGTCTGGTCTGATTTACATACATTATTTATTCAGCTTCTAAATGGCAAATGGAAACCATGTTACAATGCTACGATGTTTACGAGGTGTTATGAATGAATCGAGCCGGCTGCCGGGATATGGGCATGGAGCCAAGTCATCTTCCATTTGCATATCTACGCGGCTCTCGCACCGAAATTGTTCCAAAAGAATGCCAAAAGGTGGGTGCCAGTCATGGCACACAACGAAAATATAGCTTTTAATTTGTTCAGTGAGCTAAAAAATGGAAATTTACCTGAAGTAGTATTTATTTTGAAGCCCTAAATGGTCTTAGTGGGTCAGGTTTCTTTATAGCTTTATTATATTTCAGTTGAGTTGACAGGAAAAATTAAATTTAGTTAAAAATTAGACCTAGATTTCGATTTTTGTAACAAAATATAAGAAAATATCAATACATTTATCATATATGTAAGACTTTTCATCTTGATATATATCCCTTGTACCTTAAAACTCTAAAATCTCTACAATTTCTAGAATTTTTTTGTCCCAACATTTCTGAGCTTCCTATCGAGCCAATTAAGTGGACTTACATCTGGCTGTGTGTGTGTGTGTTTGTGTTGTCCCCTTCTGGTCACTCGGCTGTCCTTTGTTTGCCCCTAAATATATATTTTTCTAACCCTAAGAGAAAACCAAATTGTTCATTATTGCCGACTAATTCTCTGGAATTCTAAATGCGGAATGTAGAATGCAGAGTGCGGAATGCGGAATGCGGGTGGGTTTTCGGACACAACTCATCTCGGGATTTTGGGAAACCGGTTGGCTGAGCGTGACTGCGACAAAGATCCAGCGAGGACCAAACACAAAAACAAACGAAGGATAATGATAATGACTGTACAGCAGGATAATGCACATGCTAGGGAGACACAGCTGGGAGGAGAAGTAGGAGGAGGAGGGGCAGGCCCATTTCCATGCAAATTTGATGGACAAACTTTCATGTCGAGATATATATCCGAAATTCGAGAAGCCCACGATGCTCCATGGAAAAATAAATGGCTGTTCGAAACTCTTTACGACTTGACCATTTTAGATAAGAACACAAATCGATGGAAAGCCCCGCCAAAGTGTTTGGAAAATCAAATAAAATGTAGCTCGGCGGAGAATTAAATTAAATCGGGGATACAACACTCCCCAAACGAAAGTGACAATAAAACTCAGCTCAATGAGTTCGTTATTCGCCGGGGGTCGCCGTCGCCCCTCTGTTGGCTTCGTTTGGTTCTCCAATTTTCCCGTCGCCTTGGCCTGTCTCGACTCCAAATCGGTCTCAGTCACAGCTCTTGACATGCCTCTTGACGTGCTGATGTGGGCGTGGCACTTGGCACGCAAATCATGTCAAATGTCACATTCAGCCGGCAAAGAACACTGCAGCTGCACAGACACAGATTGCAGGGGATGGGTTAGCTTCGGGTTTGGGTAACAACAACTTCCTTCCTTTCTGTACAGAACGGGTTGCCTGCCGCCTGACCTTCAGCGGTGACTTGTTGAGTAGGTCTTCAGCTTTGTCTGGGGTTCCTTTTCGTTCTTTGCATTTTTTTTTTTTTTTCGGGGGGCAGAGCTCTTCACGCCCTCGAGAGAGGTACACAAATGTGTTTGGACAGCTGGGGACTCGCAGACAACACAGCTACTGTTCCATATTATTCATTCCCGAGGTGGGTAACATGAGCTTGGTCTCACATCTTCTGGCTAATTGAGCTTTTGGGGGGGAGAACTCTCGAAGAACGTCTGCACTTGATATGCCAAGCATCGAGTTCTCTCATAATCGAATTGGGTTGGATGCATATCGAAATGTTTGTCATATCCAAATAGCAACTGCAACCAGATATGACCAGATACCACATGGGGGCAGTCAACTCAAGCTCGGGAGAACTTGATACGGAATATGGAATAGAGAGACGTGTTGGAGAAATGTGGCTATTGGATCAATGGATGAGGCATGAGGCATTGTTCTATGGTCTTTTTTGGGGTACTCAATGTAGCGCTGGAATTTATTGAACTTGCGGGGATCTTGGATCTAAATTTAAGTTAATAAATAGCTTTGTTTTGTTAACTTGGATGTAGGATGCTTAGAGGCTTGGATTCCCTCGATTCGTTTACCAGAATTCTTTAGCGGGGGTAATCTAGCTTTAACTGCATAATTAAATATACATCTGCTGAAGATTCTTCAGAAACTCAATCGTGTCATTCAGAATAAATTTCTTATAGAGATAGTACTTATCTCGCTTCTTGGATTCCTCTTCTATACATAATTTTGAGACAAATCAAACAGTCGATGCTCCAGAATCTTTCACCCTTAAATCTTAAACCCTTGACTAAAGTTGTTGATGAATTTGTGGTCTAAAATGTTAATGAATATTTAGTGAATTATTGATTATCTTGTCATTGATGACACCCTAGGACAAGCCAATTTTAATTTCATCACTAATATTGTATGGAAATTCATTGATGATTCATCATCAACATGAATTCCTAATGTATGGGTACTGCAGGGCTATTTTCCAAGACCTTTACGATGTAGCTTCACTGCACTCCGAATATCGCACATGAGGGACGACGAGCGCCAGTTACGATAACCGAACGCAGCCGAAGAGCCAAGACCCTCCAGCCGGCACAGCTGACGAAGGTAGACCGAAGCAGAGCTGCGCAGCGGGTTCCGAGCCCCGAGTCAGTCTACGAAGTTGCCTGCTGCGGTGCGGACCACGTCGAGAGTGAAGCGCTTCCCGAGATACGCGAGATACTGTCAGACAGAAAAGACTTAGAGAAAGATACGAATGCGAGTGCGAGACTTTTGCTACGTTTGTGGCTTTTTCGCGTAGCGTCTTTTGTTTTTAGTTTCGGCTTTTTGCGGATTTTTCGGCTTTTTGCCCCGCGGCTAAACTTGAAATTATAGCTGATTCGGCCAAGTAGCAGATACAAAGATACTAAGATACAAGATACATATGCAGATGCGAGCTCAGCGCAGATAAACAACAAGAGTGAACAGAGTGAAGTGAGGAGGAGATACAAGTGGCAGATAGACATCGCGCGAACCCACGTCGAGATACTTTATTTATATTGTCCTGGATTAAATATATCTAAAAGTCTCGATAGTGGCTCCATCGCCGCCATGTCCAGCTGAGCTTAGCCTCAGATCTCAGTATCAGCCCCAACAACTCATCATCAACCCGAATCGCATCGCCATGCTGGACAAGCAGAGCTCATCCTCCATCTCGATGTCAGCCTCCTGCTGCAGCTCCAACGCCACCAATGCGGACCTGGACTACGATGTGCCCGTCTCGCGGCGCATTCACATCAAAACGGTTAGTAGATAGCCAGGATCTCAGCTGTTGAAGCTATCTCTCCGCTGTGACAGCTGCATCTTTCCCGGGCAAACTGTAACGCATCTCTCGGAGCCTATCTGTGGCACCTGAAATTTCCGCAATTCGCATTCGTTATCACCTGGCAGAGCAGCGACACCACACCGTTTGATGTGCCAGTTTACGGCACAGGTGAGATATCGCCGTGTCGTGATAACTCCTTGTGCTTAGAGCCCCGTGCTTAAGTGTTCCTTTTGAAAATTAACGAAAACATGAGCTCACCATCGTGACATGGAATCGAAGTGTGATTCCCTTTAGATATTTTTGGCTTTCGTTCTGAGTAGCTTCGATTAGATAGGCATCAGGGAGATTAGATTTCAGGCTCTGGCACCCGAAAGAACTCTAAAAGATGTCTAGGATAAACTTATGAAACCAAGCTCTAGCCTTAACATTCCTCACCAATAGCTCAGTCATAATTACAGATCAATTTGAGTTCGCTTAAGCCTTCTTAAAGCATTCCAACTGATTTAAGTGTGGAATGCATGCCTCTGCCCCAACTGGTTTCTGTAAATGACTCTCGAGAAGTGCAGCCAAAAGTTGATCAATAGATTTATGCTGCCATATATTTCCATCAGGCGCCCGGGAGTCACTCAATCAACTTCTTGTCGCCACACGCGGACATTAATTCTAATCAATTTCACAGAGTCAGAGTCGCAGGCAGAGTCGCTTGAAGTGTCGAAGCGTTGAAGCAGATATATGTTCTCCGTCTAGACGGATCGGTGGGGCGCCCACTTAATCAGGGAGAGAGCACAAGGAGCGCTCGAGAGATGTCCCTCGGGGAGTCTGTTCTGCAGTTATCCCGAAGATAACCCCTGAGAAAGCAAGACCTCCCCTGACACAATCTTAATTAATAATAAGGGTGGGCCGCTCCTTTTCGTGCCTATCTTTGGATTTGTTTTTAGTTTCCCTGAAGATATAGGGTCTTGGCTTGGGGTTCAGTGTGACGCTCAATTAAGGTTGATTAGATTTCGGTTGTGTGGAATTGTTTTGAAGATAGCCAGCTAGCCCTGGACTTGCCCTTATCCGCTTGGAGTGGCCTCTCCTGCGAGGTTGCCCCGATAAGGAGACACCACCAACATGCGTGGTGGTCTTGGCCACAGAGAATTTATACAGTTTCCTTTCAATCAATTGTCTGCCAGGCCAGGACTATTAATAACTGATTGAATTGGCCACGCATGCGGCCATCGGTCTGGGGGCTAATCCGTGGCCCCCAGCTCTTGGTCGGCCCTTAATTGCGGCCTTCAGTCAAGCGCACGTCCCTGCACAAGGATGCAAAGAGACTCTGGGGATCTCTGGAGAACTATTAATTGCCATCAGTCAGCGGCATGCTAATAAACCCTTGCTCCTTTCAAGGGTTCCATCATAGAGATGCAAGCGTGACACGTTCAAGACAAGATCCTTTACGTTATATGTCGGTGCCCCCATTTTCTTGGCCATTAGTTCCAGTCACGCGCCCATCTCCGTCTGAGGCAAGGCCAAAGAAGGCAGGAAACCCATCTTCGAATGTTTTCCGCTGTTTGCATTTTGAAATCTAAGCTGAGAACCGAACCGGTCTTCGGGGAGAAGAGACCCCTAGAGCTCTGCACAGCTCCAGACGGCGTCAATTACTTTTCGCATTTGTGAGCATTTGGAGCACATTTATTTTAATCTCACCTGTGTCCAAGTCTCAGCCTCCCCCTCTCTCTCTGTCTTTGCGGGTCTGTGATGGATGGATCCAACTCTGGCTCCAACTGCAACTCCATGCCCCTTGGCAACCCTTCAATTACTGGATACTTTGTGTCAGCGACTGTTAGGCCGGGGAACAAGTGTCCTCCGGCTGCTGCTGGCCAAGATCTGGCTCCTCCATGATCATGCCCCAGACACGACTCTTGTAATTAGCCGTTGTTGTTTATTTAATTTCAAGCCTAATAACCGACACAGCCCAGAATATTGAGTGCCGGGACTGGACTGGTAATGGGAGTGAGTGCATTTGCATTTGCATATGCAAGTCTTGGCCAGACTTCCCCTGCTCTGCTCCTCTCCAGACTGGCACCTCGTAAGCTTGCTAATTTATTTTAGCGCTCAAGTTGTGCAAACATTTTTCGCATTCAAATTTGTTCAACAGGTTGCCATGGCTATGTTTGTCTTGGGTTCCTGTCCAGTTGTCAATTGATGAATTGGGCAAGGTTAAGGTCCAGTTGGGTGATTGCAAAAGAAGTATTGAATAGCTAGTATGTTATATAATTTCATGCTTATTAATTAGTTCCTCTTGTAATGTTTCAGTTACCCTCCAGTAATTGTCTTTATTTTCCCCGTCATATCAAGTCACTTAAACCAAGTCTGTGAAGAAGAAAAACTTTCGCTTTTCGTGTGCTTAGCTATTTTATCTATTCACATTCGACACTCGAGTTGCCTTCAGTTCACAGGCCTTTGCTCACTCACTCACTTGGCGTTATCTAACAGTTAAGAGAGTCATGTGCTGCCAAGCGAATACTGGCCGTCATTCCGGCCAAATGGATTATGGGCCAAACTGAATTATGGACTCGTCGCACAGTCTAGAGTGAAGATAATGAATTCAAATAATTGCAGGTGGACTTTTGCGCTGCAAAAAACGTGCTGAGAGCTGGAGCAAGTGATAGGGCGACAAGCTAGCTTGTAAACATGACCAGAACAGGAGGAGCCCCTGGCACTCGCAGGGTCATCCAGGGCTCTGTTTGTTTTTCCGACGTGCACAAGATGGAATGACATTTATGAATTACAAATCTGACATGTCACGTTCCCTGGGCCCAAGGCCCGGCCCTTAAAGGGAGAAGGCTTGACTAATTGCCGCCAAGTCAGAGTCGCAGTCCTTCAAAAGTCGTAGAACCCTGAGCGAACGAGACTGAGGCCGTGTTTACAGGGAATAAACAATGGCCAATTGGCCTCAGTCTCAGCCTCAGCCTCAGCCTCAGCCCTAGGAGAGACTGATAATTCGCACTCTCTCCGCCTTCTCCTGTCCTCGCCAGATAAGAAACTGGTCGTAACCGAGCAATAAAAGTTACATGTACATGCCAGCCATAAGTGGGGCTAGTGATTCCAGCAGCACCTTCCGCCTTAAGCCACTTAATGGGCCCATTTGCTGTTGGTGCCAGGCGGAGATGGGCTACTGGAGTTGCTAAACGAGGAGCGATTTCAGCGGTCTTCCCCGGTCTTTCATAATGTCAGAAGCACTTATCTTCATGTTTCGAAATTGCCGATTGCCTGCGATTGATATCTATGATGGTTCTACGAGTTATGGGGTTCTTTGAGGAGGAGCGGGGGATTGCCCAACCCTTGTAATTACTTATCAGTAAGTGGCTGTTCATGGGAAACCCCCTTATTGAGACACCTCACTCGGAGATGCGTCTGTCAGCTCACTTTCGATTTGTGGGGGCCTCCACCTCCACCTCCATCTCCTCCTGCTCTTGAGCCCAAAATAGATCCCAAACTGTAATCCATCACAAGTCGACATCGGTGTGCCCTCGGATGCTACATTTTTCGTTCATAATCCAAAGTTCAAGGCGGCTTTCACGTGGGAGATTTGATCCTCTTACCCAAAACTGGAAACTGGTTAGAAGAAAAGAAGAGTTAACAGAAGGCCGCGAGCAAACCCGATCATCACCTCGGCGTCGGCAATTCCTCAGCCATGAGTCACGTCCGGGGTATTCCTCCGCCAGAGTCTGGTAAATGGAACTTAATGACTCCGAGTCGGAGTAGGAGACAAAGTTTGTAAAATAAATCTCGTAAGACGCTCGAGGGAGATGATTGAATGAATGAAAGAGCTTTTGAGCAAATTGCATGGCTCCAAAATGGTTTTAATTTCCGCCGTTTTATGCATGTTTTATTTTCGGGGTTTCTCTTTGAGAGTTCTTTCTTTGCCTTGGGGGGACATTTCTTCTATATAATATTTTTGTTTTATTACTTAATGTTTTTTAAGCATGCTTGGCTGTTAATTCGGGGTTTGTTTTTATCAAATGATTGATCTTTTGTGCAATGGTTTTTTTATGATGGCGTCCAGGGTTGGGGTTCTCTCGTTATTATCGCACTTGCCTGTTTGCATATATAGGATACAATTCATTATAAAACATACATTCTGAGACCTTAAAATAAATGGCGGATAAGTGCTTACAATAGCTGAAAGCTGAAACTTTACAGACACGCTCGAAAATTGATTTTGTTCGTTTGTTTCGTTCGACTGATTCACTTTACCACAATTGAATGTTAACTGGTTGGGTTTTTTTTTTATTATTTCTCTCTCGGGGAAGTAATTTTGCAACGTTTTTGCGTTTTTCCCTCGAAATTGCCGCGAAGGTCGACACAATACTCTTTTTTTTTCGTGTGTGTAGATTCCGTTTTATTTGTTCTTTAATATTTAAAGTCAACAGGTATTTGCCTTTGTGTTTTTTTCGGTTTTTGTACAGAAGTCTTGCTCAAGTTAATTGAATTGGCATATGTTTGCTTTGACGCCTGCTTTTGTGAGTCATTTCACCGAATTGGCCACGTTAAGCTCACAGGCCAAGTGTTGAAATTTTGCATTAATTTAGGGCATTTTTATGTATATTTATTTTTTATGAATAAATATTTATAATACGAGTAAGATTGGATGATAAGCATTGAAGTTAAGTTGCTAAGCTTAGTGAATCTGAGGAGATTTGATGTGTGCTTTCCTAACAATATTTTTGCTAATTATTTTCTCATGCATTTTGTCATTTTTGGATTTCATTCTTTATAGCTATTACACTTTAAATTAAATATTAAACTCACAAAGCCTTGCTTACCCTTTTACTTACTTAAACTTTTATTTGTGTATTCATAACTCTTTTTATTGACAGAGTTTATTTGCTCAATTGAATTACCCTTTGCTCTGGATATCTGTATATGTTCCATTTATAAATATAAACTAAAGCCTGAGAGCGCTTTGCCCGACTTGAGGTAACAACTGAGCAATGCAAATTGAATGAGGGAGACGTTTGTGGAATGCAATTGCAATTGACTTGTGCTTGTCCAGGCAGAAAGAATCTATTGTTAACTAGAGGGAGGAGTCAGTGAAGTGTATGGTCGCCAAGTGCTGACCCGGGTTGACATGCGACGGAGCAGCTCCATGCACTTGTCAATGCTGCTCAACGTCAAAATCCCAGCCGATTCCGAATCCGATTTCGACCCAGTCTCAGTCTTGGAACGTGTTTCTCTGCCGGCTCGTTGACTTGCTTGAAGTTTTATTGTCACACCACATTTTATGCGGATTGCTTATCTTGGCTTTGCTTTTATTATACCCTTTTTGCATTAGGGTATTGCCATTTTAGTCAAAAGCTTCAAAACATGTGAAGAAGTCATTTCCGACCCTACAAATCATATATATTCTTGATCAGCATCAACAGCTGAATCGATCTAGCCATGTCTGCAACAAAAAAAAAAATTTGAAAAAAATCATCATTTTTTCAAAAAAATTAAAGAGGTTACATCATTAAAATTTGTGAAAATTGAAAAAAATTTCGATTTTCTAAAATTTAAAATTTAGTATGCAGATTTTTTAACCTACTAAAAACTAACTCAGCAACGTTTTCCGATTTGAAATTAATGGCTTTTTGGCTTAGTTATGACAGATTTCAAATTCCAATTTCAAGCTTCAAGGGTATACAAAATTCGGCTTCTCGAGGTTCTTCCTTTCGTATTTTTTATTTATTTTGTACTCTTTTTTGGCACACACAAGTTTGCTGACGAAATGTGAGGAAAAGGCCGCCGCCGCCAAAAAGAGCAGTAAACATTTTGTTTATTTTCGCACTGAGACGGCAAAAGGAAACCAGTTCAACGCGGCCACAACGACATATGGCGTTTTATTATAGAAGTAACCCCAAAAAAAAGTATTTTTCGAGTCATTTCTACGTTCCGTAACTCTCGAGAAACCTTTAATCAGTCATAACCCAAAAGCCAAGGTCCCAAAGTCCAATGGAAAGTGACGCTTTCGAGGGCTGGTAATATATAGAAATAGATATGTGGTCAAGTTGGTATGAAAATGCAAATGTGGGAAAGGGAGAGTAGAGGTCTTGTGTGAAATATTGCACAGATATGGCTGATAAATCGGACATAAAGCTAATAAACATTCTGTGAGGTCACATCAGCTTCTATTTATATCTTAAACTGGTAAATGGGGTGGAGAACAAGACTATACGTAATAGCAGTAATTTGTTAAACAATTAAAAAACAAATATATATTTTCTTAATAATATCTAATATCTTTTTTTCAAGGCAAGGTTTACTTCTTTAGTTAGCTTTTGCTTTCAACATCTTGATAGTTCCTTTAGCTCCACTCCTCTTTTTTTATTGCTCATCAAATTCCTATTCTTTTCTTTCATTTTTCATCAAATTCCTCTATTCTTCGTTTCATTTTTGTCAAATTCTGTTAATTAAAATTGCCAAAATATATTATCTGTCACGCGAGAGCGCTTCGCTTGACTTTAGACTACTATTTGCTATTTGATCAGCTACCGAGGGGCTGGGTCTTGTAGGTTATCAGCTCGCATTTCTATTTGAAATTATTGCCAGGCCATCAACATGATTGGACTGCGCAGAGACAGAGTTCCCTGCTCCATTAATCCGGTTAACGATCACTGGATAAAACCAATTGTCATCTTGTGTCGTCGGAGTAGCCAAAGTTTTGTTGATTTTGAGTGCTCATTAAGCTGTTTATTGGCGGCTTCTTCTCTTTTTTGCGTTTCGACGGTTATTTATGTGCAAAAAATAAAAAATAAAAAAAATGTCGGGGTTTGAGTAATTGAACGTTGAAGACATCGTGGATCGCAGATACTCCTGGAATACATAAATAACTTGAGCTGAGCTCTGTGTTTGTTTTGCTAAAGAAAATTTGCTGACTCTTCGAGGAGGGGATTAGCTGCGGACCGTCATTAAAAACAGCTCCTTTACTTCTAAAAAAAACCCAGAGAAGTTGCCCTGAGGTACATATTATTTTTATTTAAAAATCCATGGAACATGTAAATCGGTTTTTGGTGATTTATGGCTGCGCTTGAGCCTGAGATTGTGATTGAGTGCTGGAGTTGGGAACTCTTTTAGTTCCGTTCCCCGCATCTCTTTCTCAGAGGAATGCACTGAGCAAACCAATTAAAGTCCGCCCAAACAAACAGACAAACAACTGTAAAAAGGCCCCTAATTTTTACCCACAAGTCAACCTCGACACAGGCGGAACTTCAAATCTTCCAATTCTCGCCTTCAAATATTTACCCCTTCAATTAGCGTTGTGTCAAAAAAGGGGAGAGGAGAAGGAGAAAGAGTGAGTTGGTCACGAAGAAAGCAGGTCTAATCTGCAGGGGAGGGAAGAGGGTGGAGTGGAGTCCCGGTGGAACTTTAAGCCCAACAAACATCTGAGATTCGAGTTGAGCCAAGTGTCACTCCGCGCACATGAACTTCAAGTGCGCTCATTTTTCTTTTGACATTTGAACATTTCTCGCTTCCAGCTTCGCCGTCGCCGCGCTTTCGAAATTGAAGAGTAGAATGAATAGCTGGTGGGCCAGGTACAAAAAAAAAAAAAACGGGTTTCGAAACCACACTCCCCTCACCGGGACACGTGAAGTGGCGGTATCAGAGGCCCGAGTCGCGGGTTGAAAGTTCAGCAGCGATTGAACGCTCGATATTGTAATCGCTCGCTGGCTTCCTCTCTCTCTGTCTCTGTGCACTGGGAATAATTGGAATATTAAAGGGATTTATTTACTTAATCCGTTTATAAAATAAAATATATCGAGTTCTAGTGAATTCGTGAACTAGTGGTTAGGTTTCAGGTAGAGCAAGCCTTTGCTTAAATGGCCTTTTCAGGTAAGAAAGTCCAAAACTCCCAGGGACCCTCTTACAGTCTAAATTGTACTAAAATTCCTACTGAGTTCTGGCTGATATTTAAGATACTGTTTATGAAGATATGACTCTTTTTCAAATGTATTTTATATTTTATTTTATAAAAATCTCATTTCATAGAACATTTTGATCTGTGTAGGGAATGGGGTAAAGAGCAAGGAGTGGAATGGGTCTTTAAAAAGGTGAAGGAGGTAAGGAGCAGTCACGGCTCGATTTCCTTCTTTTTGTTTTTGGATTTCTTTATACGAAATTAAAAGCACCACGCTTTTAACTCCTATCCACTGACACACACACAGATACACACGCACACACACAGCAGCAATTACACATTCATTGAGCGGAAGAAAAGCAAATCAAAACGTTTGCCCCGAAGGCATTCACAGTCGAGGTCAGTGAGTTAGATACAGTTAGTCTGAATTCAAGTTGGTCTCCGATACTAATGAGATATCTATAAGGCTAAGAAGCAGAGCTCTACTCTTTCGTTCCCCAAGACTCGAATCCTTGATAGCTATTTCCTCAACCCAGATTGTTCGTCCGCATGCCAGGCTCTCTAACCACCGAGAGGCAAACACAAACACAAAGGCGGATAAAGGAGAACCTACCCAAAAAAGTTGACCTGAAATTCCAGCTAAACTAATGAAGCAAACGAGAAAACAAAACAAAAAACCAAATCCCATTGTTTTCTCTCGATCTTTATTATTATTTTTTTTTCGGTATTCTGCAGTTTTTTTTGCATTCTTTTTAAGGCACAAAATTCGCTACCATAAAATGCTAAAAACATAAAACATGAAAGCAGAGCAAAGCTACACAAAGATCAGTGCCAGGAGGCCAGGAGCTCTTCTTATGAATGATGAAAGTCAAAGTCCCGCAAGGGGGGACTCGAATCTTTTTTGAAAATTTAAGGTTTTGCGGCTTCTCAGAAGTGAACAAGAAAGGAATCTAACTTTGGCATGCCGAAGTTTGTATATCCTTAAATTTGGATCAGGACTACATCTTAAATGTATCATAACTAAGCCAAAAATGCCTTAATTTTAGTTTAGAAGGCTTTCCTGTATTTGTTTTTATTAGGGTAAAATACCTGCATACTGAATTTAGAATTTTAAGAAATTAAAAATTTTTTCAATTTTTGAAAATTTTAATGATGTAACTAACCCCTTTCATTTTTTTGAAAAATGATGAAATTTTTAAAATTTTTTTTTGTTGTCGGACATGGCTAGACCGACTCAGCTGTTAATGCTGATCAATAATATATATGATTTATGGGGTCGGAAATGACTTTTTCACTGAATTTTAAGCTTCTGACTGAAATTAGAATACCCTCCTTTCAGGGTAGAAAGGGCCTCTCTGATTATTTGAGAATACACATTAATTGTTTCATGTTTTGCTTTGATTTATTTGCAGAAACTTTATGCCAAGGCCATTTACGATAATTATGCAGACACGCCGGACGAGCTGCCCTTCAAGAAGGGCGACATCCTCACCGTCATCGAGCAGGACACGGAAGGCATACAGGGCTGGTGGCTCTGCTCCCTGCGGAACCGACAGGTGAGTTGGGTTTCGAAGAAGTCGGTGGAGACTCCTCATCAGAGCTAACAGGGAAACGCCTTCCCTTTTGTCTCTCGTTATTCTTTCCCTCTTTCCTTCTTGTTTTGGTTCTTAATTTTATCCCTGATTGCGTCTGGGCTCTGTCTGCATTCGTAATTAAGCAATCGAAAGCATTTGCATAAGTTTTTCCATTTCATTCCGCCCAAGGAGACTAGAAAAAAAACTTATTTAAATTTTTAATTTAATTTTCTGTAATTGTTTTTGTTTTGTCGGGAAGTCGGGAAGCTGGGAAGCCTCGTCATCATCATCATCACTGAGGGCACGTGGCCCGCTGCATGCGGGAATGCCAGGCCCCCCATGTAATACCACCCCTTCCCAAGGGTCTCGGGCTCTTGTAAATTACACATTTTTGGCACTTTAATTGTGGCTGCAGCGCTGTAAAAATCATAATCATCGGAAAAAGGCCTCACATCAGGCAGGAGGGGGGCGTGAGCATAACCATTACCCAAGATTACCACCGAGCACACAACACTATCTCTGGATAAAGATAAAGAGAGGCAGTCGAAGTTGTTTGCTCCGATTTCGAAGGCAAACCGAATGTGATACTCAAACAGAGAAAGAAAATACATGTTTAAACTTTTGAGAAATCAGCAGAGAAACAAGGAATGTTTACGAAATAATGAAGTTCTACAGAAAAGGAATATTACCCTGGGAAAGAGTTGTTTACATTGTAAAAAAAGTAAACCATGACCCATTTCTTGGATCTTTTTTCACTCATACTTTCCCCTCTAAACACCATTTATCAAACGCACCCATAGCCATAGTTTCTGAGACTGATGTGGCCTCAATTTCCAATTTTTTGCTAATTATCGCAGCGCCCCAGGCAGCCTTGGGACTGACCAACCCCCCTCACAATCCAATCCCCCAGATCTCAAAACACTTTTCAAAGCTGGGCAAAAAATTAAAAAATTTCTGCACGTTGTTGGTTCAATTAACAACTCAATTGGCGCCGCCGCCTGACCGCCGGACCGATCCGATCAGTGATGATATGGTGTCAAAACATATATCAAAATGGAAATCACTAGAGCTCGGAGCGATATGGATACCGATACCTATGACTACATAGAGTGCGGGCCAATTGTCGCTAATTAAAAAGTGGCCACGGCTTTTTAATGGAAACAATTAACCCAAAAACGGCAGCCAATTGAGTGTCGAGAGCTGCAGAGCCAGCAACAAAGTGTGGCATAAATATTTACAGCCAAAAAGTCAACGAAAAAGCAACTTTTTCAAGCTGAAACACATGTTGACAAGATTTTCTGTCCGATTTTTTTGATGTTTGGCACATATTTCTTTGGAGAAAAATTACATATCTTTGCGGAGGAATTTTGTGAAATAAACTGACACGACATGATGTGAGATGTGGCTAGCAATTAAAAATAAACATTGCACACCGAAAGATTGCCATAATTCAGTGCTTTTTGTTGCATTTTCGTGGGACATGTACAGTTTATATATATATGTGCTTTTCATTAATAATTCATACAGCATTGAGGTTGATTAAAAGCCAATCAAAACCAATTGAGATCAATGAGTATGAGTCCACACCCCAGCTACCATTTATAGCCGATGGCGTTGAGTGATCAGGGGGAGTCCAGTTGGGGTTCAGGCGGGAGGAAAATTGCTAAAAAGTCGCAATATTCGTTTATTTAAATCACTTATACTAAATAATTTTAGTATCCAGTATTATAAATGATTCTTATCTCGCCAAGAATCATCAGTCTTTTATTATTCAAAAATTCTTATTTTTAATTATTCAACATTTTGCATATTTCTATTTTAATTCCATTCCAGGGCCTTTGTCCGGGCAACCGCTTACGCATCCTTAACTCTTACGATTCTGGATGCTTCTCTCCTTCGCCGGCCAGCTCACCCATACCCTCGCTGGCCGCCAGCACAGCCACACTGAACAGCTCCATCTGCTCGGCGGAGATCTACGAGAATGGATCCATCATCAGCGCGGCCTCATCCAGCGGCGGTCCGGGAGTAGAGTCAACATCAGCGCAGTGCCGTGGCACGAGAAGATCTTGGCACGTCTCGCCGAACAAGGTAGGTCCTCAGCCAGTCTCTCATCCGTTCTCGTCCCGGCTGACTTGTCAATTTCTTAATTTTCCGCATGGCCGGACTTCGCCGCAGGGATCTTAATTGATTTAATTTTTTGCTTTTTGGGCATTTTTTACATTCTCTGGCGGCACAGCAGCAGTACCATAGTGCCTCCTGAATTATGATATTTGTCGGGAAAGTGAAAGAAAGTAATTTCTCGGCTCCTTTGGTTCGTTCCAACGCTCCATCATTAGGCTCTGAGGGGTCCATGGTCCATTCATCTGCATCTCCGCCATCTCCAGCTCCATCTGCCTGCCTCCCAGTGGATCCGCTCCCCGCACATCAACTGCGTGTCGTAATTGTGCAATTAATAAGAGTTGTGGCAGAGCCGATCCTCTCGGTTCATTGATAGCCTTAGCCTCTTGGGGTCCATGGCAGCTGTCCAACGGGTTTCTCGGTTTCGGTTTTGGTTTTGGTTTCCCGCCTCGAGCTCGTAACTCGCCAATTTGTCAGCTGGACATGCGTTTTATTTGCATTTCTCTCACTTTGATTCGATTTGATTTGGAAATTAAAGGAAACGAACAATTTGTGGATCGGAAGATCAATAAATGATGGAAAGCGCGCTACTGCTGCCTGGCTGCCATCAAGAGGGATAACAGGATGTGGTGGCTCTGCAGCTTGCTACAAAGTTGCTGATCCCATCCGATCCCCTGCTCATTCTCAGATGAGACATCTTGAACTGCCCAACCTCTCGTCCAATCAAAGTCTTTGCTTGCACAACGGATCAAATTAATTGACCAAACTGTTTATTAGCACACACACACCAGACACCGACCGACCGACCCCGCGACCAGGCTTAAAGCTCGCTGACCTTTGGTGTTTTAGATGGATGCACGCCCACCATCCACAGTGGGATGATGGGATTGGGACTCGGTCTCGCATAACCGATGACTTTCGCTTTCCCTGGCCACTGACTGACTGACTAACTGACTAACTGACTGACTCGCAGGCAAATCAAATAAAATGAAACCCAAATTACAGAGTCGTAAACATTTCCTCGCATTATCGGCAGCTATCAATCTCACTGGAGGCAAGTGAAACCATAAATTCAAATTCAAATGTTGCTGGCGAGGAGGAGGAGCTCTGCAAATTGCTCTGGGATAGCATTGCAGTTGAAGATCTTAAAGAGAAACCTTTCGCCATAAAAGCTCAGCGCTGGCTTTTGTTGCTGTTCGATTTTTATTGACTTTTGGGAAAACCTCTCTCCCCACTCGAAGGCGTCAAAAGCCATGTGGGGAATGTATGGTATCGGATTTGACATGTACTTGACCGTATCATGGGGAGAGATTCCCCAGACAGAGTAGAGTAGAGTCTCTCGTTGACCCATTTTCAGTGTTGTGGGATTTTTTTTAGGGAATCTATGAGAGAAATGATTTGGAGATATATATATATTGATCGATAAAGATAATCAATGATATGGAGAGCCAAGCAAGTGAATGCCTAAGAGGCTTGAATCGATGAGAAAGGCATGAAAGACAGCTTAGACACATGAAGAAGATCTCTAAAGTAATATCTTGAGGTATCCTACGACTCCTCTTTGATCTTACAGAAGTCAGAGCTCCCAATTCTTCTAAGCCAATGAATTAACTATCAAGTAGGCGACATTCCACAGGCTTTGGCCTCATTGAGAACGGAAATGTCTGGCCCCGCTAAGTGTTGCGCAATCGCTGGGCAGTGGCCTCCACATATATCCGTACTCTGGGCATCCCACATGTGGACACCACTTCTTGTGGCTAGGAGAAAAAAAAAACCGCCTCCACCGTTAGCCAACCCGCCAGATACAGATACAAATGCTGTGTGACAATTTCAAGTTCCTTAAACCCACAAACGAGTCAGTATCACCTCCTCCTGCTCCGGCCACCTCGTCACGCACCTCGCATAAAGTCCAAGCCAAGTCCAAGTCAGGTGGCCACTGGCCAATGGCCAATGGAGATTTATGGCCAGAGCCAAAACGAGCGAGAAGGAGGCTCTCCTCGGCTCTGCGTTTGAGCAAAACATGTCATTTTTATTTTTACTGCCCAAAAATGGCGAAAAATGCAGCCACAATAACTCTTTTTTTTTCATTTTCTTCTTTATGTATTTGGTATTTGGGATTCTGCAGAGATTTGTGCGTGACCAAAGTCGGAAACTGGCGAGGATTCCGCTTTGGAGCTGCAGATGTAGCTGGAGCTGAAGCCGGGCAATGCGGATTCGCTGAGAAAGCGGGGAAAACTTTGTCACGATGCCAAGCAAGGTCGTTGTCGCCATGGAAACCATCTTCTTTGTTGGACACATCCTCAGTTTAGCTGGAGAAGATCCCACCGATCCTCCCAAGATCCCTTTGGAGAAAGACTATAGTTGTTTAGGAGTGGGGTGGCTGGTAAATCCTCCGCAAAAGGATCAATAAAAGTTTCTCCCACGAAGTACAAAAACGCAGAAAATTCGGGGGTCGAAAAATGACATCGGCGGAGTGCCCGTAGCATACATATATTTTCGCAGTCGATTCGGTACTAAACTTAGCTTAGCCTAAGGGCCCGCTGCCGGCCGAGAAGCCCAGCTTAACGGCGCGAGAGCGGGAGAGCGGGAGAACAGTGAACTAGACCGGCGTAGCCGTCCCTAGAAGCGAGCGACGATCGGGAACACGGGAGCGTGCGATCGGTAATACCGAGGAGCGGAGAGCGGGCGAGCGTTGCTAAGCTGGGAGCGCTTAAGCTTTTGGACGCTCGGTGGCCAGAGGGGGGAGCAGGGGCCTCCTGGCGTAAACATTCTCCCCCCCCCTTGCAATCACTCGGGTTGCAATAAACCCGTACAGGACGATGGTATGGAGGGGCGTCAGAGCGCCGCGTAGATCGTTGATGCTGGAGCGACGAGGAGCGATGAAGGACGGATGAGTGCCAAGGAGAGGCGGATGATTGCCATGGAGAGGCGGGAGCTTGTCGCAAGGAGCTTGCTGAACAAGGCGGAGGCGTCGAATGCCGTGACCAGGACGCATCACTGTGCGCTAGACGACGTCGAACTTTCCGTAGCGGCCGAACGTTGGCAGACTCGGCAATGGTAGGACTAAGAACCTCGAGTACGTCTGCCTTCCAGAGCGATCGCGGTGTGTGGAAATGAAGCCCTCGTATGTGATCTGGATGAAAGAAGATGACATGGAGATGAGTGATGGTCAAGTAAATGCGAACTAGAAGTATGGGGGTGACCGATGCTGCGAGCGGAGTGGATGCTCTGGACGGTCATGCGGATGCAGGAGAGTGTGGTGGTGCTGATTGCACGTCTTGCATCGGTCACCGCTGCGGCAGGTTCCCTCGGAATGTTCGTGGGCCAAACAGTTGGAACAATAGCGGTGGTCGAGAGCCGCTCGGAGCCTCTTCTCAGCGCAGAGTTTGAGGAACTGTTGGCACTTCCGGAGCGGATGGTTCCCTTGGCAGACTCGGCATTGGTAGGATAAAATACCTCGGGAACGCCTGCTCTTGCTGTCGTCGTACGGAACCCAGTAATTGGAGGAATCGGCAGAAGTGGTCACTCGGGTGGAAAACGAGGAAACCCTTTGGATGGGTGCAGGTCGAGGACTAGATGGAGCGGAGGGTCTTGGAACGGTAGCCGCAGGGTTGTCGCGGTGCAGCAGAGTATGATGCCGGCTGTGACACGTAAAGCAGGAATGGGCACTAGTACAGTCCCGTTGCTGGTGCCCTCGCGAAAAACAATTCAAGCAGAGTTGCTTTCTTCGGATGAAGTCTGTCCGCTCATTGACATTCATGTCTAGGAAAAGCGGACATATACGGATAGGGTGGTCTTCTCTGGAACATAGATTACACCTTCTCGGTGTTGGAGCCACCCTAGCTTCGTATGAATTGAGCCTGCGCACCGGGGGATTGGCATTTGTTGACTTTGGCGGAAGATGCCCAGAGCCGCTAGGCCTGACGTCGTCGATGGCCTCCAAAGTGCGATGGCGCTCGGTCAGAAACGCGTCCAACTCACGCCAGGTTGGAATTTCGGCCTTATTGTGAATTGATTGCTCCCACAAGGAGAGCGTAATCTTGGGAAGCTTCGAGGAGACCATATACACAAGAAGGCAGTCCCACGCCTCGACTTCAATGGAGGACATTTGTAACGCGGTCAAACAGCTTTGAATTGTGCCTTGGAGCTCTTTTAGAGCGACTCCGGATTCTTGAGGCACAGCCTGGATGTTAAAAAGAATCTTTAACTGACTGTTGACTAACAAGCGCTTATTTTCGAAGCGGTCGGAAAGGCTGCTCCATGCTGAGACGAAACCCTCGTTGGTCAGAGGGGCCTTTGAAACGATGGCATGAGCATCGCCGCTTGTCTTCGAAAGTAGGTGGAATAACCTCTCCACAGGCGTAAGTCGGGAATTATTAATGTAAATCGCCGTGAAGAGGTCCCGGAAGGTGGGCCACCGAAGATAATCGCCTGTGAAGACCTCGGTGTCCACTGGTGGCAATCGACAACCCATGGACGGGGGTGTGGGCGCAGGGGCGGAAGCCTGAATGGACTGGGAGGCGGCCTTGTCGATAATTTCCTGCAGCTGTACAAGACATCTCGAATATACGGAGTAGCACTCACTGTACTTGGATTCAAGCTCAGTGGCAGTGGCTGTACTGTCGGAGGACACGGAAAGAAGATCGGAGCAGCTTTCATAGCTTTTCTCCACCTTGTCCCACAGGGCACGGATTTGGTCCCGATGGACTCTGCACATGGCAGGGGAAAATCTCTCCGTGTCAGGAGCGCTCGGAATGTGAATGTTAGCTTCGAATTGGCTAACACGGGATGTCGTCGAAATGAACTTTCGCAGGGCGATGTCTAGGGCATTTTGAGCCATTTTGGAAACCGACTGAGTGAGTCTTGGCGAAGGAACGGGACCAGAATCGACGGACTTGTCGCTTTTTGCCCTTGGGTTGGCAGTGGCTTTTTGTTGTTTCCCGTAGACAAACTCAATTTGGGACTCGGCGGATCAGCGGTTGTCGACTGACCTGAGCGAAGGATGCCTGACTCGAAGTGGAAAGCAGAGTCGGGAACCAGAACGTAGACCGTACTGTCCGTGATCGTGGTGGAGTAGGAAGCAGAGATGTCTATATATAGTCCGTGGCTCGGAAGTGGAGCTTGTCTAAATTGGAAAATTAATTTATTAATTATAATCCGTAATAACAAAAAAAATTAATTAATAATTAATGTCGGAAATAATTAATGTGAATTATTTAAGGACTTGCACGTAATTATTACGGAGCCGGAAAGGCGGAATTAAAATATAAACCTTGGCTTTGACTCGGGGAAAACTCACTGGGCTATGCCGTCGGCAAAGCAGTGCATAAGTGAGGCGCCTATGAGAGACGAAAGGCACAGAAACCGAAACAACAACAACAACAGCACGGCTGATGCGGCGTTTAGTGCGGGGGTCCGAAAACAACCATAAATCGAAGTTTGGTTTAAGAAAAGCCGTCGGCAAAACACAGCCTAAGTGAAGAGCTCAGGAGAGAGACCAAAACGGAACTTGAGGAACAACAACAATAACAACACGTTTGCTGCGGCGGTTGTGTGGATGTGGAGACAAAATCTTGGTTATTTTTGTTATTGTTTGATGGTTATTTAATTCCTGTATGTAAGGCAGAAAATATAAATACGTATGCAATTGTATGAGCATGCAAAATATGTATGGAAAAGTTGTCTTTATTTTGTACAGTGGAAACCCGATAACGGAACTGCTGAGGGCGTACAAAAAAATATTGAAGGCAGAAAATATATTTTGTACAGTGGAAACCCGAGAACTGGACTGGAGTTGTGAGGGCGTACAAAAAATATTGGAGGCCGAAAATATATTTATATATTGGCATAAGTACAGTAGAGCGTCGAGAAGTGGACTGTATTATTTGAAGTTGAAGGAATTGTTTCACAGAAGCATATCGAAGCCGCGGGAAAAATACAGTGAACGAAAATATGAGAAGAAGATCTCGGGTAGGGGGCCGAATGCGGCAACACGAACTGTTCACTGTACACTTTTCACTGTCACGGCGTTCGACGTGAACCACACTTTTAGTGGTTTGATTATTATATATTTTTTTTAAATATATTGTTCGGCTGATGGTTGAGGATGTCAATTACCACTCTAAGTAAGTGACCAACCAACTCGCGGAGTAATGCGCGCCGATTTACATACGTATGTATGTCCGTATGTCAAGACCGTTTTATTCGTTGATGTACGGCCGAATATAGGGACGTATGTGTGTATGTACGGAGAAATGTACAACGGGCCGAAGAAGTGGAGTAAAAAGCGGCGATAATTATGCCGTTGCAGAACGAAGTGCAGGCAAATGGAAGTGGAGAAAATTGGCTTTGGAAATGATTTTTAAGTTGTCTAATTGCCGTGGTGTCGGAAAACTCGGACGAGGAGTTGACAAAAAATCGTCCGCAGGTTGAGCGAAATTTAAATTTCGGACAACTGTTGACGACCGGCAATTAGAGACGGGCGGAAACTTTTTACTTATCTTTTCTGCGGCGGCACCACCAAAGCTGCTGGGAAAAAAGGATTCCAGGACGATATCCTTATCCGGCTCGAAGGACCATGTTTAGGAGTGGGGTGGCTGGTAAATCCTCCGCAAAAGGATCAATAAAAGTTTCTCCCACGAAGTACAAAAACGCAGAAAATTCGGGGGTCGAAAAATGACATCGGCGGAGTGCCCGTAGCATACATATATTTTCGCAGTCGATTCGGTACTAAACTTAGCTTAGCCTAAGGGCCCGCTGCCGGCCGAGAAGCCCAGCTTAACGGCGCGAGAGCGGGAGAGCGGGAGAACAGTGAACTAGACCGGCGTAGCCGTCCCTAGAAGCGAGCGACGATCGGGAACACGGGAGCGTGCGATCGGTAATACCGAGGAGCGGAGAGCGGGCGAGCGTTGCTAAGCTGGGAGCGCTTAAGCTTTTGGACGCTCGGTGGCCAGAGGGGGAGCAGGGGCCTCCTGGCGTAAACAATAGTCTTTCTTCCTTTCTTTCTCCTCCCGCAATAATTAACATTTTCCGTACAAATCTTTATTTCTTGTGACGTTTCGTACGTGAGAAAATGCTGAAATTTTGTAAGCAGTTTGAAGAAGAGAACCTCGAGAGCTGTGCCTTTACTTTCAGCGGTTCTTTCTTCGAAATATATGGAGGAGTATCCACGGGAGGCAGCTCTCCGATTTATGGTAGCATTGAAATGCAGGGAACAAGCTGCGTATGTAGCCAGGAGATGACAATCTCTGGTTGCTACTGTTTTCGGGTTTGGAATTTAAACGAGAACGTGTAGTAAAGATTATTACACAGCCAGAATCTGGAATTACTCACAACAGGCGGAGAATTCAAACAGACATTAAACGAAGAAGTAGAAGCGAACGAAAGCTGAACCTGGCGATGGCCCAACCCATGGAGAGTGCCCCAAATGTGTCATAAATATACACAAATCTTTGATATATGTTGATGCCTGGAAAAAGTTGCATTAACAAGGAAAGTCACGCGAAAGTCGGGCCCAGCATGTGGGTCGCCAGGAAACCAAACCCATAAAGACCAAAAACTAAAAACTAAAGACAACCAATCCCGCTGGGCTTTGTTCCATTTTGGAGAATACACACACAACTTTCAGGTGGTCTAGTTCCTCTCAAGAAATGCCGCCAGCTGCCCTGATTCCCCCGATAAGATAGTAGAGGGTCCAGGCAGCCTCCCTTCCCGCAGAGCTCGGTTTCGGGTACTCCGAAGTTGCAGCTGCAGCTGCTTCGAGGGATGTTAGGACCGCTCTTATTTTATTATTTTGGCATTTTGTTGACTCGTGTTACGCGTCAATTGGCACTTCAAAGGCCTGGACAAAAGGCAAACGGGAAGGACCGTACTTCAGGTAAAGAGCGATCCTCCCGGGGGTACCCCTTGCGTAACGGTTTTCCTAATTAGGAATCGATTCCATTCGAGGGCGTGGCTCTTTTGTGGTGCGTGGCACTCTCCTGTGGCCAAAGCTGATGAATTTGGCATATGTTGCAGCGGTAATATTTCATCATTCATTGGGTAGAAAGCCAACATATGGCTGGGAATTTCATTAAACAAGAAAGTAAGCTAAATTCGGCATGCCGAAGGCTGTATACCCTTGCAGTTGGCAAAATGATCAAAAAATCTAAAAATCGAAATTAAAAATCTGCCATAACTTAGCCAAAAAGCCATTAATTTCAAATCGGAAAACGTTGCTGTTAGTTTTTAGTAGGTTAAAAAATCTGCATACTAAATTTTTAATTTTAGAGAATCGAAATTTTTTTCAATTTTTGAAAATTTTAATGATGTAACCCCTTTCATTTTTTTGAAAAAATGATGACATTTTTCAAATTTTTTTTTTTGTCGCAGACAAGGCTAGATCGATTCAGCTGTTGATGCTGATCAAGAATATATATGATTTATAGGGTCGGAAATGACTTTTTGACTGAGTTTTAGGCTTCTGACTGAATTTATAATACCCTGAAAGGGTAGACAAAAATATTGAGCGCAGAGGGTAGCTAGGATACTCTATCCTGCCTGCCGCTAATGCAGTTTTAATTATAAAAGTCGATGAGCTAAGTCCTTAATCCGTTTTTTATGGCAAATCAATATGGTGAACAAAATATTCCAGTATTGCAGGAGGACAGGAGAGGGTTTTGGGGTTATAAGTATTTATTCCTAGAGAAACCTACCTACCTACCTATTTGTTTCTGCATAATACGTCTCATTTTCTTTGCATTTTTTCTCTATAAAGTAGGAAAACCCTTTTTTTACAAAACAAGAGTCAGTTGTAGATTTTATTGGCATCTACCTTGCTGCAATGCAATGACTTCCTGTTCTTTCCACCACCGCCTGCCTTGTCTTGTTTTTGTTTCTGGCTCTTCTGGGGTCCTTTACCTTGACACTGAACCGCCTTGAACCAGGCCCCAGTATTCCTTTAAAACACACTGCGCAGGCGTCGAAACTAGGACGTATTTCGCAGTGAATTTCCCGACTTTCCACGAAGGCTACAAGAGACTCGACAGTCGAGTTTTATACGCTGAAGAGCGACGTTTAGCCACGCCGGATCCTTTCGGTTTTTTTTATACTCCATTTTTCTATACTCCTTGCACCAAGTGCACCTTGCACTTGCACAAAATGTGATAATTAGAGGAGAGCAGAGCAGGAAGCAGTAGCCTCGACCAGGTGAGGAATGGCAGCCACACCCAGGTGGGTTTTTCTGCTGCGGAAAAGGCCAGGCAGAAGGGAAAATCGATAAGCCAACGAGTGGCTGGGAGAGGGCGAGGGAGTGGGCACTCCTCCTCGTAGTAGTAGTAGTAATAGTAGTAGTACTCGCGTCTCATCTCCCCTTTTCTCTTCCAGGTTATAACCCCGCAGAGACACGGTGATGTCTACATCTACAACTGCTCGCCAGGATCTGGGACAGGCACGGGAACGGCCAGCCCCCGCACACCCCAGCAACAGCAGCAGCTGTACAGCAACCAAAGCATCTACCAGAACCTAGGAGCCGCCGCCATGATGTCCCACAACGGGAGCGCTGCCACCCCCAGTGGCAGTGAATTCGAGACCTACGACATCCCCAAGCCCGCCACGCCTGTGCCGCTAAACTATGACAGTCCCAGGAGCGGAGGTGGTCCTAGGACGCCCACCAGCCTGTCAGCCCGCTTCGAGTCGCTGAAGAGCGTGCCGGCCTCCATTGAGGAGGAGTCCTACGATGTGCCGCGACCCCTGATCTCCGCCGGCCTGCTGACCCAGATGACGCCGAGCAGCTCCGCCTCCTCGCTGCTGACCAGTGACAGCCTGTCGCTGAGCTTCTCCAGCTCCAACCGCTCCTCGCTGGCCAACATGCCCGACTATGACATACCGCGCCGCAATCCCTTGCCCGTGCGCCGCCAGCAGAGCGGCCTCGCCTATGACTCTCCTTTGCCGCCGCTGCAGGAACAGGAGCAAAGTGTGGCGCCCACCACTGCCGCCCCCGTTGCCGCCACTGCCACGCCCAAAGAGTTGCCCCTGGAGCTGAGCTCGGCCCTGGAAACGCTGGCCAAGCTGCAGCTGCAGACGACGGCCTCCATTAGCCGGCTGCTGAGCTTCGTTGTGCCCAACTGGCGCACCCGGGCACAGCTAGAGCCGACCATCATGGAGCTGAAGCTGGCCGCCCTGCGGCTGCGGACCGCCCTGCACGACCTGGCCGAGTTTGGGGAGGGAGCTTTGGGCAATGCCACGCGCTCGGAGGACCGCAGCCTGGCCCTCAAGCTGCGGCCGCTGGTGCGGGCTCTGCGGGACGCCAACAAGCTGATACACGACTCCTCCGAGTCCCTGGACGCCCAGGGTGGGTGGTCCGTGGAGCAGCTGGCACGCAGTGACGAGAAGCACGGCTGTCGTCCGCCGGACGCCCTTGACCAGCTGATGGCCTGTGCCCAGACCCTCACCGAGGACGTGCGCTCCACCACCAGCTTCATCCAGGGCAATGCCTCGCTGCTCTTCAAGCGCCAGGCACAGCAGCAGAACGGAGGAGGAGGAGGAGCTGTCGTCGTCGAAGGCAGCCGTGGCAGCGCCGAGTGGCTGGAGGATTACGACTATGTGGCCTTCGAGTCCAAGGATGCGGCCGCCAGAAAGAATCAGGCTCTGCGCGAGGCCATTCCCGCCGGCCTGAAAACCCAGTTCGACACAGTCATCCGAACCGCAGAGAGCACAGCCATGGGATCTGCCTCTAGCTCGGGCTCCGTGCCCCCCACGCCCACGGCCACGACGCCGTGCAAGTCGCCGGAGATGACCGACAAGGACAAGAAGCTGGTGCGCTACTACGCCCAGCAGATCTCCACGCACATGGGCAACCTGATGCAGGCCATCGACTCCTTCCTGGAGACGGTGGAGAAGAACCAGCCGCCGAAGTTTTTCATTGCCTACGGCAAATTCGTGGTGGTCAGTGCCCACAACCTGGTGACCATCGGCGACAACGTGCATCGCAACATCTCGAAGGAGGCTCTCCGCGAGAAGATCCTGCGCTGCACGAACGGCCTGTCCGACGCGCTAAAAACCTGCGTTTCCAAGTCGAAGAAGGCGGCGGCGCACTTTCCCAGCGGCAGTGCCGTCCAGGAGATGGTCGACTCGGTGGTGCACATCAACAGCCTGGCCCGGGAGCTGAAGACGGTCATGCTGCAGGCGGTGCAACTGTCGGCGGCGGCCGGACTAGGAGCCTGAAGCAGCCGCGATCCGATTGCGGTTCAGTATTAGCTCGGAGAGATGCAGCCACGTCTTCCAAGCCCCGGCCTCTCCCCGCCCACGACGGTTCCTTAACGCTTCGCCTAAAGCTTTGGCCCCGCAGACGGAAGCCCAAACTATCCGAAATTGGCATATCCCCCAGCAGCAGCAGCCGCAGCAGACTTGCATTGTGATATTTTTCGAGCGAAACATCTGAAAATGCACACACAGGAGAAGGAGGTAGCCCAGGACTCGGCTTAGATCTTAGTTGCTACCCACCAGAGTCAGTCGCCTAGCCCCTAAGTTTCGATTCTGTACATAGTATAACTTAGCTCTGATCTTAGCTCTAGACTTTTGTAAATTCAATACGATCCCGACCCCGATCCCCGCCAGGCGCACCATGTTGTATCAGTGGATGCATTTCAGCGTAGTTTTGTATACCCTAGGCTTAAGCACACCGCACACCCATCCACATATAGGACACACACATATGCATAGTCAGAATCTGAAAGATTTACACTCAAGCCCCACATGGCAGCGATGATGGTCGGTCGGTGGGTCAGTCAATCAGCAATATACGAAAACACACGCATTAACCTAGCATTAGCTACCTAGTAAACGATGTTCAGTCCCGGAGTAAGCTACATAACCGAGCGGAATAAGAATAAAATTATAATAATTATATTAAACAAGTCTTGGAAGTCTTGGGAGCAGGCAAGGCAGAGGAGTATCTAAGTTAAGACCAGGAGTTAAAGCAGGCAGGATCTCATAGAAACGAGTTCATGAATAACAAGAAAGAAAGCTAACTTTGGCCCTTGCAGGTAACAATTAAAATATATCATAACTAAGCCAAAAATGCATTAATTTCGATTCGGAAAGCAGTTTTGTGTTAGTTTTTATTAATTTAAAAAAACTGCATACCAAATTTAAAATTTTTAGAAATCAAAATTTTTGGCCATTTTTGCTCATTTCAATGATGTAACCCCTTATCAAATTTCGCAAAAATGGCCAAAAAATCGATTTCTTCCGGACATGTCTAGAAAGATTCGCCTGTTAATGCTGATCAAGAATATATATGGTTTATGGGGTCGGAAATGATTCCTTGACTTAGAAAAATATTATTTTGTATTATAAAATCTGATTTTTTATATTAAAAAACTTCGTGATTTTTTTTATACATTTTTAAATTTAAAATTATCATAACTCGGCCAAAAGAGCATTCATTTTAAATCGGAAAACTGTTCTGTGCAAGATTTTCTACAGTTAATAAATCTGCATACTTCTTCCTGACATATCTAGAACGATTTCCCTGTTGATGCTGATCAAGAATATATATGATTTACAGGGTCGGAAACGTCTCCTTTACTGCGTTGCAAACTTCTGACTGAAATTATAATACCCTGCTCCTTTTAATTCTTATTTTTTATATATTTCAGCAAATTGCTTAACTAATTTGCACAATTACCAGAATCCACAATCCCATATCACGCATCCTTGGCGCACCTGAAACCCAGGTTGCCCGCCGAGCTGTCCTCCGTGTTCTGGGAGCGAGCGGCACATCTGTAGCGGTAGCAGTAGGACTTGTGGCACAGATAGGAGCCGCCCTTCTTCACCCGGTTGGGGTTCAAACTGACATCGGTGGCGTCCCACAGATCCGCTGTCCACTCCCACACATTGCCCACCATGTTGTGCAGATCATAGACGTTCTGCCGGAACGCATCCACCGGGCAGGTGAACTCGAAACCGTCGTCGGCCAGGTTGCCATCGGGAAACTCACCCTGCCAGATGTTTAGCCAGTGCTGGTCACGGGGCATCAGCTTGTTGCCCCAGGGATAGAGTTTACCCTCCTTGCCGCCGCGACATGCTGTCTCCCACTCCGTTTCGGTGGGAAGCCGCTTTCCTGCCCATTGGCAGTATTTCCTGGCGTCGCGCCAGGATACGTGCACCACCGGGTGCTGCCCGAGCCCGTCTAGGCTGCTGGCCGGGCCATACGGATGTCGCCAGCTCACGCCTTTGACTTTGTACCACCACGGGGCGCTGGCCACGCGAAAGTCCTCCAGTTGCTTCTGTTCTGCGGCATCTAGTAGGGTCTTGAAGAGGAAACTGTCGCCGAAGCGCTCTGCCTCCGTGGTGTAGTTGGTGGCCAGCACGAACTGCTCAAAGGCGTCATTCGACACCTCGTACTTGTCCATGTAGAAGTCCGCAACCTTCACCTTTCGTTCGGGCGCTTCCCGGTCCTGTCCAAAGTGCGGCTTGTCCGTGCCCACCTTCACGGTGCCACCGGGAATGATGGACATGCCTGGGAACTCCTCCTCTTCGACATCCTCCTTGCTTGCAGAGTTCTCCAGCTCACCATAGTAATCTCTGTAGTGGCTGTTGGCGCCGCGAGCCTTCTGGCAAACCTGCTCCGGCACTGTCGCCGGCTCCTTGTCGGCGATGGCTTCACGGTCAGGAGTCTGACAGCCGCAATCGCTCCAGGCGAGTGGACACTGGCTCAGGATTAGCCACAAAACGCTGTGGAATGTAATTTCTTTGTTTATTTTCATTATTATTGTTGTATTTGAACTGTTTTTCGTTCAAAATAATGCAAATTATTAATTAAAACGACGTATTTTTGCTTACACTGCAGCTGGGCACACTGATAGGCTTAAAACTCTCCAACCAAAATTAATTAAATTGTTTTTATTTGGGAAAATTAAAATAAAATAAAATATATTTAAAATATTGAAGGCCTGGTTTGTACCTACAACAACAACCACCATCTTTCTAATTAAAATTTTGGTTTTGTTAAAATTATAACAGTTTTTGTTGTAAGCAAAGTCATAAACCGGAAGTTGTATAACAGTTTCGCATAATGCCGCCATCCCTAGAAATTTGAAAATATGGCGGAAAGCTTTCAAATAGAGTTTAAAAAAACTATGAAAATAGTTATAGTTTACTTTTATTCATTATGCAATTAAAAAGAACGAGTAAGTCACAGTTGCACAGTGGGTAAAACACATTAGAAACGATACGTACGAGTTAAATAAGTTAAAATTAGATTATGGCGCAAATCGTGGTTAACATTTGGCGGCTATGGCTACCGATCCGGCTTGGCTAAGATTCACTCGGCTTCTCGTGCAGCCAGGGCCGGAATATGGGCAGCGTCGATGGATAGTGCGTGTGTGTGTCCGGCTTTAGCACCGAGTCCGGCCAGGTGTTCGCGTTGGCGGCATCGCTGGCGTTCCGGAAAGGATACGTGGCCAGAACGATCGGCAGCTGCAGCTTGATCTCCTTCTCCATTGACTTTGGCTCGATGACGAAGAAGACGTCGTAGGATATCTTGATCAAATGACAGCCATGCAGGTTGGTGGGCGGCAAGGGCGGCACGTACAGCTCGTTGTGCCACTCGTCCTTCCCGCCCGGTCGGATCTTGCCACGCACCAGGACCGCCAGCTCGCGCTTCTCTGTCTGCACCACCTTGCCGCGCGCCAAATACTCGATGGTCTGTGAATGTTGGATTGAGATTCAGTCAGGGATTCAGAGAGTAAGGATCACGGACGCACCTCTGTTAACGACGCCTTGGTCCGCTTGATGGATACGTTGCTGTAGTTGGATATGAAAGCCGTGACCAGAATATTCTCACCGGGCACATAGCCGCCGCGGTCCAACGACACCCGGCATTTGATCTGGCCGCCACCCACGCACACGACGCCCAGCTTGTGCTCAACTTCGCAGGTGAAAGGTTGCTGTGAACAAAAGGAAAAGCTTAGTCCTGGATAATTTTCACAAACATTTACCCACCGCTAGTATGGGCTTCTCCAAGTTCAGGTCGATGGGGTTCATCACGATGAAAACCTGATGATTCTTGTGGATGATGCCGTTGTTTTCGCGCAGCGCCGCCTTGCAGTAGAACTGGATCCAGCCGTAGCGGCCCAGGAAGGTCGAGGGCAGACCCAGTGGCAGACCGAGCTTGAAGGGAAAGCTGTGTATTCCTGGCGAGAGAATGGCCGGACCGCCCTGGTCCACATCGCCGAGCAGACGCATCCGGAAATCGATGTAGTTCTCCTTGTCGTAGGTACGCTCCTGCCTTCGACCATTGCGGACGACGCCCTCGCCCACGACATGGAAGTGCAGGCCCAGGGCCGGCGTCTCGTCCTGCAGCTCAATGAGGACTCGGCCGGACAGGAACTGGCCGGGGAAGTACAGCAGCGACGTGTTGTCGAAAATGATCAGGAATTTAAGTAGCTTGCGCGGCATCTTGGCGGCGGCGTGAGACTGTTCCTGTGAGTGGACCTGCTTTCATGGGCTCTGCTGTCGATGCCTGGGGAAAATTGGTAAACGAAATTGGTTAGCTTTGTGGGTACATTTGTAAGTTTGCAATTATTTTGGCAGCGTTTTCGGTTTAATGACAACTTGTCCGTCATACTTGGCTACGTCTCCGCCGCCGCAGAGTATTGAACGCCACTCGCACACACTGGTATTTATGTGGGCAGCAGCGCCTAGGCGGGCAAAGGAAGCAAAACCAGTTTGGTGTGGCCCCCAGAGATGGCTGCGTGCACGACGGGCCATGCAGCACGATAGCCCCGAAACATGCGCAGCAAGGTCAGCACACCGATCATCTCGTGTCACGCCCCCAGCTCTTGGGCCAGAGTCGGGTATGTATCTTGGCCGAAACCGTAGGCTGCAGCCACAGCCATAATCGGGGAGCAGGCCACTCCGGTTACTGCATTGGTTGACAATGTTTGCAAGGGGGAAACTGACGTAACACTTTAGAGGAAGGAAAGTGGATTCCCGACAGTTCAAAGCCATCACTTTTTGGGCCATTCAACCACAGACACACAGATCATAGAGTTCGTTTCCGCTGGAGAGCACCCATTGTGGGCGCACTTGACAGCCAAAAGCCCGATTGTTTCCCCAAATACACTGTACGTACGCAAACACAAAGCAATCCAGTCCAAACCGATCCGCTGGGACACTGGCACGGAGCGTTACTTGGCTCGATCTCAACCGCGCTCGCTGACGCCCGTTTGGCAACTGGTCGTCGTCATCGTCATGCATCAGGCATCTCGGAACAACTTGTTTTGAGAGCACTTTTCGCGATCAGACCGCTGGAGAGGAGAGAGCTTCAGCTGGAGCCAGAGCCGCGGCCTAGATGATGTCGTAATATGCCTGGCGAGCGCGCTTTTGTTTTTATTATTATTGTTTGTACACAATACACCAGTTTCTGCATGGACTGGAGTCTCGCAGGATGCACTTAATGCAGGTGACTCAACCGGATTCGAGCGCCTGCCTGACCCACAACAAAAGATACAGGAGACAATGGAAGAGGGCCGAAGGCAACCCGATATCTGGGGGAACCCTTAGAACATTCATTCTTGGTGGTTTTTTCTACACACGCCTGGAATGTGTGTGTCTCAACACCTCACACCCCATCATATCGGCGAGCCTCGCTGGCCAAATTGGGTGAGCGATCCGCTCGATTACAAGAGCAGTCGCTAATCAAATTTGGTAATGCTCGCCGACCACTCCAAGAGCCAAGCAGCCGTCGTCGGGCAGGTGGAGCAGAGCGTTGGCCTGACAAGTACGCAGACTATTTGTGGCCAAATGGGTTTGGGATTCGAATACAGATTCAGATTCAGATTCGTATTCGTATTCGGTCGCACCTACAAAATGCTTGATTTATACATAGCTCCGTCGCCATTCTCCGGCAGCCTGTACAGGCGCGCAGGCAGGTCCACAGGCCCAGGCACATAAATGCATTAAGTGGCACACATTTATGCATTATGCATGCAATTCATACCGGTTTAGTGTTGTCTTTAGGCACCCAATCGAAGAACCTCAACTGTAACTCATGAAAATGAAAGGCCAAAAGCCAAGCGGAGCTATCAAGTAAACAAAAAGAAACCAAACCGCACTGGCTCCAAAAAAACCAGTGCTTTTATGTGTACACTGGACTTTTTACTGGCACTTGCTCGTTTAGTAGTTGGTTTTAAAGCTTCCTGCATTAGGGGGATCATTTTAGCATATGAATCAGGATCAGAATGAATCTCTGGTTGAAGAGACCTATTTAAACTGCAGATAATTGATACTTTGGTGTGAGTGGGCTTAAGGAAAGCTTAACATATTGAGCCTCTGCTTCAAAACATAATATTACTTATTTACTTAGTAATTCCTAGTTTAAAAATGTATTAAAATTTATTAAGTCTTCTTGAATTAGGAGGATAATCTTGAATCATGAATCAGGTGAATGAATCTGGTTGAAGATATTCATCAGTTCTGATCTGATTTAGGACTTAACTTAACCTGCAGATATGTAGGTGATAATTAGAAATGACTGGGCTTAAATATCGTACTAATACTGCAGTACAGTACTTATAGCATATATTGACTTTAAGTAGACTTTAAAAGAAAGTCTCACAATTAACAGATCTATAGCTGCCTCGGCACTAATCACTCTTACTAAAGACCCTGCTGATTAGACTCTTACATTGTAGATGTCAGATTTGCCCAGTTTTCTTTTTCGATTTCTCCAAGCTGCTTGCATTAGTGACACTTAGCAGTAATAGAGAGTAGAGTGGAGTGGAGTGGAGTGGAGTGGCTGGCGTTTTCCATTTCAATGTTTTCTCGCTTAATTGCTGAGAATTGTTGACTTTTAATGACCCCAAGAAGCCGCGAAAGATGGATGAAGGCAACGAGCTGGAAAGATTTCCCGTTTGCGGTCTGAAAATTAGTTTACTTCGACTTCGACTTCGGACTTGTTTGTTTGTTGTCTGAAATGATAATCGAGCATAGTTGGGCCTCGGAGTTTTTGGGTAGCAGTCAGTCAGTCAGTCGGCAATTAAGTCCAGCAGAAGCTGGAGTGTTACAGTCAGTGTGGTTTCGCAGCTGCTCCGTGGTGCACCATCAGCAGTATCCGTACGGCCCAGTCTCTGCTCCGTTTAGCTCTTTGTTCCGAGAGTAATTACAGTGGACCACAGTATGTAGCTTTAGTCGGTCTTTCATAATAGTGGCGAAAGCCAGCCAAGAATATCTTAACGTAGCATCAGTTGTGGAGGGGAGTGGCCCGACCGATTACCCACGATACCGTAAAATTCGAAGAGAAAAGCAAAAAGTGCTGCCCCAAGCTGAGTTAGTTTCTTACCTCACACAAGCTCTGCGTCAAGCTTTGGCCACTGTCTTCGTGCTCTTCTCCCGGCCAGGTCGCTCGCTCTCTCACTCTCTTGCCTAAATGGAGTTGGTCTTAAGTCGGACCTGGCCGCGCTGTGCCTCAGTTTTTGCGATGACGCCGAGAGCGCTGGTAAGACACGGTCTGCGTTGTTAGCCTGGGCTGCACTCCCCCGATGGACAGGTGTAGCGGCGCGCGAGAAAGTTGAATCTGTAACAGGCCCAGGCGATCGCAATCGCGCTCGCACTGCACCTCGCCATGAGTCATACGCGGTGTTTACATCCCCGCCAGAGCGTGAATGGGTCTCTGCTCCAGTTTGCCCGAGATCCTATCTGGAGGCCGCGAACATGTGTTATGAGTGGACGTAAATACGTCAGCTTATTTACATAATTGGCTAATTAACCGATCTCTTGACACGTTGTTAACCAGATTCTTACCAAGTGGAATAAGAACTGTTAGCCAATTGTCTGCGGGATTGGGGTTAGCTGGGGGTTTACTGGGAACGCCACAGAGACCGCATAAATTACACCAAAATGCTTTCTTTCGTTTGCCCAGTGCCAAAACCGTTAAATGCTCGCCGCGTCTTATACAATACCCGAATTTGCATAGCCCTGGCGGAGCCTCGTTCGGAGTGGAGTGAACTGTTAGCTAATCTTTAGTCTCTGTGCGGTGTTTCCACAGAATGCCAGCAGCAGACATGACCACCCTGACCACTGAGCCCACGATTGCCGCGCTGGAACAAAGATTGCCAGTGGCCGATGACTTGGATTCGATTCCCTCGCAGGAGGACGAGGAGGATGGCGACAACCTGCCGATCTGGATCGATGGAGAGGAGCACTGGATAACCGGCGTGGACGCCAGCACCACCTGCTCGGACTTGATCTGTGCGCTTCTCAGCTACCGGAGTCTCCAGCAGCAGCAGATGTATCGCCAGGAAGGTTTGAGCAGCCATTGTCCCGCGCCTGCCCTCCATGGCCCCCAAGAGTACGCGATTGTGCAGAAGCAACGGCACTACGAGGAGTACCTGGACGGAAGTGCCAAGCTCTGCGATATCATCGCCAGCCGTCACGCTTTGCCGAAGGAGGAGGAGGTAAGCGATCGCGATCGAACGATCGAAGGCCCCGAGCTAAACGTTTTTCACCCTCTTCCAGTGCCAGCTACAGCTACGCCATTTGGCCACCGCCACGTCCCGCAAACACACCCCGACGACGGACAAGGACAGTGGCATGGGCAGTCCAGTGGATAGTTCGCGTAGCATGCGCTTTCGGCGCAGGGGCAAGAGCAAGGTACTGCCGGCGACCATGGAGCCGGAGCAGTTGGGCATGACGAGGGCCAACCCCAAGCAGCCAAAGAGAAGCCGTAAGAAGAACTCTCACATATCGCCCGATGAGAGCCTGTTGAATATTATCCTGGCGCAGGACGAGACCATCCTCCAGCAGATGTCCATGCTGCAGTAAGTTATGCAATTATCCCCGCACATTAATCCTGATTATGCCGATTCTCCGCTAGCGACAAGGACCGTCAGATCCTGAAAATCGAGGAGGAGAAGCACCGCACACGGGAACGCGAGCTGGGGAAGAACTACCTGCTAGAGACGTACCTAAGGGACCTGGAAGAGACGCAGGAGAATGGCCACCCCGCACGACAAAGCTCCGAGGAGGGGCCACCAAATAGGCTTGAGGAGGCGGCAGCCTCTTCAGATAATGGTGAGGCCGTCAAGGACGAGATCCGCTTGTACTGGCTGGAGAAGATCCATGCCCTGAACAAAGACCTGCAGCGGGAGGAGGAGCTGCTCCTTAGCCTGCATGCCAAGGTGCGTAGGCACCAGGTTAAGCGGGTGTACGAGACGAAGAGCGAGGTACTGGTCCAGATCGATAAGCTGGACACGCAGCTGGCCGCTCAGGTGGAAGATATCCATAGAGTGGAACGGAAACTGTTCACGGCCAATGAGCAGCTTAAAGCCAAGCTCGGCGTGCTCGAGTCTTTGGGTCGCGAATTCGAGACAACGGTAACCGAGGAACGGTTCGTTCCAGAGGAGCCCCAAGAGGCTGTAAAACTTACCAGATTAATGCAGACAGCTTCGTCTACGGCCGATGAGTTCCAGCCAGGCGAGCGCCGCTACCGCCTGACCCAGCAGGAGCTCACGCAGAGGAACCTGAATGGTCACCAAAGGCCAAATGACAAGGGCTTGTCGAAGCTTCTGCTCAAGGGAGGCAGTAGCTCACCGAATCCCTCTACCTCCTACCCGCTTGTCCCCGTGGAACACCTGGGCACCCTGGTATAGCCTGGAAGGAGTAGGATCCTTTAAGAATCTCGAGCGTCGGAACCAAATTGTTGTCAACTAACCAAATAGAGATTTCATTCTTTGTTTATGTTAAAAGATTTTCTTTTTGTTGTACAACAAACACGCCCTAAACGGGTCACAAAAAAGCTAGGTGGACACCAAAAATGCTGATTCTACTTACTTCTTACTGCTATTCTTCAACTGCCGCATGAAGCCTGCATTTGGCTGGATGCAGGGCCGCCAGGACTTGACCAGATTGTAGGCATCCTCGGCGCTCATATCGCGCCGCTGCATCAGATAGCCGATGACCACGGAGGCGGAGCGCGAGACGCCCGCGTTGCAATGAACCAGCACGCAGCCCTGCGGCGTTTGGCGACGAGCCTCCTCGATGAACTCAATGGACACCGGCAGGACATAGTGCAACAAGTCGGCATCGGGCAGATCCAGGCAGGGGAGATATTTGCACTTGACCGGCGTTGGCAGCTGCAGCTCTCCGAGGCTGGGCGTCGGAATGCCCACGCTGAGTATGTGCGTCCACTTGTACCTCAGCACGTTCTCCGCGGTCACAGCATCCTGGGAGCCCAGGTAGAGAAACTCGCTTAGGATGCAAGCGGGCATTGTATCGGGCTTGGTGTCCACAACGAAGCCATAGGGACGTGACTCTAGGTGCTGCTGTTGCGGACTTCCGGATGCAGCTGTTCCTGTTCCCTCCTCGCTGCCGGAAGATCTTCGCCGCGGTTCAATGTAGCGGGCCCCGGTGGGAGTCGTTACGACGGTGGTGGTTGGCCTCAAGTTGGCCAGCCGCTTCTGCAGCTCATACAGCAGTATCATGATGGCTCTAGTTGTTGGCTTCCTCGCGATAGTGGACTCTGCACAGGTAGAGCCCGCAGGCCGGCGCCAGGTGTATGCGATGGTCCCACGAGTTCTTCGAGGGAATGGTCAGCATCTGGTAGATGTCCTTCTCGTTGATTCGCCCGCTGCCCAGGGCTATCAGAGTGCCCACGATGCGACGCACTTGCTTGTACAGGAAGGACTTGGCCTTGATCTCGATGTCCCAGTAGTCGTAGGTTTCGGTGGCCAGCGTGGCGTTCGAAGCGAGGGCCAGAGATCGGCCGGCAAGTATATTGATCTCGTCGATTTTGCGCAGGGTGAACATGGGATGGTCGCGGGTGGGGCCCTTCTGGCGGCTGACGCTCATAAAGGTGCGAAAGTCATGGACACCGATGAACATCCGAGCCCCCGACCGGACTCGTTCAATATCGAAGCTCGGGTTTCTGTGGAAGAGAAGACAATGGTAACTTGTGCATAGCCGCAGTAGTGTGACTTACTGGCTCTGCAGGAAGTAACAGCGATCGATCTCCTCCACAGGTATATAGGCCTCGTATCCCCGGTTTCGCAGCTTGCCACTGTCATCCGCCGCGGGCGGAGCCTTGGCCACGGCAATGCGGTACAGGTATGTGCGTCCGGTGGCGTGATACCGACAGTGGAAGGAGTCGTCCACCAACCGGCTGCTGAGCACGCGGATTGGAAGGCGCTGCTTGTCGAGCGTCCGGTTGAGCACACCGGTCAGTGCACTGGTGTCGTATGGCTGGCCATCACGCCGCTCAAGGTCAACGTGCACCGTTGAGTGCAGGGCATGGACACCCGCGTCTGTGCTGAAATGGAGTGCGTTTCTGTAGCTTTAGCAGCTTCTCTGGGTTCCCTTGTCACACTTACCGACTGGAGAGCACCGTCTGTATCTCGTTTGCGGGACGGAAGACTCGCAGGGCCAGCTCCAAGCAGCCCTGAATGGTGTTGGTGTCCAGCCGCGCCGGCTCAGACTTGTTTATGGTCTTTTGAATGCCACTGGTGGGGAGTTGGGGAGTTATTAGGGAGCCTGGCATTCAGGGAATCCTTAAAAACTCACCGAAAAGTCGTTCCAATGTAGGAAATATTCAGCAAGTACCTGTGCATGTTATGCAGCACCGCCCACACGCCGGGTAAACTCAATAAAAACAGCTGGCCACACTGCAGCGAGCGTTTCAGGCAATTGACTAACTAGTCTTTTTGTTTTCTGGAACTTGGCAATTTTAAGTTAGTTAGCTTGGCTTATGGTGAATAATTTGGCGGTTATCTAAGAGCTCTACTTTCTTAACACTCTTTTTAAAAAGAAATTGGTTTTTCTTTAAGAATTATTGGTCACACGCCACTCCAAGATAACAGCTGATTAACTGACTACGCTTCCCAACACTGCTTTCGTATCTTTCGACTATTCCACACGGCGTCTGGTAACACTGGCTGACAGACAAAAAGTTTTGTAATCAGACAAAAATTAAGACTGCCTGTCGCCTGTCGTCCACCACCCACCGGTAAATACTTCTCCAGGCTCTCGCCCAGCCGGCTATCCAAATTTCGAAGAGCAGAGTTCCCCAGCAGCAGCCCCGACATCACACAGATCAAGAATGGCCGGCCATATCGACAACGCCCGCGCCACGGAGGATACGGAGGTCAATGCCTGGATCCGTTTCGGCCTCCGACTAGGCGTCAGCGCTGCCCTGCACCCCTTGGAGTACTCGAAGACGCTGATGCAGCTGGGCTACGAGCCGATCGCTGCGCGCCCCGGCAAGTCGTTCCTGGGCAAGCCGGTGATGGAGCTGCCGAACATCTTCCAGTACGGTGGGTGCAAAGTTCTTGTGGCCAAAGCCAGCGGATTGAATATATGGTCTCTTGGTCTCTTGCAGCTGGGCACATACGGCGTATTGACGGCTTCTATGGCTGCTACCGCGGACTGGCACCCAAACTGGTTGGGTCCATTGTGGCCCTGGTGGTGAGCGACCGGGTGGCCGACAAGCTGGGTCTGGCGCCGCCCGAGGAGATCAAAGACGATATAAACCAGACCGATGAGGAAATGCAAGTTTCTATATGCTTTTCGTATCCTCCAATTCCCTAGCGAACTCCTTTCTGCCTCTCCCGCAGGTACATTCAGTTCAAGTCGACGCTGAAGCGCGACATTGTGGTGACGGTGACCGGAATTGTGGCCTCGCATCCCTTCCATGTGATCTCGCTGCGCATGATGGCGCAGTTCGTGGGACGCGAATCCCTGTACACATCCATTCTGGGATCCGTGGGCGAAATCTGGAAGACTGAAGGCATTGCGGGCTTCTTTTCTGGCTTGGTGCCAAAGCTCTTGTGCGATGTGGCCTGCCTGGTGCTCACCAGCTCCACCGTCTACATGCTTAATAAATATATCATCAAGGATGCGCTGGGCAGACAGTACAATGCGGGCTTCACCCAGTTCTTTGTGTCCACCATGCTGTACCCCTTGCAGGTGGTGTCCACATGCTCGGCGGTGAGCGGCTCGCGTTTGATGGCCGGCCAGCCGCCCATTATGCCAGCCTATAAGAATTGGGTGGACTGTTGGAACGATCTGCAAGCCCGTGGGGATCTAAAGCGCGGAAGCTCTCTCTTCTTCCGGTGAGTGTGATGCTGGTTTCGCGTATTCAATTTTTATGAATTTTCTTTCCATTTTTGTATTTAGGACGCAATCCATTAGATCGCCAGTTATTACCACTTCCTCCTTTGCGCCTCTGCCCAAGCTGGCACGCTACCAGTAGATACCAGCAGATATAATGCCAAGAGACGACCACGAAGGGACCTACCCGGACAGCCCGTCACAACTTCAACTTGCGTTTACCCAGCATTTCGATGGATCCCTGATCCTGCCCCCAAGACAACTGCATTTGTTCCATGTCCCTTGATGATATTACAAGTATACCTAACATGACTTGAAGAATTATCTGCATTTGCCTCGTGGTCGCTTAGTCTCTTAACCCATATCCTTGGCGCAGTTCCTTCGTAGCTTCCGCGTTTCCTTGGCACTGGATCCTTTGCTAAGCCATATGTAGAAGGCTAGCTTGTCCAGATTGTGTATAGTTTGCGACAAGATCCTGTTACTGTTTTATTCCTGCAAGAACAAATAAATTTTGAACCCTCGGCAGATGTTGTTTTTGTTGAAACTTTAGGGATATAAGAACAGATTGAGCTGCTAATTATGGTAGGGATTCCCTTACTGCAATGCAAACGAGAGAGAAATGTCATTTCTGTTCAACTTTTATCAGGCAATAAGAGAAATTCAACTCACCTAATCAATAAAGTAAATCGACTTTATGTATCATTTTAATTTATATGTATAATTTCTGCTATATTTTCCGTATTTATAATACAACTTAGCTGTACTTAGCTGCTTGGTTGATTGGTTTTTACACGAGTTTCTTTATACAGTGCTTACTTTGCGGATCCAATAAATAAATTTAACACACTATAATGTAATAGAATGCTCTTAGAAATACCGAAAAATCGTACTTAAAATATTTTACACATGGTTTACATTTGCTAAGATTGTTTCTTACTCGGCTAGTGCATATAGTGCTTCCTGGTCAAAAGAATATATGCATATGTTCGCCCTATTTCAGCTGCCAACACTTATCCAATTAGCAATTGTAATAATTTCATTAGTAATACTTCTATGCGTGTTCTTAACTAGGAGCTTCCTCTGCTTAAACATCTAGGTATTTGCTGTGTGTTTAAAGTTTTAATTGCAATGTCATAGGCATATTCGTTAGAGGTTTCTTGTCGATAATCTTGGGGAGAGTTCCCTCATATATGTAACTATTGGCGCTCCAACTTGGCGAACTTCTAGCTATTTACACCTTTAACTACATACGTACATAGATTACATTCCCCCTCCAATGGCCAAGTTAAGATCTACGTCTAAGTTGGTCTGCGCGCTGTGAGGTATGAAGAGGCGATGGTCTGATATGACCTTTCTTCTCTGCACACCCCCCATTTCAAGGCAATATAGAAAGCATAAGATGCGTAGCTCATCCTACTTATTCATATATTGCCCTTGCCCAATTCCAAGTTGGAGCTGGCTTATTGCTTTTGTTTTGGGTCAGGACTTGACCTAACCAGCGGAAAAGAAGGACTCTTCCAGGCTTCCTAGCTTTCGCCTTAATTGACCGCTTGTGTTATAGATCTAAAATATGAAATAAAATATTGTGCTGCTGTGGGATGTTTTGTTTTTAAATAAGGCTTTTTGCTTTTATTAAATTTTTGCTAAAAACTAGAATTAAAATTAATAATCATTAATTAATAATTAAAGTTAACGTAATGGTATTAATTAAAAACATTTTGTCGCGCACACAATTATTTACAATTACACAAATATCGTCGTTTTAACTGTTGTCGTTCTTCTTTACATATTTATCATAATTATCCTCTATGTTTTTTGCCTTTTATTTTTGTTTTGTTTCACTTAATATTTTGGAATAAATATTTGTTGCATGTGTGTGTGTGTGTGTTCCTTTAAATGTATTTTCGAAAACTTGTTGTTCTCCCCTTTGAGTGAAGATACCGCCCGCCCCAGCAGAGTCAATGAGAAAGTACACATATTTTTGATAATTAATAAAACTATTGGCGACAAAGGAGCATTTTAGTTGTTGATTCGGAGATCTAAGCGGACTCGCGCTACTGTCTGCTGGACCCATGTGTGTATCTATCTGGAATCTGGAATGCAATCACACCGAGCTGCTTCCACATGGTCGGTCCAAGGACACTATAGCTGCCTATAGTGTCTTCTGGGGCTTAGATTTTTATTTTTTTTTTTCTTTCTTTTGTGTTTGTGACTTGGCAGAGGCACCTTTGCTTATAGAAAACCAGTGTACGTTGTTTGCCTACTTTACTATTGCTTCAACACCTTCGAAAAAAACAAAAAATAAATACATAAACGAAAAAGAACAAAGAGAATTGAAACTTCATTCATTTTATGGAGCTTTTCGATACGCTGCTGTTACGCTTACATCTAAAATACAAATATTTCTTTTAATTTCTTGTTCATCTCTCTATAGGTAGGGGGGAACGGGGGGAGCTTTATATGCACTTAGATTGCGGCCACTACCGACTTTGATTTTCGCTAAGAACTACAATTAATGACTATCGCTACAATTGTTGAAATTGTCGTTACTCTTTTGCACGCATTTAACAGTTTTTGCTAATATATATATCTATATATATATATATACGTAGATATAGCGATTACTTTACGCATTATTAAATAATTATTAATAAATAGTACATTTCTATATGCTGGCTTTCATCGATCATCCCTTAGTGAGTGGAGGAGGGGGGGCGTGGAAGGACTTATGGGCGACCTAAACCAAGAGCATTTTTGGATCGTTAGGTTCGACTTTTCCTGCTGTTCTTTAATACAGTAATTTACAAAGACCTTAAACGTACGGAGGATGCTTCCACTAAAAATTTACAATTTAGCTTTACTTTACTTTGTTTTTGGAGTTAATTAATCAAATATATATATATAAATATATATTTTAAGGGTATATATGGGTAATATCTTGCGTTTACGCCGATGCAGCAATCTTCATAACAAACCAGTGACGGACAGATAAAAGAGACAAGTGCGAGGAGCAGGGGCGGGAGAGGACCTTACGAGCTAACTGTACAAATTAAACCTCAATTCGGACTGATCTTTGTTCTATCAAGGAGCCAGGATATCTAAAGGATAGGGATGGGAAGGAAACGCGCCAACTCGCTTACTATGATTATCATCTAACCTCACAGTCTTTTTTCAATGGAAGTAAACCGCCTCCTCCGCCGCCACCGGCGGCTCCAGGGCCTCCTCCGCTTCCGCTGCCACTGCTATTGTTGTTGCTGCTATTATTGTTGTTATTGTTGTTGTTCGAGTTGCTGTTGCAGGAGTTGCTGGACGCGGATCCGGTGCCACTGGCCGAGGGCAGTGAGTTGTTGCTATTCTCGTAGTTGCCCACGTTGACGCACAGCGGCGTTGTGGCGCCCACAAGGGACGACACAGGCACACCGTGGCCGCCGCCCTCGGGCAGAGAGGTCGAATCGTGGACATCGGCACTCTTGCTGGAGTCAATTACCAGGCAGGGCGGCGACGGTGTGCCCGTGTCCTTGCCCAGCAGCGCAGGGGAGGCATTCGCGTTCTGGGAATGCGGCGTAAAGCTGTTGAGCAGCAGGCTGCCCTGCGGCGAGGTCTCGCCCAAGGGCGTCGTCATCAGGGGCAGGTGGTCTGTTACCGGGGAAGCGGTCTCCGCCAGAGGCTCGTCCTTCTTTGTCCCGATAATGTAGCCGCCGCCCGTCAAGTTTCTGGCTATCTTGAGGCGCAGGGGCGCTGCGGCCGTCGCCTCCACCACTGGCTGCTGCTCCACACATGCTGCTATGGTCTCCGTTTTTCGCTTGCCAAATCGCAGGATCAGCTTGGGCTTGTCACCCGGCGAGGCGCTGGCGCTGGCCGTGTTCTCAATCAACGTGGTGGTCATGGTGGTTGTCGTGGAGCTGCTGTTGGCCAGGATCAGCTGCTGCTTCTGACGCTTCTTCTTCTCCTTTTTGTCCTTCTTGGGCTTGGAAGACTTGGGCCGCTTGCTCGGCGGCATGGGGGGCATTATCATGGACTCCTCCTCCTCCTCCTCTCGGACGAGGCTCTCGCGCTTGTGGTTGTCCTCGCCCTTGTCAAAGTCCTGCATCACCTTCTTGCGGTAGTTCATCGAGTCCCGCTTGATCTCCTCCAGCGTGGGCGTGCTGTAGTTGCTGGTCAGCCGCTTCTTGGGCGGACAGGCGCGTCGCGTCATCTCGTAGCTGTAGCTCTGGCCCTCGTGACTCGCGTTACTCAGCAGCCCCGAGGGCGAGTCGTTCGTTCCCGTGAGCCCCCGGATCTTGATCTTGAGCTTGGGCGCCTGGTGGTCATCCTCGCTGCTCTCCAGTGTCTTGCTTCGCCCGCGTCGCTTACCTGCACTGCTAGCCGCTCCCGTCTTGCCGTTGTTGTCGTTATTGTTGCTGCCCGAACTGCAGGCGCTGCGCCTCCTGCCGTCGCCGGCGGAGGCTCCTGCACCTGCTCCCGCCATCGCCGTGGCTCCGCCAAGCAACTGCTCCTCTCCTAGCACGGAGTTGGCATCCAGAGCCCGTAGCTCGCGGTTGCTCGAGTTCTTTTTGAACCTCTTGGAGCCGGAGGAGGAGAGCTCCTCCTCCTCCTCGGACTTGCGCAGCAGATTATCCAGCGGCAGGCTGTCCGAGGTGGCTGGCAAACCGCACGAGCTGTCGTCGTTCAGGTTGTCCTTCTGGACCACGTACAGGCTCAGCAGCTCCTTCTTGCGCATGCGTCGCGAGTTGCCGCTGACCGCGGACGAGGCATTCACCACCGTGGAGGTGGACACCGTTGTCTGCACGGCATTGGAGGACTGCACCAGGGTGCTGGACAGCGTCAGACTGCTACTGTTCGCCATCGCCGCCGTGTAGTGCTCGGGGTAGGCCAGCGGACTCTTGATCTTTAACTTCAGCTGGCTGCTGGCCGCGTGCTTGGTGTTCAGCGTGAGCGTGGTGTCCGAGTCGATGGAGACCTCCTCCGAGGTGGCCTCCAGAGAGGCCTCCACAAGGGAGCCCTCCACCAGGTGCGTGGCCACGCCGGATCCAATGACACTGGGAGCCATTTGATTGGCCTCCGTGGAGTGCAGCAGCAGGTTGGCTGCCGTGGCTGGTGGGTTGGGTGGTGGAGCTGAGGGCGGCCCCACTGGCGTTGTAGTCGCCGCCGAAGGTGGCTGCTTGCTGGGCGAGGTGCCAGTGCCGGTGGCCCGCAGTGCGGACTGAAACTGGCGCTCGTCGTCCTCGTCGAACTCGCTGAGCATCTGATCGGCGGTGCCAGAGTCGAAGGCGCCCAACAGGTTGTTTTGATAGGCCTCCTGGGAGGCCGTGCTGTGCGGCGCCTCGAAGCCGAGATTGTAGGTCCTCATGTCCACTGGTCCCGGGAGTACGGGATGAAGCAGCGGATTTGTGGCAGCGCTGGCCGCGGCATTTGGCGTTGTCGTTGCTGGAGGAGGCGGCGGCACCTGCTGCTTGGCCTGTCCCCGTGCCGTGCGCAGCTCGAAGCTCCTGCGTCGGTCCCGCAGAGACTGCAGATTCTCAACCACCGGGCCGGCCATGTCGTCGTCATAGTTGTTGAACTCAAAGGGCGTTCCCACCAGATTGTTGACAATGTGGGTGTTGCTGCCGTAGTCTGCCATCTGCTGCTGCTGCAGGGACATGGCCATGCCACTGCCTCCCGTACTAGCTCCTCGACCACGTCCTCGTCCCCTGCCTCTACCTCTTCCCTGGCCACCTGCACCACCGCTTCCTCGCGGGGCCCGCTGCCTGGGCTTCCCCTGCAGCGTGTGTGTCTGCGGGTCGTACTTGGTTGGTGGTAAGGTCACCACCGGAGGCGGTGCTGGCGGTGTGGGTGGTTGCAGAGGCTGCCTGGGCGACTTTCCTGGTGATTTTCCCTGCGGCAATTGTGGGGACTTGTGCGACTGTTTCTTGGCTGAGCCTCCACTGATGCTGCAGCTCCTCTTGCTGGGCGAATCTTTTGGAGCAGCGACTGGCACAGGCACTTGGACTGGCGGGGTTGGTGGCATCATCGAGGCGGCTGCCTCAGCACAGCTGCTTAGTAGCTGGCCAGGATACGAAGGCATTTTGCCGGCCACATCCACCGGGGACGAAGTCATGGCGAGCTGCTGCTGCTGCTGATGATGATTTGGCGTTGTCTGAACGGGAACGGGTACGGGCACGGGTGGCAATGCAGTCTGTGGCACGGGCAGCATGCCCAGACTGGGCGTGGAGTAGGGCGTGCCCGAGTACTGAGTGGCGGCCTGAGGCGAAGGACCTACTCCGACGACTCCTCCAACATTACCATTGCCATACAGGCTGGGCGACGACTCCGTTGGCGTTGACTGCGGATGCGGATGCATCATGGCCGCCAGCTGGGGATAGATGCCACCGTTGTACTGGCTATTGGGCGTTCTCTGCTGCTGCTGGTGCGTTGGCGTCGTCTGCTGTTGCTGGGTAGGCGTTGGATTGAACATGGGCATGGCATCGATACCATTCACCAGCGGCGCATGGTTGAAGGGCGGCCCCGCGTTCGGTGCATTGGCTGGCGGTCCGCCATTGCCACTGGGATAGTTGTTGAAGAAGTTCTTGCAGGTCTCCAGCTGGGCGAGGGTGCGGGCCGCCGATGCCGCCGCAGCTGCAACTGCCGCCGGCGGCGGAGGAGGATCATTCGACTCGGACACTGAGCTCGGCGAGCTGCTTCTCCGCTCCGCAATCAGATCGTTCTCGTTCCACGGAATCCTGCCAAACGGCGACTGCATGCGCGTATTCTCATCGTAGTCGGTCATCTTGTTGTTGTTTTGACCACCAGCGCTGCCTCCACCCGTTCCCGATTGCCCTGATTGCGTGGGCACAGCCGCTGCTCCACGGTAACTTCCCAGCGTGTTCTTTCCTGCCGCCGCCGCCGCAAGGTCTACAAAGTCGGGCGTGGCTCCAGGTGGTCCAGCACCTGCACCACCACCGCCATTGCTGGACAGCGGACAGGCTCCCTTCTGCAAGGGCGACTTGTCCAGGAAGAGGCTCAACGAAGGCGCCTGCTGGGCATTGCCAAAGTTCACCTGGAAGTTGCCGCCACCTGTTGCCCCCAGATTGTTGGCATTGTTGGTGGGCGTGGCATTGGGTGTGTTGGTCAAGCTGTTGGCATAGCTGCCACTGTTGGCCGTCATGGGCGAGTCCTTGATGGTCAGCGAGGCCACCGAGTTGGGTCCAGATGAATTGCCATAAAGACAGGCCTGAGCCTGAGCCTGCGACTGCTGCTGCTGCTGTTGTAGTTGCTGCTGCTGCTGCTGCTGCTCCTTCTGGGCGTGTATGATATCCTCCGGATCAGCAGCATTGTGAAAGGGAAACACCGAGGGGATCTGTGGTGTTGGGGGCAACAGGTCCACAGCCTCCTTGGAACAGCAGTCATCCTGCTGTTTGCGCTTTGTCTTGCGCAGTTTCTCCAACAGGTTTCGTGTTGCCTGCGTGCTGTCCTCCTCGCAGATATCCTTGCCACCCCTGCCACTGTCCATGCCGGCACCGAGGAGACCCATGTGACCCGGATTGGGGGGATTCAGAACGCTGGCCAGGCTCGAGGCGAAGTTGTTGGCGAACTTGCTGTCCTCCATCTCGAGTATGGTGTCCACAATGGGCTCCAGGACGCAACGGCCGGAGCCAGGTGGACCAAGGTGATCGATTATGGGCGCGGCATGGTGCGGCGGCAGCAACTGCTGCTGCTGCTGGATGGATGCCGTGGCTGCCTCGTTTGCTGGGGAATGCACAAGCAGAGGCGGAGGCAAGGACTGATCCTGCACTGGCACCGGCTGCACTTGCACCTGCTGCTGCTGCTGCTGCTGCTGCTGCTGATCCCCGCCTGAGTTGGCCGAGTTCGAGTCCAGTTCTATGATCTCCGGCGGATCGGGTGGAATAACCGTGACTGCTGGCGAGGATGTGGACGCGGAATACTTGCTGGCATTCGCCAGGAGCTCGTTCTTGCGCTCCTCCTCCAGCTCGCGAGCCATTTCCATCTCGTTGAGCAGGTGCTGGGTGTGATGCGTGTGCTCCTCGTCCAGCTCGTTGCTACGCCGCCTCCTCCGCCGCCTGGAGCGCCAGCGAATGCGCCGGCGCTCGCTGAGATCGCTACCAGCATCGGACATTTCGTCGTCATTCGAGGTGGGCGTGGGAGTCGGTGAGGCAGGCAGCGGAGCAGCTGGCGGACGCTCGTCATCGATGATGTCGGCCAACTTGCTGGCGCTGGCCGAGAGTTGGGTATGCGTGGGCACTATGGTCAGTTCCTCATCGATGTCCATGGGCAGTTCTCCAGCCTCAGTAGCAACCTCTGGCTCTGGGTCAGGTTCAGGCTGAGGCGCCTTTGATTCTAGGTCAGGCAGGCGATTGGCGGTGGCTGGCTCGTGCTCCCGCTCCTGCTCCTGCTCTTGACCCTTCTGGGTTGGTCTTGGCGGCGTGGGAGACTTGGGGGGCGCGGAATGGTTCATCTGCTGCTGCTTCTTGTTGAGAAGCTTGTCCAGTGCACTGGTCGCCTTGCCGCTGGCCGCCTTCCTTTGGTTAATCTCGTGCTCCAGGTTCGGTAGCTTCTTGGGCGAGGACGATTCATCCGCTCGGGATTTGCGACGCGAGGAGGAGGAAGGTGTCTTCTCCGGCGAAGACTTGGCTGTGGGCGAGGGCGGGCGAGATTTTGAGCCACGCGTTGCCCGCTTGGTGGCCTGTTCCGATTGCTGCTTGGCAGCGCTCTCATCCAAGGAAGCTGGGCGACCTTGACGCTGCAGTTGCGGTGGAACCTTGGTGGGGGATACATCCTCGGAAGCTGGCTTCTGCGTTGCTCTCTTTGGCGATTTCGTCGTGGTGGAGTTCTGACGCGTTCGAGGGGCTGGAAGCGTGGGTGGAGGCGGTTGCGGAGCTGGAGGTTTGTCCACAGACTTGCGAGGTGAACGCTTTGGCACATTGAAGGGATCAGGCACAGACACGGGCAAAGCTACTGGCACCGGCACAGACGTGGCCTGAGATGGCTTCTCAGCATCGCTGGCCTGGGATTCGCTATCGGAGTCGCTGCCACTGCCACTGGAGCCACTGCTGCCTGAGCTGCTGGAGGAACTGGAACTGTCGCTGTCGCCGGAACTGGAGCTTGAGAGATTGGGAGCAGCCACGCGACGCTTGACTTGCGTGGCCGCTGCAGGCGTAGCCTTAACTGGCGTCACCAGCACATCCTCCTTGGACCTTCTTCTATTCCCTGAGCTGGTTTCCTTTGGCGTGGTAGAAGCGGGTTCCTTCAAGGAGGTCCTCCTGGTCGGCTTGACTGGTGTGGTTGGTAGAGCACCAGTTGCCGCCGGCTCCTTCTCCTTCTCCACATCATTCGTGGTCGGGGGGAAGGCCTCCTGCACCGGCTTGCTGCTCTTCAGCTGCTCGGCCGCCTTCTTGGCCGCTTGGCGCTGGGGAACCAGCGACACGGCAAAGTTGGACTTGGCGGCTGATGGTGGCAGACTGGCCGGAGGCTTTGCTTCAGTGGTGGGCGCGGGAGTTGGCTTCTCTTTGGGAGGCTGTGGTGGCCCCTCTCTGGGCACCTTGGGTGGTCTGCCCCGCTTGCCGCGTTCTGCTGGCGCGCTGTCCGTTCCCTTGGTCGCCTGCTTCTGTACCTGCTGCTCCTTGGGCCGACCCTTTTCGAGACTGGTCTTAATGTCCGCGGAGGAGGAGCCCGATTCCTTCGGCTTCTGGCTTTTGCCACTGGCCGAGGTTGCAGTGGAGTTCGTTTCTGGCTCCCTCACCCGCTCGTTGACCTCTGGCTGGAGGAGTGCAGCGGCGAGATTCGTGGAACGCATGTTCTCCGAGGCCTTCTTGGCCGCCTGCCGCTGTGGCACCACCAGCAGGTCTGCCGGATATGGCAGCTTGGCATTTGAGTTTGTCTTGGATTTTACGCTGGTAGGAGGTACTTCCTTGGCATCCTTTGCTTCCCGAGCGGAGGACTTGGCCTTGGCTGGGGGCACGCGAGGAGTTGACGTTGCCACCGCTGTGCCCGGCACAAACTCCTTCATGGCCGCCTTAGTCCTGATCGTCTGCTGGTTCTGCGAGTCACTCACATTGCTCTCCACCGCCGCCTGCTCCTCCCGATCGGGATCCTTTTCCTGGGCCGAGGAACTGCTCTCCGAGTCGGAGTATATGTGCTGACCCATCTTGCGATTGGTGAGGGACGCCCGGCCGCCAGGCTGGCGCTCGGTGCCCCTCAGAGGCAGCAGCTCTTCACTTTCGTCGCTCGACAGGCTCTCCTCTGCATCCCTGTCCATTTGGGCCAGTCCCCGTGTGGCCGCTGCTGCTGTTGTTGTTGTGGACAGTTTCCTTCTCGCCGCTGCCTCGGTACTGGACTTGGATGACTTAGTGGGCTGGCTGGAGGCGTTAAGGGTCTTGCTGCTGGTGCTGCTAGGTACTGGTTTGCTGTTGACTGGCTCATTCCGTCTTCGCCGGCGGTCGTTGTCTTCGTCGTCGCTGGAGCTGCTGCTGCCAGACCTGGAATCCGGAGACGCTGCAGACGCACCCGCAGCTGCTTCAGTTTGACGCCGCTGTCGCTGCTTTTGCCGCTGCTCCACGGACCGGGCGTAGCTCTGCTTCTTGAGGGGACTTGCTCCCGCGGAGGACTTGCGCCTGGAGGCAGCGCTGGAGCTGCTATCGCTTCCCGACTCACTGCCAGAGGAGCTGTCGGAGCTGCTACTGCCGTTCGCCGAGCTGGTATCACCCGATGATGAACTGCCGCTTGACGAATGGGAGGACGCTCCGCTGCTTCGGGGGCGGACCAGCGCTTGATTGATTCTGTTCTGGGTCGACGTCGCCGTCGCCGCCTCGCTCTTCGAGGCACGCCTCCCCGAAGGCAGCTTCCCGGGCGGCGAGCCCCGCACCTTAGCGGCAGAGGGGATGCCTCTCCCCGCTACCGTCGTTGTGGCTGGCTTCTCGGGTGAGGAGGTGCGCGAGGAGCTGAGGGCGCCATTGTTGAGCTTCTTGCTGGGCGACCCCTTGGCCACCTGCTGCTGCTGCTTGCGTTTGGTGGGCGACTGGGATGCTCGACCACGAGCCTGCTTGTTACCCTGTAGCTTACCCATCAGCTGCTCGAGGATGTACTTCAAGTCCTTGTACTGCGCCGGCACAGTTTGTCCTCCAGCCGAGCTGTAGAAGCGATCGTACAAAGTGGGTCCATCGTTCGCGTAGATCACGGCCTCCAGATCCATGGCGGGGCGCTGCCTCTCGTCTGGCTTGGGCTGCAGCTGTTGCTGCTGCTGCCTCTCCAGCCGCATCTCGTCGAGCACGCCCAGCTGCTTGTAGAAGACCTGCTCGCGCAGTTTAAACAGGGAGCGCGACAGCTTCTCCCTGCGACTGACCATGTAGCAGAGGTTGCGCACTCGCTCCAGGTCCTGGCGCAGATGGACCACCAGCTTGTGGTTCTCCAGGTCCTGCTGCTCCTGCTTGCGGGCAATCATCTCCACGTCCTCGGACTTGGGCGGGATCAGCTCGCGGTTGTGTCGCGACTTGCGCTTGAGCTTCCAGTAGTTGTAGATGGCAATAATGGCGTCGTCGTCGACATCGAACAGGTGGCAGCTGATGTCGTTGATGTTCACGTGCTTATCGAACTCGGCCTCCACCTCCTGGAAGGAAAAGAAAAGTCATAGTGAATGAGTTGGCCCCGCAAAATGCTGCTGCCCGAGTTTGGTAACTAACCTGCAGCCGCTGGGCCCTGGCCTGGTTGCGTTCCTCGGAGGTCATGCTGTCGTTCTTGCGGTGATTTTTCCGCCTGCGCGGATCCTCGAGGCCTGCTAAGCCCGAGGCATGATGACCATCATCGGCTTTGCTCATGCCGCTGCCGTATTTGTTCGCCTTGTGCATGGCACTGGCCACTGAGGCACTGCCTCCATGGCCGGCACTCTCCTTTTTGCCCTTGCTCATGCTGTGCTTCTGGCAATAGGAGCGCAGCTTGACCCCGTCCTCGGCATTGCCCTCCTCGATGATGGCACGCATCTCCAGGCCGTGCTGGAACGCACAGGTCACGTGGTAGGCTGTCTTGCAGGGCTTCACCGAGCACTGGATGCAGCTACCCACCCGCTTCCGGCAAAGAACGCAGATAAGAGACCAGCGCGATTGGGGAATGCTCGAGATTTTCGTAATGGGCTCCATGCGATCCACGCACCCGATGCTAACCTCGGGGATCCAGAGGGCGCAGGAGACGTGAGCCCAGTGCTTGCCCGACTTGTTGGACTTCATGGCGCCGCCCTTGTTGGGACAGAGCACGCAGTCCGGCTTGATGCCCATAGAACAGGTCCGACATAGCCATTGTCCTGGAAGAGTAGGGTCTAATAAGAGTCTGAGGGGCTTCCTCCGCAACCTGGCGTGGCTTACCTGATGGAATTGCCGTTATGCCGTAACAGGCCTGGTGCACGCAGATATTGCAATTATCACAGAATACCATTTCGTTGGCCTCCTCGGAGTCGGGCGAGCGGCAGACATCGCAGATGACATTCTCATCAAACTCAATGCCCAAGCCCTCCTCCTGCTTAAGTATGACTTGTATCTGTTCCCAGCAACGAACCTGGAGAGGAGTAAGAGTCAGCGTCAGGAGATGTTTTAGATAGATCCAAGGACAACTCACCTCCAGCTCCTCGATGACCCGCTCGAACTGCGTCTCGTTAATGGGAAAAGCACCGCATTGGGCACGATCGCCGTTGTAGAGGCGCAGCCAGGCCTCGTCAATGGGATCTATGTCATAGGCACACGTGTTCTCCGCCAGGGCCACGACATTCGTCAGGTAGTGCAGCTCCGGCGTGTAGTGCTCGTCTTTGGTAATGCGCAGATAGCGATTCTTCGGACTACAAAGCAAGAGTTTAGGATTTATATTTGACCCGAGGCTGGGCAGGTTTCAACTTACAGCTTAAAGTCGTGTGCTGGCGACACAATAGGCTCGGACAGAACGTAGACGCAGGGCTCGGGGAGAGAGTCGGGATTGACGGGCACCTGGACGCCCTTCTCCCACTCCTGCTTCCACTGGTCCGTCACTATTAAATACTCGTAGTTGGCCAACGGCTCAGAGTCTGGCAATTTCATTGCGCTAATGAGATCCTTGCTGCAGAACGAAATGAAGAGGAGAGTCAGAGGATGAATTCAGAGGATGAGCTTTAATTCCTTACCGATAGAGTTCAGCTGGGGCTTCTGTTGAGCTGCGATTGTATATGCTCGACATCTTGATGTCCGCCACAGACCTCGCCTGCCACGACGAGCTGCTCGTACTCGCACCCTGCGACTTGCACGACTTGCTCGCCGACTTGCTTGCCAGCTTCGTTGACTTGGATTTGCTGGCGACGGCTCTTCCTCCCTCGCTTCCTCCGGCCATCTCGGGCCCCGTCTCCCGGTCCCGCTCCCCCTGTTGCTCTCCATGCTTATTGCTGTTACTGCTCAGAGGTAGACCTAGAACCCTCTCTAAGCCAGCGCCCGTTGTTTCACACGCTGTGGAGGGTGCTGCTGCAGCGGCGGCGGCAGCGGCAGCCACTGCTGCCGTGTTTGCTCCATTGGGCGGCCTGCCTTTGCGCCGCTTGGTGGGCGGCGGCTGGGGCTCAACATCCTTACGCTGCTGCTGCTGCGGCGGCGGATGGTGCGACTGGTGGTGATGCTGATTACCACGCTTACCTCTTTGTGACATTTTTCATTGGTGTTGAGTTGGTTTTGTGTGAGTTTATTCCTCGAGTGGTACCTTGTCCCTGTGTCTTGTGCTTGTTAGAGAACGGGTTCTGTGCTGCAAGACCTGGTGGGGGATGGTAGAAGAAGGTGTGCACCTGGCGATGAGTATAGGGATCATGGGGATGGCAATTCTCCCAGTACTCACTACATGCTTAAGGCCACAGTTGACGACACCACACCGGCTGCTGCTGCTGCTGCGCTCTCGTGGCTGTGGTGCGATTGTGCTTCTTGGTGTGCCGCCCTGGGTGCCCCTTGGACATGGACGCCGCTGCTGCCCCAGCCCTGATATCCAGTAGCGACGCCACTTTGCAGTCCTGTGTGCTCCGCACGCTCCTCGGGCGAGTTAATCCACTCCCACGCTCCTCTCCGCTCGCCTTCTTTTTGTTATTGTTGTTCGTTGTTTTTGCACACACACACACACACCTTTGTGCGTTTCGCGTTTCTGCTCTTCCGCCGCAGTTTTTTTTGCTTGCGCTTCACTATTTTAGTTTATCGCCGAGCATCTGCTGGAGCTGCTGTGTCTGGTTGTTTGCAATTAGACATAAGAATTAAATTAATCACTGATTAGCGGGCGCGTTTCAATTTCCACATTTTTATGTCCATTCCCCGTGTGTTTTCACACACACCGAAAATACACAAAAAATATAGAAAAACGCTCTGACCGCCGGCCAGTTGCTGGTCGCTACGACACGCACTGCCGTCCTCTCGCTCGCACGCAGCACGCTCGTTAAGGGCGCGCTTACTCGGAGCGTAAGTGCGAGCGGGAGGCATGCAGGTGGCGCGTGTGTTGCATTCGCCAGCTTCTACTCGGCAGGCAGCCGTCGTCTCCTCTGTTTCTCCACTGCTCGCATGCAATCATAGTTTTTTTTGCACTTTTTTCCACTTTTTATTGCACGAAATTTATTTATTATTGCAAACTGCCCGCCACGGCATCCGACTCCGCCTGCTAGCACTTCCAGGCACACCCCAAAACACCCACAACGGGTCGCTACCTTTGCACAGTCTTGGGGGAGTTGGATTTTGTTATATATTTTTATACATTTGGGTTTTTTGCCGCCGCAGACACACACGCGAGGTACTTGTTACTGGGCAGGAGCGGAGCGGCCGCCTCGCATTTCGCGCAGCGTTTGTTTCAAACTCACGTTTCGCGATATTGCATTTGCATTCGCAAGAATTACAATTTTGATGATTATTTACAAGATTTTCCACAGATTTTTCTCTCAGATCGCCATGATGGTTTAGTGTGACCAGCCTGAAATCCGCAATTTTTGCTGAATATATGAGTTTCATACATATGAGTTTCATACAGCTCCTTAGCCTTTGGCGTTGCCAGACTGGGGTAGGATATACAAATTTTAATTAATAATTCTTTTTTTTTTAATACATATTTAAATATATTTAAAAATATAAAGCAACGACGCCAAAATAATGGAAACATTAAAATACGAAATCCATATTTTGTTTATTTTTAAATACAGATTTATGTGTGACCAGCTGCCGTGGTCGCGGAAATCCGCAATTTTAAGCGTTATACACGAAAAAGCCGGCGAGCACACTTTTCGCGCGATACATACATATATACAGATTCTCTTTGGTTTAAACATTTAGCGGGTGGGTGGAAGTCAGTAGTAGTTACCGCTGACCCGTTCGAACCGCCACACACGACTCTTCGACTCGCGCTCGATATAAAAAAACACGCGCAGCGACGGCCCGCAGGAAACCAGCGTAAATCCCACACTCTCTCTCCGGGCGAAAACAACAACACTTGAAGAAAAACAATGAAGGTCTGCTGCATCGGCGCGGGATATGTCGGAGGCCCCACCTGCGCGGTGATGGCGCTCAAGTGTCCCGACATAGTCATTACCCTGGTGGACAAGAGCAGCGAGCGGATTGCCCAGTGGAATTCGGATAAATTACCAATTTACGAGGTGCGTTTTTCAATTGTGTGTACATAGGAAGCGTCCATGTGCCAGTGCCTGCGCGCGTGTGTGTGTGTGTGCGAGAGGGAAAAGGAGGGTGGTATAAAATGTGTGCTTGCTCACGCCTTAGCCTTGCAGTTTCTCTTCAGTTTTTGTTTTTCTTTTCGGGTTTCCACTAATCCTAAACAAACAAGACATCAATCAAACTGGAGATCCATCGAGAAGAAGACCAACAAACGTCGTTGACCGCTCAATGCTCAATGCCCCTCTTCTTCCCACCAAAACAAACCAGTTTCCCGTGCACTGCAAGAATTTCCGATCGGAATCTGTGATTTGTTTTGTGATAATAATAAAACCCAATAGGAAGTGTTAAAGGAGTATTGCAATTATGAACCAAATAACTCAATATATGGCAATCTTTAAATGTTATTTGATCCATTCCAATAATTACTATGAAAAGCCAACGGATATCTTTGCCTTAATTCGAATTACTTGTATAACATTTAGTTTCTCCCAGTGTACACATACTCTTCACTTGAACAGATCAGTGCGTGCCTCGCATTCTCTGTGCTCACTCAGGTGCCTTGGCCACTACTACTTGGCCCACAACAAGGTGAATGGTCACTCAGTCAGTCAGTCCCCGGTTTTTGACGGCCATTAGTCATTCATGTAGATATGGGCAGCCGAAAACAAACTATAAAACTCACACACAGAGTCGGAGATGATGGCAGAAATATGATTTGGGAAGGAAAACAAGCGTGGGAATCGATTTTACTTTTCAGACGGCGAAGCCATAAGGTGTAAGCCGCTTTCCGGGAGATTTCAGCCTGTGTCACTCACTACCTCTCACTGTCGCATTTCCGCCCTGGCTTCCGCCTGCCCCCATTCTATGGCTCGATTCTTCGCACTTGGCTGCTCTGTTTCCCCTTATCGGGGTCTGCGCCAAAACAGAGTCGCAGTCACAGTCGCGGGAGCAGATAAGCACGAGGCGTTAGGCGGGCACACATTAGAGGGAAATTGTCCAATTACCCACGTTCGTGGCAAACACATACAGTATCTGCCCCTCCTCCCCTACCCCCTTTCTCTCAGTCTATGTGGAAAAAAACGCCAACTAAAATATATATACAAACGTTATTACAGTCAAACTATTATGACTTGGAAAAGGCTATCTTTCTGTATTTTTTTTGTATTATTATTTTTTTTGTTTGGGTTTTCCTTTTCAAACCCTTTTCTATCGGAACAATAGGTTCGTTCTAGGGGAGATTATAAATTTTGCTTTCATTATGTTGAGTAAGGGTATTTATAGAATAATATCATTAGAAGCTATTACTTAATTTACTATCAGTATTATATTCTGAGAATTATTAAAAAAAAACTTTGCTCTTGATTACTCATTTCAGAGAAATAGCCACAGCTCTTGTACGAGCCCCTGTAGTGATTACTTTTTGTTTAAAGAAAATAAAGGCATTTCCGTTTAAAAAACCCTTAATAAAAATTCTAAAAAAAAACCCTGCTTACTATCCATTGATTAATGTTTAACCACAAAGCTTGATAAAGCATTGAAATATTATAATATTCACATAAACCGTATTTGTTTCAAGGCCTGTACAAGTTAGAGATGTTCGCCTGTTACAGACAAACAGACTTTTATAATATTTTATGAGCACACAGAAGCGATGGCCGCAGAGGCTGACTGGCCTGGGGCTGGCAGCATTCCACTCTTGCTATTGATATTCACTTACCAAGATTGCATCATCGGCGGCAAATATGGTCATAACTTGTAGTGCCTGGCAATGCAATTTGCTGGAAAACTCGAAAGAGGCCTTGTCAACCCTTGTCATTGACATCCTTCCGCTTGTTTTTCCACATTTGCACAATTGGCTAGCTATTTTATCTACTTTTTTGCTTATTGTCGGTGTGCTCATGATTGTCTCGCTCGTTTTTTCATCTCTATAACTTATGGGGTTGATAGCTTGAAGACCTTTCATTCAATATTTTCCAAGATAGATCAGTTTAGAATTTAAATGCTCAGTAGATGATGCCCAGATTTCGCCAAAATCACTTAATAACACCTGCCTCACCTCCACAGCAATCCATATGCAAATTTCTCTCCTCACCAAACGAGTTCAATGAACACTCAATACCCAAATCGAATCAAAAACGGAAATAAGTCTGGCTGGAAACGTTGAATGAAGTTGGGGTAAGGGGAAAAAGAATTCGTGTGAATAAAACTCAGGCGTGAGATGTCATGGGAAGATCCGATACCATTATTTATTAATTAATCGCTAAACTGAATCACTCAAAGTGCTATTTCGGCACGTAAACACCAGCCGCAGCGGGTTAATTGCAAGATAGCTTTCATAGGAAACGGAATCGGATAAGAGCACCCTTCCACATACATATATATATATATATATTATATATACATATATATTTAATATAATACAATATCTTATCTACAACAAAAGAAGGAAACGTCACCAACAGACTGTTGGGTAAATCGTGATTGGAATTTCAAGAGAAAAAAAAGAAAAGACTTGTACAATTTGTATAATATTTGAATTCTTCTGTCTTTTAGCCCGGTCTCGATGACGTGGTAAAAAAGTGCCGCAACGTTAATTTGTTCTTTTCCACGGACATCGAGACGGCCATCAAGGAAGCGGACCTCATCTTCATCTCGGTGAACACGCCCACAAAGACCTGTGGCAATGGCAAGGGTAAGTAAGGGTAAATAAGATCCAAAACAAGCAGATTTTTTGATTAATCAGAAATCCCTAAAGATATTCTTAAGCCTGAAATACAAAAAATCCTATGGCGAAATGCATCTTAAGGTTACAATTTCCTTAATTCCCAGGACGAGCGGCGGATCTCAAGTATGTGGAGAGTGCTGCCCGGATGATTGCCGAGATTGCGCAATCCAACAAGATTGTGGTGGAGAAGAGCACGGTTCCCGTGCGGGCAGCGGAGAGCATTATGCACATCCTACGGGCGAATCAGAAGCCCGGCATCCACTACGACATCCTGTCCAATCCGGAGTTCCTGGCCGAAGGCACTGCCATCAATGATCTGCTCAATGCGGACCGAGTGCTAATCGGCGGCGAGGAAACGCCTGAGGGCCATCAGGCGGTGGAGAAGCTATCGTGGATCTACGAGCACTGGATACCCAAACAGCACATTCTCACCACGAATACGTGGAGCAGTGAGCTGTCCAAGCTGGCGGCTAATGCTTTTCTGGCTCAGCGCATCTCCAGCATTAATTCGCTGTCCGCTGTTTGCGAGGCCACCGGGGCCGATGTCTCCGAGGTGGCACGTGCCGTCGGTCTGGATTCCCGCATCGGTTCCAAGTTCCTGCAGGCCTCCGTGGGCTTCGGTGGCAGCTGCTTCCAGAAGGACATTCTCAACCTAATCTACATCTGCGAGAACCTCAATCTGCCAGAGGTGGCCGCCTACTGGCAGCAGGTGATCGACATGAATGACTATCAGAAGAGGCGGTTCTCGCAGAAGATCATCGAGAGTCTGTTCAACACGGTTTCGGACAAGCGGATAGCCATCCTTGGGTTTGCCTTCAAGAAGAATACGGGAGATACCCGCGAAACGGCCGCAATTACGGTCTGCCAAACCCTGCTCGAGGAGGGCGCCAAGCTGGACATTTACGACCCCAAGGTGGAGCCCGAACAGATCATTGACGACCTCACGCATCCCACGGTCACGGAATCGCCGGAGAATGTGAAGAAGGCGGTGCAGATCCACAGCGATCCCTACAGTGCGGTGAGAGCCACGCATGCGCTGGTCATCTGCACCGAATGGGATGAGTTCGTGGACCTGGACTTTAAGCGCATCTACCAGTCCATGATGAAGCCGGCGTACATCTTTGATGGCCGGAAAATCCTCGACCATGAGCGGCTGCAGCAGATCGGTTTCCATGTCCAGACCATTGGCAAGAAGTATCAGCGCGCTGGACTGCTCAGGTCGTGGGGCATTGTGCCGCAGCTATAGGCGCGGCGGACGACGAAGGAGGAGGGTGTGGTGGCATTTACACTTAAAGTTGGCGAAATTTCCAGTATTTGCGAGACGAAATTGTAAATATCCAGAGAGTCTGAGATAGGCCAGACTTTCCTCTCTGTATACAATCCCTGCGTTGAACGATTTATGGGACAAAAATAGTCTGACGAAGATTCTAAGCAACTATAAAGTAAAATAATAGTTCTTGTATCCATTTCAAGCTTAAATCTAAACTAGAAAAGTTCTCGCAGTCCAGGAAAATATTCAACTAAATTTATGTTTGAAGTTTTAAAGTTTAAAATAATGAGACCCTTTTGTATATATTTGTAGCAAGCTAAAATCACTTTTATAAAAGGTAAAACTAAAGCTTCTTCGAACTTCCGTTAGATGCAATTTCCAGCCTGTATCATTTAATTCTTAATCCTAAATTCAAACCCGACCCAAGAGCTCTGTGAAGTATTCAGCTAGAACCGTATTTGTATTCCTATTCATGCGCCAATCCGCCACTCGAGGATCTGGCAGTTGCAATATTAAAGCCCCCGCGGGATTACATGTGTCCTGCGGCGGTTCAATAATAAAAAATTAAAGCATTTACACCAAGAATGTAAATTTTATAACAAATAACAATATTGTTCTTTTTAAACTAGAAGGGTTTCCTCTTGACTATCTGTCGGTACCAGAGGAAACTGGTGGCTGCCGACAAACTGAACCAGGTGACCAGATACGACAGGTGATCGTTGCGCATGGTTACACGGGTTTGGCCTCCAATGGGACCGTTCTTGGCAGCCTGTGCATCGTAGATGGCATCCAGGAACACGAGAGCCGCGCCTGTTGAGGCGGACATGCGTGGCAGGTCGCGATACAGGTAGACATTGCCTCCCTTATGGTCAGGAGTGAATTGAGGACGTGATTCTCCCTTGCGCACCACGGCTGTCAGCTCCACTTCCGACTTTGGCTGACCCAAAGGACGGGTTTCCGGCTCCACTTGCTTGCGGGAGACCCAACCGCGATTAACGAGCACAATGTCGCTGTGGGAAATGATGAATTAGTTCAGTTAATCAAAGGATTTCCTCTGTGGAGTGGCTTACTCTCTGTCGGCCAGCTGAAAGGGCGTAACTATTAGATAACCATTGCCCGAATCCCGCTGAGAAAACAGTCCTCCTTGTGTCTCCACGCCATCCGGACGGATGAGCGACCTGGGACCCATGCGCATCTCTTTGTCGTGCAGGAAGCGACCACGAATCTTGACCAGGCGGTACTCCATGTGAGCCAAATCGCTGAGACTGCAAATATTTATCGTGGGTTTGAGGGAGATATTTGTGGTATTGTGAGGAAGATGTTACTCATCCGGCAGGGGAACTGGCGCCGCGCTCAACTGCTCGTTTAGGTCCTTGATCAACTGCTCCTTCCAAATCTTACGCTTCACTTGCCAGACACCCAAGCCGAAGGTGGTGGCGGGTATGAGCTGAAATAAGTGGAGGCACTCGGTATTCATGTGGCTAAACGGATAAGCTATTACCCACTAGCAGGAACCAACCCAAGGCGGTGATCTTCTCCTTGTCCTTGGCCGCCGGCGAGGGAATACTGGTGTTCCAATCCATGCGCACTCGCTGTTGTGTCATCTTTCTGGTGACCAATTGCAGGGTTGGGATGTTGGGTGCCTTCAGCCTGGAGCCGGCCACTTGGCGGCACATTTGATGGCTCAAACGCAGCATTTTGGGTTTAGTTTTCACTTAATTTCTTGTATTTTTATTTTTATTTGGCTTTTCCGCTCTGGAGATGCCAATTAACAGTTTACTGTTACGCTGTTACGTTCTCTTTACCACCGAGTTGGCAGCCCCGTGCAAACAGCTGTTTTTGGCTGTTGTCGCGTGCAATTGGTTTTTTTTAAGCCGATTTTGTTTTTAACAAATTTAGTTAATTATTTAAAATGCTGTGCACTCGGGCAGTGGCACGACTAGCCGGAAGTGTAGCCAGCAAAACATGGGTAAGTTGAAATAGGTAGTAAATCCTTCTTCTAATTCAAAATGCAAATTCAAATGCATCGCCTGTTCAAGTCTTATATAAACGCGGGGTATAACTTTATTTTTACCCTTTTTACAGGTAACACAGTCGCCAATTAGGCAAACTCCTTTGATACTGGGAGCATTCGATCAATCCTGCCGCTTGTGTTCCTCCACCGGCGTTGTAGATAGCCCAAATAAGACAAAGCCCGGCCCAGGAGCCGCACCCGGAGCCGCGGAAGGCGGCGGCGGTGGCATTCTGAAGCGAGTGCTGACCAAAGTAGGATTTACACCCAACACAAAGGCTGTAGGTCACAGATACCCCCCCTTTTAAACCTGGAATTTTGTAATATCTTTAATCTACCTTTTAGCGCCTCAAGGTAAGTAGCCACCTGCTGTACGAGAGCGTGGCCGACAAGATCAACTATGTGGTGTTCTTTCGCGACTTCAATCTGCCCAATACCTTCAACTCCTGGTTCCTCGTCACGGAGCTGCATGTGTGGCTCTTGCTGATGCGCTCCATGGCCGAGGGTTCGGAGACCGGTGAGGATGGACGTTTCCTGCGCAACTGCATCGTGGAGGCCATGTGGGGCGATGTCAATACGCGTGCCAAGAAGTTGGGGGTGAGTTTTTTGAGCATAAAGTGATTCTCTAGCTCTAGCTCTAACTCTCGTTATCCCCTTGCAGGCCCACAATCCTTCTCGCACCCGACAACAGATCGAAACGTTATCCGAACAGTTCCAAGCAGCTCTCATTGCCTACGACGAGGGCATCATGTCCGACGATCGTGTGCTGGCCTCCGCCCTGTGGCGTCGCTTTTTCGAGATGAACTGCGAGGATTACGCCCAAATCGAGCGGCTGGTGAAGTATGTTCGCCAGCAGGCAGCCATGCTGGACAGTTTGCCGCGCGATCAGTTCATCATCAAGCCCAAGGTGGCCTGGCTGGATCTGGACAAGTGCAAGGTGTAGTCTAAGTTTATGTTTTTTTAATAAAGTTAAAGAGAGTATGTAAAGCTATATGACCAGGTCCTCCACGGACTGATTACTTAAGGCACGCAGCTGGCACTTGAGCAGGAAGGCGGTGATTCTGCGCTCAGCCCGCTTTCGCTGGGGTTCCTTGAGCTGGGCGAGGACTTGGTCCATCTGGAGGTAGCTGCTTTGGGGAGACAGTATCTGCGCTGGTTGGGGGGGCTCCTCTTCCTCCTCGTATATGATCTCTTCCTGGATGATCTGCTCGCTGGGCTCCTCGACGATCTCCTCTATGATAAATGTGCTTGGTGTTTGCGTTATTTCCCCATCTTCGTACGTCTCCCACAGGAACTGGACGGTGGTTTCTTTTTCGTTAATATCTGTGGCCTCCTTGTCTGGGGAATCCTTGGCTTTGGCTTTGCTTCTGGCTTTGGGACGCGGCTGGCTGTCGGCCAGGAAACGGAGGCGTTCCAGGTAGGGCCAGGTGGAGCCACTGGTGTCCGCCCGACGAAACTCCTTGCGGAACTGGTAGTGAAGGTTGTTCCAGCGCATCAGGCAAAAGTCCACTGGGGAGGGAGGGGTAGATTGGTCAGATGGATTCTTGGGATAGGTTCGGGATTCTCACCATCGCAACCCATTTTTTGCGAAATCTGGGCCCAAATGTCCGTTTTGGCCTTCATGGCTTCGTAGTTCGAGAGTCCGGATCGTTTGTAGAGCACGGGATTGGGTTCTACCAAGGAAATGAGCTTGAAGTCGAAGGGCCGGTTCTTTTTGTAGCTGGTCCGCATTGTTTCTTAGTTTTAAATCTTTAGTTTCTTGTTTTTTATAAAAGTATATTCCTAATTTCTTGTGTTACGATCTGTTGTTAATGCCATGTTTGTTTACCACGCAGGGTACAGTAAGCTTTCGATTGATACAATATGTTAGCATGTGAACAACAAAATAAAAATGTTTAAGTGGAATTTATTAACTTTATTCTAATTTAATGAGTTCATTTAGTTAATTATTTTTATGCAATTTAAATTAAACGTTGTGAATCAATGAACAATGTTATCGAGTGATTACTGTATTTCAACAACTTCATATTCAAGTGTGACCATTTCCCGAAAAAAAGAGAAAGTAGATAGAATATAGTATATTCTTAAATACCTAGGGGCTTTCCCCCTAGATTTAAGGGTTTTTTGATGTCCTAGGTGGAATGTTAGGGAAATAATTTTTAGGGGGAAAGTTTAAGGGTTTTTTTTAAACTTGAAAAGGCACATGCAATATTGTAGAACTCATTATTTACTAAAAAATCTTAAACTAATAAACTGATTTTTAAAATTGTAGTATTTTTTTAGGGGCAAATCAACTTTGTGAGATTTTTTAGGGAAAGCCAATTTTCATCAACTTTGTGAGATTTTTTAGGGAATTGCCAATTTTCATCAACACTGACGTAGGAGCTGGAAAATTGTCAAGTGAAAAAAATTATAAAAAGTGCTATAATCAACTCAATTTGGCCAGCGAACTACGCATTTGCAACCACCCAACAATGAACATGTAAGTGGCGAGTGGATTTTCGCAATTCCAGCTTCCGGTTGGCCGGAATTTCGATGAGGCTATGCGGCCGGGGGCCAAGTGTCGAAAATCAATAAATTCAAAATGGCAGTAAAACATGAAAATTACATAAAAAAGGATTGTTCATTGTGAAATTCAACATTTGGCTTTGCTTGAAAATCCAAATTTCATTTTCATGGCTTTTAACGCTCGTTTCAGGTACAACGGACAGGTTAACGCCTACGGCGGCGGCGGAGGAGGAGCAGCTGGTGGCGCAGGCCTCGCCGGCGGCATGATTCCCAATCGCATGGGCGGCGGCGGAGTTCCGCCCGGCGGCGCTGGCATGTTCCAGCGCAACCGCTCGGCCCCGTATCCGGGCTTCAATGGACACGGCCACGGGCCCGTCAATGGCGGCCAGCGTCGCATAAATGGCGGACCCGGCGGTGGCGGCGGCGGCATGGGAGGACCGCGCGATGGCTTCGGCGGACAGAACGGCCAGCGGTCGTCCAATCACGGTGCCCATTTGCCCAAGATAATATGGTCGGAGGTGAACCTAACGCCGTTCCGCAAGAATTTCTACAAGCCCTGTGACTCTGTGCTGGCCCGCACTCCGGTCGAAACGGAGACCTTCCTCACCAGCAACGAGATCACCATCAAGGGCGATCAGGTGCCCACGCCCAGTATTGAGTTCGAGGAGGGTGGCTTCCCCGACTACGTGATGAATGAGATCCGCAAGCAGGGCTTCGCCAAGCCCACGGCCATTCAGGCCCAGGGCTGGCCCATTGCCCTCAGCGGCCGGGATTTGGTGGGCGTGGCCCAGACGGGATCGGGCAAGACTCTGGCCTATATCCTGCCGGCGGTGGTGCACATCAACAATCAGCCGCGCCTGGAGCGCGGCGATGGACCCATCGCCCTAGTGCTGGCTCCCACTCGGGAGCTGGCCCAGCAGATTCAGCAGGTGGCCATCGAGTTTGGCAGCAACACGCACGTCCGCAACACGTGCATCTTCGGTGGGGCACCGAAGGGACAGCAAGCTCGCGATCTGGAGCGCGGCGTGGAGATCGTGATCGCCACTCCCGGCCGGCTGATCGATTTCCTTGAGCGGGGCACCACCTCGCTCAAGCGCTGCACTTACTTGGTGCTGGACGAAGCCGATCGCATGCTGGACATGGGTTTCGAGCCCCAGATTCGTAAGATTATGCAGCAGATCCGCCCCGATAGGCAGGTGCTCATGTGGTCCGCCACTTGGCCCAAGGAGGTGCGCCAGCTGGCCGAGGAGTTCCTGAACAACTACATCCAGGTGAACATCGGATCGCTGTCGCTGAGCGCCAACCACAACATCCTGCAGATCGTCGATGTCTGCGATGAGAACGAGAAGCTGATGAAGCTGGTCAAGCTGCTGACCGACATCTCGGCCGAGAATGAGACCAAGACCATTATTTTCGTGGAGACCAAGAAGCGCGTGGACGAGATTACGCGCAATATCTCACGCCAGGGCTGGCGCGCATGCGCCATTCATGGCGACAAGTCGCAGCAGGAGCGCGATTTTGTGCTGTCAAGCTTCCGCAATGGCCGGCACTCAATCCTGGTGGCCACGGATGTGGCTGCCCGCGGACTGGGTGAGTAAACGTCGTAGGATCTTGCGGGTTCGGTGACAAACCCAACCACCCTCAGTGTCTTTTCTCTCCATAACCAAGCAATTGTTGCCTGTGGATCAATCAGCATCCCGTGGGGTTTCCTTCCATTCATTATTTTGTGATTCGTCGTCGACGCCTCCTGGTTCGTCTGGCGTCTGGCGTCTCAGCGATCCGTCAGCGATGAATCGGCCAACACCGTCCCAGACTCTTCGCCACTTTCCTCTTCCGCTCGCTCTGTCTTTCCAGAAAGTGCATTTTATTCTTTTTTTTGGGTTCTGGGTCAGTTCCGGATTTCACATGAACAAGGAACAGGGGTTCCGGAAGAAAGTAAATGAGTGCTTCAGGGGGTGTCCTTCGGGAGATAATGCATTACATTTTTTGTTTATATTTATAAATAAGTTTCAGGACATGTCTGGTCGACTATCTGCATAGTTATCTTTTTTTTTTTTAATTTATTTTAATTAAGACTATGTTAAGTTGATAGTTTTGATTTTATTTAAGCAGAAAGCCGGCACACAGACTCTTGTTAGTTCTGTGAAAGTGAAAACCGGAAGAAGACCAGTTATTCTGATTTGCATGTTTGAACCTTTCCTCTATTTTAGTTGGACGGAGGTTTCTCCTAGGGATATATATTTTTTAAGGGAATACTCTTATGGGTTTTCTATCCATTCCAATCCCATTTCGCGTGGTTCGATTCCTATAGTTTCCAATTTGAAAGATTCTCCGATTACGAAGAAATGGTGTGGGCTCAAATAATGAGGGGAATGTGTGTTTGTTCTCCATGCATTGCTGGTTATAATAATATAAAACGATGTTGTTTAACTTTTAGTTTGTTTGTTGCTCTCTCTCTTGCTCATAGTTTTTAGTTGTGTCTCGTCAATCTCACATTTTTTAATATTTATGCAACTTAATGTCAGTCAAGGAGTCCAATGGCCAAGAAACAATTAATCTAAAATGTAATTAATCTAGTGCACCCTTAAAAATAACCCTTTAATCAGCGGATAAAGCAAAGACAAACTAAATTAATAAGATTCGTAACTCGAATTTAGTTTTTATGGCCTTTCAAAAGTATATTCGTTGCGCATCTTATTTATTTATATTGTCTTGTATACTTATACTTTTTTAAGTTATTTTATTTTATTTTTTTATTTTATTTTTATTTAGTAAGTATTTTAATGAGATAACTAAAGTGTTACAAAAATAACATTTTGCGGGCCACGAATTTTTTGACTGATGCTAACATTCCGTAGCTTATTTATGTAGCCTAAAGAGTATTATCTATATTTATATTAAGTCGCTCCTTACTCTATGTATAAAAAAACCGAAATTTGTGTGTGAACAAAAATATCATCAGCACTTTATGAAATGGACTTCGATTTTTCAAAATGGCAAAATAAGAAAACAAATAAGAAAAAGTTAAAAGTTTAAAGTTAAAACGTTAAAAAGTTAAAAAGTTTATATACACAATGAAGTTAAAAAGAAGATAAAAAGCTATATATACAAGTTGAGGGTTGAGTTATAAGTTTCTAGCATTGCGGAGATCTCTCGGATCTCCTCTCATCGCGACCCAGACACGGACGCACGGACAGGATCTGCTGCTGGACACGACGACGACACACTGAGCGCGCGTAAGCCCAACGAAACCCCAAAATCCATAAATTCTAACCCTAAACTCTAAATCGCCAGGGTAAGTACTAGGCTAATATACTTTTTCCTCTTGTCATAGCAGCCGATCTTCCTATATCTCTCCTCATGTCCCAGTTTCCCAGCACCCTTTTATCTCTCATAAGCTTTGATCATTCTCTCCCCATATATATTATATATTTATACATTTATAATCCTATTTTTAATCAAGCCGTCTCTTGTATGCATTAAGCTTAAAACATTTATAATTACGATTTGTGTATTGAAAGAAAAATATATGAAAGAAAAGATGAGAAGAAAAGGTCGAGGTCCACATTTCTGCAGTATTGAAAAAACATATATCTATTTGCCAAAGATGTATAGTTGTTAATATACGCTAAATAGTATTGATGGCGAAATTTTTGTTCAAAGTACAAAGTACACAGAAAAAAAATAAATACAGAAACTGAATTACCAACTGAAAAATTCCATAAAACGATTCGATAAAGTATCTTTTAAGTTCTATTAACAAACTCAACCAAAGTCAACGAATCGCACTCAACACAACATAGACAGACCCCACAACTGACACACACTATACATTACACACACTACACACACACACACACACACACACACACAAAAAAATAAGTTTTCGTTTTTCGTTAAATAGTTTTTTGAGTATTGAGAAAGATTCCTATTTTTGACATGCATTGGATCGATTCGATATTTTTAACATTTCTTTTCACACTCTCCAATTCTCCAATTTTCAAATTCGAAATGAAATCAAATTTAAAACGAAATGATCGTGATCTAGACGTTGACGATGTCAAGTTTGTGATCAACTACGATTATCCTTCGAACTCCGAGGACTATGTGCATCGCATTGGACGCACCGGACGATCCAATAACACCGGCACCGCCTACACCTTGTTCACGCACTCGAATGCCAACAAGGCAAATGACCTGATCCAAGTGCTGCGCGAAGCCAACCAGGTGAGTGATCTTGCTATCTAATATAATATGTGATGGGAAACACAACACCTTTGACAGTTGGGGATCAAAATCTTCTTCTCTAACAAGACTTACCTGTAGTTCACTCCCTCCAAAGCCTTTGTTTACCTTTTCCTTTTGGCCATTGTACTTATTTCGTATTTTATTTCCCTCTCCGGCAGAACATCAACCCCAAGCTGTTGAACATGGCCATGAGCGGTGGCTACAACAAGCGCGGTGGCGGCATGGGCGGCTATCGCGGCGGCAATGGTTACCAGGGTCGCAACCAGCAGATGGGCGGCGGCGGCTACAATGGCGGCAACAATTACCGCAACAACAACAACGGTCCCAGTGGCAACATGAACCGCAGTGCCTTCAACGGCGGCGGTCCTCCGCCACGTTTCGATCAGAAGCCGCGCACCTCTCCGCCAAATCAGGGCGGAAATGGAGGTTACCGTGGCCAGGGAGGCGGCGGCGGCTACCAGGGTCAGCATCAGCAGCAACAGCAGCAGAATGGTGGAGTTCCCTTCTCGCGCTTCAATCCCAATGCCGCTTGCTTCGAGCCCAAGACACAGAATGGTCCGGGAGCGCCGGGAGCGCAGCAGCAGCAGGCACAACACCAGCATCAGCAGCACCAGCAGCAGGCGCAGGCTGCCCAGCAGCAGCACTTGCTGGCCGATGCCTCAGCGGCGGCTGCCTACGGGATCGATCAGAAGCGCTCTCGCTTCTCGCCGTACAACATGAACTTTGCCAACATGCCGCCGCCGATGAACCAGCAGCAGGCCGCCCAGCAGCAACAGGCGGCTGCGGCGGCGGCGGCAGCAGCAGCAGCAGCAGCAGCGGCACAGCAGCAGCATCAACAACAACAGCCGGCGATGGCGGCCGCTGGAGCTGGAGGAGGAGGAGCTATGCCGCCACAGGCCTACGGCCAATACTCGTCGATGTCCTCCAGCATGGCCACAGTGTCGCTCAACGGCGGAGCAGCTGCAGCCAATATGGCGGCCAACTCGTACCGCGCCCAGTATGCAGTGCCCACGCAGGCGGCCCCCTATATGATGGCTAACAGCGGGGACATATTCGCCTACCCGCCGCCCCCGCTGCCCGTGCAGAACTAGAGGCTCTAAATAGTTCGAAAGAAGCTACCAAATTGTAGAGATCCCGCTCTACAGTGTACTTTCCCCTAACCCCACACACAAACAAACACACACGAACATAACACACACACGCACATCCTCCCAAGGACACGCAAGAGGGCACGAATCACAGGTTCACAGGGAAGATGTTAGATGAGCGTCGTTAATATATATAGTACGTTCCGTGTAGATCTCCTCCGCCCACGTCATAGCTATATAATATGGTTTAATCTGGAATCAAATACGCTTTTTAATTTGATATAAATCTTATTGTTTACCCCCTCGTCCCCCCTTGAATAGAAAGAAGAGAGAAACAAATTCCCAATTTAGTTGATAAGCTTTTTGGTTTAGTCAAATTGTTAGGGCATTCGAGTGCCGATCATCGATGTTTGTTGGCATTTATCACACTTTCCAAGGCCCTGGGCGTATTTGATTTCCCAATCTATACAATTCTCGAATATTGTACATTTATTATTCATTATTTCAACACACAAACACACACAAACAATCGGTGCAAAAGAAATGTTTGCAATGCTCCAAAACTAAAACTAAAGCCAAAACGAGATTAGATGAGAATAATCGGTCGAAAAGAAACTAGGGAATCGCACTCCCAATCAACCCACTTTCACGCGCTATCGGACACACACACGTACATATTAAGAAACAATGTCAATTTCTTAGAATCAAATGCGTATTATTATGTCATCTTAAACCATATTATGTGACTAGTCTATTTGAATTACTTAGCTGGATACTTTCAAACAATAATAACAATGCATACAAAAGCAACAAAACCACTAAAAATACTTTCAGATATAATATATGAAATGCAATTCCATTTTACGACAACCCATGAGTATGAATTGATTCAAAAAGCATATGAATAAAGGAACTAATTAGAGGTTAAACTGTGTTTTTATTTCTTCTGATTTTTCTTTGGGAAAGAATCGATTATTGATTGGCGTTCTCCTCAGACTCCCAGTGCGCGAGCTCTCAACCCGAGTTGCTCTCAATGGTTCCTAAAGCTAAAGAAATTCATGATCTGTAAGAATAAAGATCTATACATAATCTCGTTGCCTTTGCATCGATTAAAAGATAAACAGAAGCTTTTATGGACCAGTAATGTTTCCGATATCTTGTATAAATATCATTCTTAAGTAAATTATAAGGAAGTACAATTTATTTTGACTCATTTTCATGAAAAGAAAATTTTAATTGATAAATTGTAGTATTCTGAAGCTGAGATTTGAGGTGATCTGAGATGGGAACAGTTTGCATAACTGTTCCCATCTCAGTATACCGCTGTTTGTTAGGTGTTTTAGTGATTTTTTTTATTTTAAAACTAAATAATCATTTTTTGTTGAAATATTAATAATAATTTTGAAATTTTTAAGGGGATATTACAAAAGATAATTAAAAAAAAAGATAATTTTAAGAGCTTAGCTTATGGAGTTTATACATGGGTCAGCATAGTTGACTTAGTCCTGGTCAGGTTTGGGAGCTTCTTGGCCACAAAAGCTGGTTATAACTAATCATAAATAAAATAATTATAAATAATAAATAATAGCCCTATTATTGGTCCATAAAATCCCCCAATTTACCTTTTTATCGGTGCAAAGGCAACCATCATAGACATCTGTCTTATTACCTGTCAACATCTGTATACAGGATGAGAACACCCACTAAAAATGGACTCTGAAGGTAAACTTAATTTAAACTTAATTGATTTGCTTTTATTTTTCATTTTTAAATATATATATATATATCCATATAAGAAAAACTATTATACATCAAAAATTAGCATAATAATAAATAGAACTAAATTATACAAATATTACTAGACAGCATCCATCCGTTAATTGCATTGCCAACGAACATTCAATCGTCTCCATCATCTATATTTCCATCCATATTTCCTCCTTCTTCTATCATCTTCCAACGTTATTACACCATTTCGAGAATTTGACGGAAAATATTTGTTTAAAAAAATGACACCATGAAACTTTATGACTAACAAAATTGCGTGAGAATGTAGAAGTCATTTGTTACACTTTATATTATTTACTTTGTATGATTTGTGTTTGCTTTGTTTCGGGCTCTACACCTCCTCCTAGATCCTCTCCTCCTTGTGGCATTTCCAGCATATATGCATATATGGCCGTATAACGTTATACTCGCTTCCTAAACTTACACATATCTTCCGCCTTCTGATCTCTCCAAACTGATCCCTATCCTGCTCGTCCTCGCACTCTCTTTGGCTGCCTTCTTGAATATTTTTTGTTTAGTTAATGCTGTTTCCTTTATTTGTTGCTCCGCATTTAGGTATAGTAGTTTTTTGTTGCTCTTCTCTGGGGGCTTGTAAGTAGTACGACGCATATTTGGGGGCTCAATAGCTGCCCGCCTGGGTCTTGTTCTTGGTTTTCTGAGGGTCTGAAACATTGAGTGCAGTTTTACAATTTCTTAATTGATTTTCTTTCTCCTTCGCTTTTTTTTTTTTTGGCTTTTCTTGATTTTTTTTTTCTGTGGGGTTAGTTTTTTTTTCTTGTTGCTTGTTCTTTGGCTGCAGTTTTGTCCAAAAACTGTGTGTGTGTGAATGTGGGTGTGCATTTTCCTCCTGCTGCTCCTTCGGTCTGCTGGCTGTTTGTTTACATATATAGATATCACGAGAGTTCCTGAGAGAACTGCGTCTCCAGGGTGGGTCTAGTTCTAGTTGGGTTCCTGCTGGGGTTGCGTATCGGTGGTCCTGGGCTGCCATAGCCCGCGGCATACAGCTGCGGGCACGAGTCTTTTATGAGTTCCTGCGTCTCGCGCAGCTGCCGCTGCACCTGCGGCGCCAAACGCTGCACGCTGATGGCCGGCGGGAACTTGTACTCCGCCGCCGGTGCGGGCTTTAAAGGATACAAAATCATATTTAATTCGGGTTAAAAAAGAGCATAGGATAGTCTCACCTGTACGCCGTGCATCATCTCCCCGTAGTAGGCTCCCGGTGGAGGCGGCGGCTGCTGCTGCTGCTGACTTTGGCTGTGTGGAGCGGTTGGCGGTTCGTACGTTTCGGGGGCAATGATGGGTGGTAGAGGAGGAGCGGCCGACGCAGACTGGGGGGCAGTGCTCGGGGGCGCGGCTCCATAGTAGGCTAGCTGCAGGGGCCCTCGACCCGCTGCGATTCCGGAAATGGCGCCGGCGCCATTAAGGAAACCGCCACCCGCCCCCAGTTGCGGCCCGGCGGCGATATACTGAACGGAAGGAGGTGGCGCCGGCGGTGGCACCGGAGCCGAGGAAGTGCTGCCATAGATCAGGCGCTTTGGACTCACGCTCTGCGGCTTGGCACCGGCGGGAAGGGACAACAGGTATTGCTGTTGCTGCTGGTAGAGTTGCTGCTGCTGCTGGTTAAGTTGCTGCTGCTGCTGCAGCTGGGCGAGCTGTGCCGCTGCCGCCGCCGTGGACGTGTTGACTACGTTGGCCTCCAGCTGCGGCAAGAGGATGAGCTGCTGCTGCTGTTGCTGGTATAGCACCGCCGCTGCTGCCGCTGCCGCCGCCTGTTGCTGCTGCTGAGCCTGGACCTGTTGCTGCTGCTGCTGCTGCTGTCGCCCCGCCATCATATGCTGAGGTAGATACTCCGTCGTGGGCAGCGTGACCATTGCGGAGGAGACGACGCTGGCGGCGCTGGAGGGCTGAAGCAGCAGGCCGGCACCGCGTGGCGGCTGCTTCAGCGGCACCTGCACCTGGCGGATGGGCGTGGTCTGCAGCGATCGGCTCGCAGAGGAGCAGATGGAGGCGGTGATGCTGGCGGATTCCCAGTGCTGGCGCAGGGCGTTCAGTCGGGCCTCCTCCAATGCAATTTCCGTCTCGCTGGCCGAGTCATAGTCAGGGCCCTGAAAGAGGGGTTTAAAGGGGTTATTAAATTCAAGAAAATTAAGATTTAAAATATTTTAGAAAATATATTTAATTAGATTTATTTTTGGGATTATTTCTAAAGTTCATTATTAAAATATCACTTTGAAAAGAAATTTTAATGTTTCAAAAAGCCATAAACACAAATGGCTTTCCGCACAACTAAAAATTTGGAACAACATTGTTTTTCTGATCACTCGGCCAATTTAATATTCCCAATGTTGTTGTAGTTCAGTAAACAAAATCATTTTTGAGACGATAAACATGAATCTGATGTCCAATTTCGTTAATCAGAAATGATTCATGGCACGTTTTTCTGTTTGAAAAGGCATCAAAGGCTAAATAAACATATTATTTGGTGAATTGGGATGCCAAGAAAACTTTAAATACTCAAATCCGTTTTCCCACTTGTAAATCCCAACCCCCCAATTACTCACCTCGTCGATCTTCTTGTCCAGCATGCGGAAGAAGTTCTGCTGGCTAGATGATATTTCCCTGGAAAAGTGGTGTGTTTATTTTCGGTTAGTTGGTTGGCGGAATGGCTTACTGGCTCTGGAGCAGCGACAGGTTCTTGGCGCGCAGCAGGGAGACGGCCACGTCCTCGTCACTGTCCTGAATGTCCTTATTGCTTTGCTCCTCGCTCTCGTCATGCTTCTCGCGGTCGCGCTGCTGTGCCTTCTCGGCATCCTCGATGTGGCCTTCGTCCTCGTCCGTTTCGGCATCTGAGTCGGCTGCAAAACAAAACAAAATAAAAACAAATGCATGGATGGATATGGATGGGATCCAGCCCAAGAGGGGAGACTTTCGAGCATTAGTCAAGATGAGTTGGCAATTTCGCGAGTGCCAAACGACAAGTGGCAAAAGTTTTGCAATAAGGCAAGTGTGGCTACAACTTCTGTGGGGGGAACACTTGTCGAAATAAAGTATTTTCTAAATAACAAAACTGGATAAATTTAATATTATTAAATTATTTGTCTACAAAGCTTTTAAAATATGTATAAAAATCCAAATAAATAATTTATTAACCTTTGAACTGACTCCTAAACACCTCAAGAGGAATGTCTATAGGCCACTAAAATTTAGGAAAAAACATAAATTTTGTGTAATAAATATTACAAGTTGGTAATTTATTTAGCATTTTACAATATTCTTGGCCCTTTTGTCAATAAATCCACCTTCCTTGGCCGCATTCTGCTACTTGACCTGTGCGTATACTTTATATATTTATTTCCTTGGGCCATTAAAATTTTGGAAAAAACTAATTTTTGTGTAATAAATATTACAAGTTGGTAATTAATTTAGCATTCTACAATATTCTTGGCCCTTCTGTCAATAAATCCATCTTCCTTGGCCGCATTCTGCTACTTGACCTGTGCGTATACTTAATATATGTATTTCCTTGGGCCTGTCTTTGAAGTGCCCGGGCTACCCATAAATTTAATTAAAAACCGTTATGCATTTTAATGCAAAAACCGAAAAAGAGTCGAGAGTATTATGAATAATTAATCTAGGACCATGAGCAAGACTAAAGCTTAGGCAGGCGCCTCCGAGAAAATTTGGGTCGTTTATGGCACAATGGCGCCTTTGTGTATGCTATACTTTTTTAGCTTTAACCCTTTTTCACACACACCAAGGCACAGGAACACAGACAAAGCCCTTGGGGGCGCTGGCCACACCCCTCGAAGCGCGCCGCCCACCACTGCAACAACAAGTTGCCTTTTTAGCAGTTAATTATACACACAGAGGGCAAAAAAAGAAAAAACACGAGGAGCGGGGCTAGTCAAAAAGTTCCAATGTAGGCTAGGTTTTATACATTTTTTTTTGTATAAACTTAAGAGCAAACACGTGTGTGTGTGTGTACGAATATATATATAGACAATGCTGTTGGGCTTTAAAATGTAGGCCTTTATTATTACTTGGTGAATGCATAGCCTTAAAACTGGGCTCTGGAGCGCACACCTCGCTCTCCTCCTCGCCCTTGCTGGTGACATATTAATCAATGATGTCCTCATTGTGTGTGGAAACAGGTGGCTCACACATACATATATAGATGCATACACACACACACACACACTCGCGCACGCAGCTGGAGGCAAATTGATGTCGTCATGCGTGTAAGCTTTTGTTGTGCGAGGCAATACGTTTTATCCCCCTCATTTCCACAGCCCTCCTTTTCCTCTTTTCCAATTTTTATACAGAAAAAGCAGCTATCTATGGGAATTTGGGGAATGTCAAAGTATTAAATCTTTTGTGAGAAAATGTCCTCATTTTGTTAGTTGTAGAAGTATTACTTAAAATAAAATATTTCACTTGGAATGTTCATACATGATTTTTAGCTGAACAAATATTTAGTTTTTGTAAATAATAATTGCTATTAAAATAAAAAATAAGACTGGTATATAAGATTATCTGATTTTAAGTAAGCAAACATATAAAAGTAATAATCAAATACCATGTTTTTCGTTTCAAAACAAATTTCGTTATAAAAATAGCTTCAAAACAATATTTCCCTTGCTTTCGATTAAAAATACAAAAAAAAACAAGAAAGGAAGCTAACTTCGGCACGCCAAAGTTTGTATACCCTTGCAGATTGGTTTTCATATTTATATTATAAATTATAATGCCGAAAACAGACACAAAACAGAGTTTCATTAAATTTTACCTATACTTATTATGTTTACAGTTTGACAGTTACAGTTTTACATTCCCAGCTTTATATATTTTATACATTTACCGATCGCTTCTATGACAGCTATAAGATATAGTTGTCCGATTTTTATGAAATTTATACCAAATATCTATAATAATAAGTAAAGCTCATATCTCAGAGTAGATGAAAATACGTTAAAAAACAACGAAGTTATAATTTTTTCTATTACTTTCCCTATCGTTCCTATGGCAGCTATAAGATATAGTCGTCCGATTTTCATAAAATTTATACCAGAATTTTGAAATAATACCAGAAGCTCATGTGTCAAAGTAGATTAAAATACGTTGAAAAACAACGAAGTTATAATTTTTTTCGATTAATTTCCCGATCGTTCCTATGGCAGCTATATCATATAGTCGTCCGATTTTCATAAAATTTTTACCAAAATTGTGGAATAATAAAAAAAGGCTTCATCCCAAAAATGGTGGAATAATATTAAAAAACAGCCAAGTTATAATTTTTTTTCCAAAAATGTATCGAACATTTGTATGGCAGCTATATGATATAGTCGTCCGATCCGGCCCATTCCGACATATATAGCAGTGAGAGTATATAGAAGACTATATGCAAAGTTTCATTCATTCAGATAGCTTCAAAACTGAGGGACTAGTTTGCGTAGAAACGGACAGACGGACAGACGGACAGACGGACGGACAGACGGACAGACGGACAGACGGACATGGCTAGATCGACTCGGCTATTGATGCTGATCAAGAATATATATACTTTATAGGGTCGGAAACGTCTCCTTCACTGCGTTGCAAACTTCTGACTGAAATTATAATACCCTGCAAGGGTATAAATATGAATATGAATATATGTATGAATAAATGTCAGGCTCAAAATGACTTGAAATATTAACAATTCACAAAGGAAAAAAAAATCTGGCCACAAGCAGAAATACATATAATATTCAAAGATATAGTATAAAAATAAACCTGGTTATTAGCAGACTATCAAAACAGCATAAATTTTAATGGGCAAACCAATAAAATTGATAAGCAAAAATCTCAAGTAGAATATGAGCCTTAAGGGATTCTTTTTTTTCTGAGATATATTTAATGGAAAAGGATGCACTCACCGTGTCCTCCTTTCTTGCCGTTAGCTTTACTCTTCGATTTCCTGGGATACAAGTGAATCTTGCTCTGTCCACAGCCCATCTTTTGAATGTGCCGCCAGTGATGCCTCTAGAAATCCAGAATCGCTGCTGCTTCTGCCGCTTTTGTTGTTGTTTTCAATTTGTGTGTTACTTTTCTCGGTGTTATTTGTGTGTTTTTTTTGTATTATTAATTTGTTGCTCGACACGTTGCCCTCTCTCGCTCGCGCTCTCTGTCCGTGTGGCGCTCGTCACTCGTTGCCTCTCGCTCTGGGCTGTCTTTTATTTACGTTTGTCGTCTATTCTTCCTTCTGTTTTATTCAATTTTCACTAATTTAACTATGTGTGTAAATTTAATTTATTTGATTTGCCACTGTTGTTGTTGCTATTGCCGCTGCTGTCACTGCTGCTGCGCCGCTTGGCGTTGTCAATTTCGAAAGATATCATCCAGCGGCAGCAACAAATGTTCTTCTTTGACGGCGGGGGAAATACTTTACGTTTGTGCGTGAGTTTTCCCCTCAGACGGCAAATACCACCCAAGCCACCCACCCACTCGGCCACTCAGGCACTCAGCCACCTATTTCCAGTTCTAACCAGCCACAGTGCCCCTTGGCTAACAGGAACTAATCAAGAGTTTAATTTAGATTTGGATATTGGGCTAAAAGTAGTTTTAGTTCGTACACTGAACACAATTATAATAAGTGGGTGCACATATCATCGAATCATCCACCTACACTTTATACCATCGACAATTAAGTAAACCAGTGTTTAAACCGTTTGGGAATTTTAGTGCCACAAAGAGCAAAATGGAAACAATTTCTGTATCATACTCTTGGAAACAATTAATTTTAAAATTTTAAAATTAATTAGGAAAGTGTTCAAAAGATTTTTAGATCACAAGTTTATCTGCAAATATTTTGTAGCATACTATTGGGAGCCGATTTCAATTATTTTCAAATCACTTGCCATATTTGTGGCAGAGTTTTCACTGTAGAGAAATTTCCTCCATTTTATTTGTTTTCTTATTTTTGGGGACGGTTGGTAAGGTAAGGTAACGGAAATTAAGTGGGTCCCCCGGCTGGCCCTCAACCACTTGTTCCTCGCCCGAAGCTCGTCGTCCGATGCTCGCTCGCTGCTCTGCTGGCTTCTCGATGCTGCTGCTGCTGCCGCCGTTCGCTATAAATCCAATTTGCAGCGTCAATTTGTAAACAGGACATACCCATAAAAGGGTTCGTTTTTTTTTCGCCTCGACCAGGGCTGCACAGCACTACGCAATTCGCTCTCCTTGAGCCATCGCCGTTCTTGTTGTTGTTGGTGTTTCCTGCTCCTGTCTCTGCTCTGGATGAGGCCTTTTTGATGTTTTGCAAAGACTAGGAAAGCGCGGAGCGCGCGCTATCTTTGTTGTTGGTAATTTAAACAAATAATAACAATAATAAGCACAACAAATAGTGCAACAAAAACACTTGAATTATATTCAATTATATTCGGAGGAAAGAGCCAGCAACAGCCACTCGCCAGCTCGCTCTCACAACACTATAATAGACACTCTCGCGCTCGCACATACACAAGCTCCATGCTGTTTTTTTTGGGGGGGAGGGAAGACAGGCAGAGAGTGCTCTGGAGAGAGTCAATGTGTATGTGTGTGTGCGGGAGTGAGAGTGCCACCGAGAGAGAGAGAGAGTGCTCGCTGCGTGCGAAATTGATTTTTCTATTTATAAAAAAAAAATCAAAATATATCCGCTTGGCCCGCTGCTGGCTTTGCTTTTTTATTTGATCATTTTATTTCTGTTGCCCGCCAACTGCCAAAGAAACATAATTTATGTTTTATTTATGATTTTCGGGATTTGGGATAAATTTCCATTCCCGTGGCGATTTTCCGTGCCGCCTGCGCTAGCTGCTGCGAGGAAACTTGTTTGATTTATCGCATTAAATGCCCACTTGGGCACATTTGGCCCGAATAATAAACACACACGCACAGGCACAGCCAACAACACACACCTTCCATTTACCGCTATCCGTTCGCAGGCATTTAAACACTAACAGGAACTGTTGTCGGTTTCTCCTCAACAATTATTTACATTCGCACTGGTTTTTCCTGCGGAAAAGTTGCCGAAAAGTATCTGCGACGCGTTGCCAGTGTGTGGAATTTTGTATGCTGAAATTTATGCTGCCTGACACTCCTCTTTGTGTCACTAGGAGAGAGAGAGTGCTTTCGGCGAGAGTGCGGCAAAGGTGCCAGAGCGAGTGCTCTTCCAAGAGAGAGAGAGCGACTTGGCATACCAACACACGCGACCCGAATGGGGGTGGGTTTTCCTTTGGAGCTTTTGCACAGGGGTTTGTCGTCGGCGGTTCAACGGACCACAGGCGTGCTTTCAACGCTAAGGGGCAAGCTTTTTCACGGGGGGTGGCAGGTGGCAAATTGAATCAAAAGCTCGCCAAACCACCCGCCAGTGCTGGAAGCTCCAGAACTAAGCTCTCGAAAAGTTACCCCTACTGTTGAGTGGATTTTAAGCTTTGGGGAATGTAAGAAAACTTTCTCCTGTATTTGGCAACACTTCCGCAAAAGCATACCCAGAAAAATATCTTCTCTAAAGCTCCTATAGAGGTCAGCCCTTAATGGTAGAAATTTTATTATTTTAGCGGAAAGTACAGTAAAACCTCTGTAACAAAATACTGTATTTTACCTAATTTCTTAGCTCTCCAAAATTTATTTAATAAGCATTTTATGAAGAACATAAGAATGTCGGAGTTATTCTTATCCTAAAAATAATATATTCTTATATTTAAAAATTTCTTGTAAAACTACAATTTTTGAAATATATAATATTTTGTTTGTATAAAATAAAAAATAAATAACATTAAATTTATTGGCGATATTTTTAAATATTTTTAAAATATGTACTATATTTTTGTTATAATATTGAGGAGTTTTATAGGACTTTGACAATTTCAAAAAATAAATACCAGCAAACGTTTTCTTATATTTAGCAAAAAAGATATGGGCAAAACAAAAAAATAAATAAATATCGCGCCCTGTCATGTTAGGCCTCATTAATTTCCACAGCAGTGATTCCTGACCAGCGCTCCGCTCCACTTCCTCAGAGGACCAAAGGACCAGAGCAACCCCCTGCTAACTCGCCCTCGTACATTACATTAGATGGGACATGTAGATGGCATTATTTATTGCATAATAATGAAGTGAGAAACGTTACAAATCAAAACACTCGACAGCAACGAGATAAACTTTTGTCCGTTTCCATTCACTCGATTTTCCCCGTTTTTTTTTTATCATTATAATATATTTTTGGGGCAGAAACGTTGGCATTTTTTCCGTGCATTTGTCAGCCGCAACGGAATTGAAACGTTTGCGCTTTTATTGCCACGGACGTGTGTCGTCCTTCGGGGGGGGGAGGGCTACTATTTCGACTTCGGGGTGGACATCTCGGACTGGTGGGAAAAATATGAAATCTATATGGCCATAGCGGACAGGAAGTAATATACAACAAATGCGAAATGATATCGAACAATTGATCTGGGAAGATGAGCCTTAACGGGGCTGGGATTTAGTGTCCTGGAGGGATTTGGGTGGGAACGCTAAGGATCTTGGAAATAAATATAGAACTTAGGTTATTGATATAGATTCCTATAACGGTCTTGTATTGAAGTTTGTTGTTTTACCTACAAATATTAAATTCTAACACAAAAAGTTGACAAGCTTAATCCTTCTTGTTCTCTAAAAATCTCTTAGATTTCCATTGATTTAAGTAAAACTCCCAAAACCAAAATAATTCCAGAAAAAAATCCAACCTCCCTCTCACAATCCCCAACGAATTATGAGAGTCCTGTCAAAGGATTGTCCCTTCGTTTAACTGCTGATAATGGCAACATATGTTTCTGTCACATTGTTTGACATTTTTCCCGCGGGCTGCCACAGCACAGTTTGAACCTGGTGCGGAGTCCTGCCAGCATTTAGGCAAATTTTCGCACTCCTTTCGCTTCGAGCCCCCAAAAAACAATTTGCATAATTTGCAGCGATTTTCCGCAGCTCCTTCCTGTTACCAAGCTCCTGCTCTAGCGGATTTCGGGGGCTGCTGATGATTTTCGATGACGTTTTGTTGAGTTTAAATCGTCGGCTGTCGATTGTGACTATCATGGGAAGTGGGCGTGTCCGGCGGCCACGTGACCGCACGCGTTGTGTTGAATTTAACACGGAACCGGAGGTCCTGCCATCGTCCTTCCCGAGACACTTGGGTGCAATGCAAATGGGGTGCGAGCCAGCCGAGAAATCCAGCTCGAGAGTATTTTCTTTTTTAACTTTTTGCGGACGCGTGCAGCCAATAAGTCCTTCATCACTTCCGCTTCAGTTCAGTTCCGTGATTTTGCACAAATAATGTTTTGATTGCGTGGCAGCGTGACGTGTAATTATTATCGCCGCACACAATCGCCGCCAAAACAACAAAGGATAAGCCATACGGATTTCGGGGGGCTTCAAAGGAGCGGGATTCTCTGGGGATCCCAGCGGAGGGAGGCGGTAAAGCAATTAAAATGATTTGCCAGATTCAAACCAGCCAGAAGATCCTACCAACTGGTCGTGTGAGAGAGCTGGGACTTGGGTCTTAATGCCCGAAATCGAATGACAATTAATAGAAGCCATCAATAGTAATGAGAATGACTAATCAAAACTTATAGCTTAGCACTTAAGGAGATATAAATCCATAAAGCCATACATAAATTTTATTAAACTTAAGCTTAAGATGGAAAATCAATGAGACTTCCTTTATATCGTAAATTTAAAATAAATATTTATTAGAAAAAATTATTTTTTAAGTACTCAAGATCAATTTAAATCTATTAAAAATAATAATATTCCTTACAAATCTTAAAAACCATAAAAAATAAAACATTTTGGACACCAAACACTCATAAATTACTTTAATTAAAAGAAAAAGAAGAGCCGAGTAGCAAAAAAGGAGATTCCCTAAGAAAACTTTTTTAAGGACCCGCACTCGACTGCGTCAAATCACAAATTAAAAATGGCTGAAAAAAATTATGCAAATTTCTGGTTGCGTCCAATCCTTTACAGGGACAGGCGAGGAAATTTCATTAAAAACAGCAGCAGCTCTAAAGAAATCTTTTGATAAAAATTAAAAACTTTCCGCTGAAGGACAATTGACAGAGCGGGGAAGAAAAACCAAAGAAAAAATGGGGAAAAGATGAGAGAACGAAAATAAAACAGCAGAAATTGTGAAATGATGAAACAAGGAATTAAAACAAGCAATAATAAAATATTATGACAGCGTGGAAATGAGCCGGGAATAGGGAACGTAGGCGTTGAAATATTTAAATATCGCCAAGCTGCTTTTATATATAATTTTAATGTCCTTTTTTCCAGAGCCTCTTACGGTCCAGCCAAGTGGAGTGCGCCTTGCGACTTGCCGCTGCTGCTTTGCATAATTATATTCATTGAAAACTTATTTTCTTCAAGTTTTCCGCAGCAGGAAAATATTATATGGAAAAAAAGAGGAGGAAAAGCACCAAGCAGAAAAGAAATCCAAGAGAAGAGAGCTCTGAATTGAGTTACAACGGGAGAAGGCGAGAAGAGAAACAGTTTTTGACATTTAATTGCTAGAGAACTTGCTGGGTGGAGAAGTCAGCGGAGGGGAGGAGCTGGGAGAAACTGAGAGGAGATGCTGCCCAAATGTCCGCCACTCCACTTGGAGAAACTCGTTTCAATGGCCGGACCTGAAGATGCTGAAATCGCTGCTCCGGCTGCTCTGTGGCTGCCGCTGGTAAAGAAGAGGACCAAGAGCTGAAAAAATGTAACATGATTTAATGACATGAATTATTTATGAGTTTCCTGTCAATCAAAAACCACGTCAAAGCATTTTGATGGCGATGTCAACGCGCCAGTGAGCAAAACACACGACGCTACTGCTGCCCCGAAGAGGACGGACGCAGCGCATCCAAGGAGCGTAAAAAATAAAATACGAAAAAATAAATATAAAATAAATAAATAAAGAAATGATGCCGGCTGCCGGTTGCCGGCTGCCTTCCTCGAAGGTAGCTTAAATATATATTGTGGGTTAAAGGTTCCACAAATGAGTTCCGCATTGGAGGAACAGGCTTTAGAAATTCTTAAAAACAAAAACAGATAAAACACAATATGATAGGCAAACAGTAAATTAATAAAAATAAAATTTAATTTATATTTTTCGATATTTATCAATATTTTAAATAACGAATTATCAAAGTTTACAATACTTTCGATATAAAATTGAGCTCGATATTTTTGTGGATATGCAATACTGCTCTTTCTATAAATCCTTAGACATACCTATAGTTTATTTTTTGTAAACCTACAAAAATCGTTGAATTTTGTATCCTTAAAATACATTTCCCCTCGGCAGCCAATCAATATTTTTGTATAAATGCTAACCAATAGCTGAACAAATGATATGCTAATTTCTAAGCTTTTTAATCAAGCCGAAACCCACGTTCAATTTGCATTTTGTTTACTTTTTTCCCCATTGTTGGGCCATGGCCTAACTGTTCCTGGTCCCTGGATTCTGCCCTTCGAATGAAATCAATCATGTAATTTATGTTAGGATAATATGCTCAGCGAACAGCCGCAGACAGAGCGAGCTGACTCCAAAATGGACTGCCAAGAAATAAATATTTAACAATAATTGATTTAAAAGTCGCATGCAAATGTCCCAGGACAAAGGACGAAGGAAGCGGCGTCCTCCTTTCGTTTCGAAACGCTTTTTTAAGCCGCTTGGCACGTGGGTAAAGCAACGGCTGTTCGCTCCAAGGGGGAGGATGCACCTTCTCCGGGTTTTTTTTTCCCCCCGCTAAGCAAACATCCTGGCGCCAGGATTCGGACTTGGCCTGCGCCTTTTAACACAAAAATTATAGAGAATATCCTTTAAAAAGCTTTTGATTTCGCTGACTGTGAGGTCGGTCGGTCTGTTGTATATGCAAATGTCCTTCATCTGCTTAGCGCCCGGAAAGTTGTTTTCTTATTTCCAAGGCAACCCAAGTTTCTTTCCTGGATCCCTCCTTGGTCCTGGGTCTCCCACTCCCACTCTCTTTGCAAATCGCATTTGCATGCCTTTGTCTGAAGCTGACCTCGTCTTCGCTGCTGCGTCAGGTGTTGCCTACAGGATACTAATGTCCTCCTGTTAACGCTCTTAATGGCACAGACAAGCTGCCTGCATAATGGAGTCCTCCTACTCCCACCTCGAGCTTCTTCCTGGCTTTTTTCCTGTGCCCCACAACTGTCTCCATCTGTCAGCTAGCTGCATTCATTCACCTGCGTTCTACGCAATGTTAATGACATCTCCTGGGCCAATGCATCACGCCTTTTGTAGAGTCAAACTAAGAAAAACTAGAACAGCAGAGCGAAAGGATTCTGGGAAGAAGGAAGGTGATCTGAAAGTAGTAAGGGAGAACCTAGGAAACAGAATCAGAACGACCTAGGGATGTGCTTTGTAGACATATTTTCTCAACTAGGAAACTTTCAAGAGAGGATCAGTTAATCATTGCACAATATTGGGAATATATTTGTTCTTAATTTAAATTAAATTATTATTTAGTTTAATTTTATTTGAAAAATCAAATTCTACACCCGAGAGAGTAAAACATGATGACATATACCCTATAGGCAACATGGATAGCGTCTCCTGTCACTCCTCTACCACTCGGTTCCCTGTGGCAGCATCCATTTGGGTAACCGGGTAGACAACAGAAATTAGCATTACTTCCGAGTGATCGCAATCTGCGCATACTAATTGCCCGTCGTCAGAGTTGGTTTCATTCATGGGGGCAGGCAATATCATTGAGGGAAGGCCTCCGCACCAAACTTGGCATTGCCTGAATGATTCTTGTGCTGCTGCTGCTGTGATTTTTTCCAGCCTGTCTAGACGCTGCTGCATATAAGGTAAGTTGGCGACGGGAGACCCGAGACCAGAGACTCGCCTTTGGATGCGTTGCGATGCGGAGAGCCTATGCCCGAGTCTTCGCCTTCGCCTGTGCAGTCTTTTCTCTCTAGAGCTCAGCCCAGCTTCCCGGGAAAACGAAAACGGGAACGAGAACCCTTGGCTTTCCTGCGAATCGAGCACAAAACACCAATCATCCACATCATTGTCAACACGCCAGCATCGCCAGTCGTCTCTCTGTCGTCGGTCCATAAACGGATGCCCCGCGTTGCCCATTTAGGGTTAGCTGGCTCTGGGGCCTGTCATAACTCCTCCTGGTAGGCGTACCAGGGATCGTTGTCTCCAGAGCGCCAGCGCGGAGCACTATGCGATCATCTCATCCGATTCCAAAGCGATTCCATGCCCATTTGGCATTGCCAAACGTCCAAAAAAGGCGCAGACGCCGCAGCTTCATGACGCGCGTTGGGAATATCCAAGCACCAAGTCGTCGTTCGTAGTAGCCGCCGTCGTCATACTTTCCCTGCTGCTCCAAAGACCAAAGACCATATGCCATATCAGCTCCTGGAGCTTGGAGATTGGAGCTGGCCCAGCTGGCCTGGCCAGCGTTCTCAAGCGCTCAAAGTGTCAAGCGTCAATTGCCGTTGAAGTTTATTGCCTTGGCAGCAATTAAATCCGTTTTTTTTTTCTGTATTTCGGGGGCTCGGTGACCAAAATCAATCCACTTTGATTTGATTTCTTGATTGGCTGTCCAGGGAATTGAAATGCATAATTGAATTATCAAATTAGAGGTGGTGCTTTGATAAATAATTGTTACTCCATGGGGGACATGGGTGAGTCATTGGGTGTTTCTGGGCTGAATTAAGTGTTTATAAAGGCAATTAAGTGGAGTTTGAGTTAATAAACATTCAACATGTTGGCCTAAAAACATATTTTATAGTACTTAAGATATGTTGTTAGTTTATAGAGAGGCTGCTTTATGCTAAAGACTGTCTTTTAGCTTACTGAAAGATTGAGCAGTGTCTTGGTAAGGTTTAAATCAAGTTCCTTATGGAAATCCCCTCCAAAAAATCTTATTTGTAAAGTTAGTAGCAATAAATCTCTTAAATTTCCTACAGTAATAACTCTCCTTTGGACAGTTATTTTATACAAATTAGAAATTTACACTTTGTTTCCCAAACTCCCAGGGCTTACTGCAATTTGGCTAAGTAAGTTTTTATTGCCACCGTTTCAGGTTCAGCTCGGTAGGTAGCATTGCTTCTACCTTAACTCAAAGAGAAAAATTCATCACCGCAATATGCGCAACATATACCTAAAACTCAGAAGGAAAAAAGCTACAAAAAAAAAAGCAAAGAAAACTCTGGAAAAAAGAAGTGGCTGTGGCAGTGGCAGGAAAATTGTCATAAAGGTGCAACTGACAACAGCAGAAGAGGAGACGACAGGCTACAGGACCGGCGAGAGGTTAGTAAATTTCAATTTATATGCAGAGGGAAAAGTGAGTGAAAAGGCAGGCACCCACAGGACATGGGACACGAGAGCAAAGGATGAGGAGGAAAGAGCTGATTCAAGGAGCTAGCGCAAAAAGTGTCAACGTTATATTTTCTCGAATTTTCCAAGATTTTTCGTGCCATTTTATTTCCCATCTCTTGCTGTCATCACTTGGTTTTTATTTATTCTTTTTTTTTTCAGCTATTTTTGGTTGCCAGCGACGCAAGTGGAAAACGCAATTTCATTAGACAAATTGAAAAAAATAAGTGCAAGCTTCGTACACAACAACAACAATAAAAAGGACTCCTATTATATAGTATATATACCCAGGAACCCAGCTATATACTCCCTATGTACAGCCAGAAGACTGACGCCATGTTGTGCGGACCATCTGAAAATTTTACGCTGGCCGCCTGCCATTCGTTGTCCTGGCTTTTCCCGCATTTTCCCGGATTCGCGCATACGTGTAGGAGCGGAATGGCATGGAAAATATGTATATAAACATATATATATGTATATCCAACGGCGGAGCAGCCTCGTCCTTGTCCAACAGGATGCTGCGCGCGCGTTGAAAAGAGGCGGAGACTCTCTGCCCAACCGGAAAAACCAACACTTGGAGCTGCGAGGAGCTGGATCTGTCGGAAAAAAAGGCCAAAGAAAGGACCGAATGCAGCCCGGACTCTCCGGTCTCTCCGGTCTCTCCGGCCTCTGTTCGGCAGCACACACACTCGCCTCGCTTTCCCCACTTTTCCGCTTTTCCCCCACAAAAGCAACGATGCGTCGTCGCTGATTGGAAGCTTCGGCAAAGCAGCTCGTTTTTGGGGCGGAGCAAAAGCTCTCGACGCAGTGGCGCCACCGAATGGGGGAGAGCCTTAAACAAAGGGGGGTTTTTTTTGTAATAACTTTTAGTAAATTCATAATTTTCATAATAACTTTAAAGCAATTTAAAATGGTATTTAAATTTGCAGCTGAAAAATTACCTAACATCAAGTCTTAAAGTTTCAAAGGAAAAATTGCTCATAAACAAAATTCATTGAATTGTTTAAGACATATTTAAAAGAGTTTTAAGAACTTTGGTTTGCTAATTTAAGGAAATTTATATTTTAAAAATATAATTATTCAAAGAAAAAATATGAATTAAAATTTTAAAATGTTGAAAATCTTTTATTTAAAACTTTCTACAAAACATCCATTTCCCGGGCGGCGTTTATCATCCCAACAAAACCCTCGGTCACCTCCCTGGCCACTGGAATTATATCCTCAGGTGGCAAGACAAAACCCAGTCGGCCCTTGTCCCTCAACTCGATGGTATAGGGTATTTTGATGCCCTTCACTGCATAGGCCCACTCCTTGCCCGATCCTGAGACTTCATCTGGAAAATATAATATTTTGTAGATATGATAATTAATTTAAAAAAATATCTCAAGACTCACAAAGAGTGGTGGCACTAGATCCATAGGTAAATACAGTGCCATATCTCCTGAGCAAAGCATCCGAGAAGCCCTTGGCCACGTGCATCATCTGGGGATAGTGCTCGGGGAACTCCGCAGCGGTGTGGCCCCAGGGCGAGAGTACGTACTGTCCATAGGAGTGAAGGGATATATAGATCTTGATAGAGCCCTCTGGTATAGAGTTGTTTATATAGGCGGTCAACTGACTGATCTCGACATCGGATTCCGCCGAGGGACCAGCATAGGTTTCATCGCAGAAATCTGAGCTAGCGCCAGTTACTGAAGGAAAGCCTTTAGTTTAGAGATAAAAAGTAAATACAAATTAATATTTTATACTTACACATCCAAAGAAAATCAAAGTTACGATTCAGATCGGTTCCAACACACTCGCCCGTGGGATCCGAGTTTAAACGCGATTTGCGCCAAAGACGTTCCTACCGGTCGTCATGGGAATAAAGATAGAGATTATCAGCGGTTAATAGACCTAATTGATTACTAGTTAGTATAGCAAAAAGATAAGATAAGCGACTGAATAACTTAATTGGCATGTATTTTGATCGCTAATCTTATCTGCGGCGGCACTTTCATTTCCATTCATAGTATTTATTACGTAAACACTCACCACTTCGTGCGAATAAACAAAGCCATCGGTATTCAGGACGGGAATAATGTACCAGTCCACATTTTGGGCTATATCCCTGACTCCAGGATTACGTGGAACCAAAAGCTCATCTATAAAGTAGGTAATTGTCGAAGAGGTAATCCACTCGCGGGCATGAATATTGGACTCGATGAAAACGGCGGGATTTCCCTCTTTGTAAGAGATTTTAACACCGCGAATAGGCCTGCCCTCGTGGGAGTTGCCAATGGTAAAGGGTGTGACTATGTCGGGATATCGGGACTCGATTAGGTCCAGCCAGGTGTATATTTCATCCAGAGTATGAAACTGAGTCCATTCCATGGAGGTTATGCGCTGCTTCGGCCGCTGAGCATCGATGTGGTATTGTACATTGTCGATTTTGAGGCTGTAGCTAAAGTTGTGGTTGATGAGGAGAGTCTCGAAGGTCTCCTGGTATTCGGGAGGCAGCATAAGGTCCGAGGATTCGCCTAGATGACGAGCCTCGCGCCAACTGCTGAGCTGTTTGGCAGTGAAACTAATAATTTAATATAAATAAATACTAAAAGTTAAACTCACCTTCAAGGACTTCTCCTGACTCCTGAGCAGCTGAAACTGCTCCAAATCATCGATCCTCACATTGTACACCTTATAGTTATCATAGCGCACTTGGTCTAGACCCAAACTTAGACCCAAAAAAGCTAAAACTAGAAGAATTCTAGACCACATACCGCTCGTTCGAAAGGCCCAGAGGTAACTAAAGAACTGCCGCCTGATTAGGCATTATCGTCCAGACAGCCCGTGGAGCTTGTGTTTATTTTATCAGCTTAATAAAAAACTATTTCAGGGCGTCTAAAAAAAAATAGAAAAAAACCAAAAGCCCAGTCTTGAGGCAGCTCGAGTTGTCTGGGCACTTGGTACTTAGGCTGTCTCTCAACTTTGCACATAAATTTTGTGCAACGGCAGCCCATTTCATTGTAGGTCATTGCATAATGAAGGTACCGCCCCGAGGCCCATAAATTTCCCTTGGAGTTCGTAGAGATTTTCCACAGACCGCCTTCTTCGGTTCGCCGCTGTCTTCTGTTTGAACAGTTTGTTTAGGCCTTTTCGGTTTCAGTTTCGGCCAGAAGTTGCCTTCTCTTTTTTATGTCCTGTGGCGAGTGCTTAAAGGACTTTGCCCGGGGTGGGGCTTTGGTCATATTTCGCGCGGGTCTTAGAGGAACACGACTTGGTCGTTGTCACCGCATGAGGTGCGTCAACGTGTGTCCTGTAAGTCCTGTTGCAAGGTGTGAGGTTTTCCTAAGTGGCCTGTGGCCTGGCGTGGACATGAAAGGCGCATCAAAGTGGATTTGCAAGGGGCGAAATATTTCGCAAAAATGTTAATGGCCGTGTGAAATATCGGAAGAAAATGCAAAACTCTTCCGTGGTCTTCAATCTGTTCAGCTTTTGGCTGTCCGAAGGCGAAGGGTGAAGAATTTACCGCCACATTAAATCAGGGATTTAACAGTTTGCAATGCCACTAAAATAAGCTATATAGTAAGTGTAAAATTCGAATAAAATCGGAATTTATGGAAGTCCGAACCCTTAACTGATTTTAAACATTACTTGATAAATTTTCATAACATAAAACAACTTTTGAAAAGCGGAAAAGAGGGAGACTTCTGCAGATGATAATTATTTTTTAATGCAGCTCTTTGCTCGCTTCCATTTTGTTCCAGGAGCATACTAATTCACACCTTGAGAGATGAAAATAATGCCACTTCCTAACCCCTCAATTACCAACGGATTATTTGATTAGCCCGCTAATTGCCTTGTCCTGCCATTGCTCGGAAAATAATACTAATTTTGTGAACACTTATTTCTTATCAGTCGCCATAAAGGCGAGACCAGCAGGATTAAAGTCGAGGCAAGGAGTCGTCGCTCTCTCGCAGGATTACATACAGCCTGCGGCTGCGGCGAACTTCCGACGAAACTTTCAACACCTTCTTTGCGGCGTGGAAATTGCGGAAAACTTTTCAACCAACACTTGTCGTGGCGCGTGCGATAAGCCAGCGCCGCATTTTTAATTGCCAAAGTCCTTGGTCCTTGGGAGCCCAGGGACTTGCTTAAAGTCGGCTTTAAAGTGTCATAAATATCGCGAAGTTAACATTTCCTGTGGCATATAGCTGGGGGTTTTTTTTAGCAAACCTTTTAATTGTGTAAAAAGTGAGGCGGCCATAACATAAATCTCGTAACTTCGCTGGGAGGACAGGTCGTATGCTTAATATTTTTCACTTGCAACTCGGCGACAAAAAAATGTCAATGCCGGAAAGCGTTTAGCATTCGCTTTTTTCTCTGTTCGTCGTGGATTTAATTAGCCTCAAAATGTCCCCGGAAAATGGCAACCTGGCATGCCATATGCAGAGTCAAATGTCCTTGCCGAAGGCTTCTGGATAAGCCAAGGAAGTCTGTGTCCGTTTAGAGGAAGGAAGTTGCATGTTCATTCTCAAGTTCAATTTGCTGGTTTCACCAGCATTTTGTGGCGAAATTGTGAAGGGTGAAATAAGAAAGGAAAACGCTGGGAGAGGCGAACCTCGGATTTATAATAGGTTTAATTGTTTTTATATAATACATTTCGATTCTATTTTAAAAACAGTCACTTTATTATTAGCATAACTTTTAAGATAAGACTCTATGAGAGCCTTTCTCTTCATGTTGATTTTCAAATTACAATTATAAGCAATTAGAAAAGTCATTTAAAAATTCAATTATGCTAATTTTGTTTTTAATCTTCCATTTTTAATGACTTTTCTGCTTTTCCATATATATTTTCCATCATTACCCGATATAATAAAACTACTTTAAATTGGCCACAACTGCTCAATGCTGGGTTTCCCATTAATCCCCCTGTTTTGTGTAATTCTCACCTAAATCCCTCCTGCATGTTCCACGGCCATTACATATAACATCTGTGTGTACGAGATCTAGTGATCGTTATCACTATAATTATTTTTTTTCTCCGCTCTATTGTTAATTTGACTTCATTTCCAGGTGGAAACCCAAGAAAAACTGCGGCGGCTAAGTGGTTCCATGCGTGGACACGCCCAACTGGAGCTGCAATTATTGTTACCCCCGGTAAAGTCTCCGCAATTAACGCTCGAGCTTCGCCATCTAATTGCCGAATAGGCACGCTCGTGTGATCCCGATACCATATCCCATATAAATGTACCTTCCCCTCTCTCGACAACGTGACAACGTCTTCAACAAGTGCCAAAGGTGGGATGACTTTGCGCTGGAGGGCGTGGCACATGCCAATGTGTTCAGTAAGCGATTATTTTTTCAGTTGAACATTTTCCAATTGTTTTCATTCGTGTGCCTGCCTGCCAGCTATTTATTGTTAAATGAAGCGATTTGTTTGTTGTCGTTATGCGTCGAAGCGTTAAAACATTTTCGCTTTATTTTTTCTACTCCTGGAAAAATTGTTTTTCCACGGCAAGAGAATTGTGTGGAGTGGCAGGAAGCTAGCATCAATAGCTTCAGGCCAGAGTGGTTGGGATTTTTTGGCTCAGGTGGTAAGTGGTTGGAGCAACTGCCTTCTAAGCGCCGTTCTCGATGTGTGAATTCCAAACAAGCTGCGGCAGCTGTTCAGCATCAAGGCAGAGGTGGAGATGTTACCACAAAAAAACTAGGAAAATTCTAAATTTGATTTTATGGGTAAAGGAACTCGAGAGCTCTGTGTTGAGACTAAAAAGTAGTTATCTTTAATATTTATAAATATACCAGAGTAGGATTTTTATTGTTTTTAAAACAATCAATCTTTTCAAGTTTTGGAAAACCAAAACCATTTTCTATATGGAACATTTATCATAGGCTCCTTTACGCTCACATCATTGACTTAATTCCACCTTGACATTCTTTCGTCTTGTATCCAAAAGGGAACCCACATCAGCGGTCTCAGACATGCTAACTAAGCCCTTCACCTCGACTGGAGATGTGGATGAGGATGTGAATGTGGCTGTGGATATGCTGATGCCACCGTGGGCGTTTGTCTCCGCCTAATCCGCTTTTAAAGTAAGTAACAAAAGTAGAGAAAATAAAACGCAAACCGGAAATCACAAGTCAAGTTGATGAACTGTCGCCGCGTCTGCAAAAATCGGGCAGACAAAAGAGACCTCTGGCACCTGCAGAAGAAGAAAAAAAAAAAAAACTTTGCAGACACATTTGGACCCTTTCTTGCCCAGCTCCAACGCTCCTCCCTCCACCCTTGGGTTAGAGATTTACGCATTTATTTTGCATTTTTTATACGCCACACAAAACATGCGCGCAGATTTAAGCAAAAATCGCTGGCAACGAGTTGAGCTTTGAGTTTTGGTTAGAAACATTTTTCGGTTTGGTTCGGTTTGGCTTGGTTGTCGATTTGCCTGCGTTGACATGACAAAAGGCTTGGATCTGCATACATTTGCATGTCATTGGACATCAGGCATCATCAGGCAAGGACACTGAAATCCCCTTAAGACATTCGGGGATTGCTCCAGAACAAGCCGTTTGCCCACGTTAACAATATGTTAAGTTGCCCCAAGATACATTTCCAACCTGGGCCGCAACGAGTTAATCGCTTAATGTCGCTCTCTTTCCCGGTCTTTCAGTCATTTGTCAGCTGTCCGTTTTGACTTTTCTGGATTTTCAGTGGGTCGCTTGTGGGTGGGGTGGGGGTTTTCCTTTTCCAAAGGGGGCGGCATAATTGCAATTTGTAATTTGTTTGAATTAACAGCTGAGATTCCAACAGAATCACTTTATCACTTTGGAATTTTCGGGAATTTTTAAAGGAAGGTTCCATTAGCATAAGTTTTGAGAAGCGCAGAGAGAGGTGACTGCAGGTCCTTTCTTAAGGGGAACTCTTTGAATATATCCTTTTACCTATCAAATGGTTTGACTTCATAGGGGGCTTATTTTATTTAAGTAGAACACTGTGCAAAATATTTTTTAAATATTGTAAATCACCCTCTATTATTTTGTGCAAGCTATTCTTGTAATTTATTTGAATTAACGGGTCAGATCATAGTCATTGACAGCCAAACCCCCCAAAGACCTCTCAACAATTCCCAAATTTATTGCCTTGGCCCATTAACAAAAGTAGCAAATTGCTTTCGGTTGGTCAGCACTCGAGGCTAATGTCCTCACTATTTACTGACCAGAGAGATCTCTTTTTGCCACAGCCCTTGGAAAGGTAATAAATATCAAAAGCACCCTAGAGGCAAATATTTACTTTAAAATTGAAACCCCCAACCCTTCCCTGCTCTTCCCTGTTTGTTCAAGCTGCGTAAGTGCGTGAAAGGGTTGGCAGGCTTAGGTTAGAAAAAAAAGGAAAATGTGGGAAAAGAAGCCTTTAATGGCCTCGCTTTTTGATGTTTCCTGAGCCGTGGGTGTTGGCAGGCAATTGGCCAACTCCCCCCCAGTATCAATAGATATCCCTTCAATAAGGTTGAGATAATATATATATAAAAACCGAAACCGTTGCATGCCTGGCTCAAATTCAATTTGAAGCTATTTTCGGCATTTTTATTGCTTACTAAATTGTTTTTATAGGCTCTCTAGCTCTACCCAAAAAACCAGCCAGAAGCCATTCTTCTGGCCCCGCTTTAATTTCTCTATTTTCCAGTGCTCTTTTCTGGTCCGTTGTTTTATCTTTGGTTGCTTTTGTTATTGCGGCAATTGCCAGACCATAAAAATTAACAATTAACAGAGCGCTCGGAGTGAACAATC